TATAGAGACCCGTCCTCACTACCTGTAGATATGAGAGAGCTGTGAATCGGGTGCCATGTTAGAGAGGAGACGGGCTTCTCATGGCCTCGGAGGATACAAATATCTCGCATCATGCGCAAGTCGAAAACTCTCGCCGTTTGATCCCGAGAGGATGTAGCTAGAAGGTTATTGTTTACGCGGGAAAACCTCGTCGCTGTGACGGTATTCTTGTGGCTATGGAGCGTTGTCAAGCATCTTGCTGTGCGCGGATCCCAGAACTTGACCTGATGGTCTTTGGACCCAGAGACAAGGAGACCTTTGGTGGGATGCCAGTCGCAGGATTTGACATCCCAGTTGTGACCGGTGAGAACGGTATCGCAAGTTCTCGCGGTGAAATCGAATATCTTCAGCGTTGTGTCGTCGGATGCGGAGAGGAATTTAGTATCACTTGGTGACCATGCCAAATCGCGTACAGCATCGTGATGTGCGTCATCGATCGTCTCGACGTTGTTAAAGTTAGGTCGCCAATACTTCACGTCACCCTTCTGTCCTCCGGATATTAACCAGTCATGACTGTGGGACCAAGCTAAGGAGGTTACTCCAGCTTGTAGCTGATCATAATGTGCCTATTCAACCATCAGCAACAAAAATCTTCGGCTAGGGAATTAATGTATCCGAGCGACACCCACATCCATGACAGTTTCGAAGTTGAAGGCAGTTCCATTCCATAGCATGAATTCGCCCGTGTGGCCTCCCGTTAGCAGGCGTCTTCCTTCCGGTGTCCATCGTACGACAGTGATCGGTTTCTTCGATTTTCCAATCGACTGATGTAAATGCCGCACTGGTATAGTATCCGCCGGAGAATGGACTCGTGCAAGAGGGGGGAGCATCTAACAAAGAAAATTCCGCTCGTGTTAATCGAAGAGTTGTATCAGAATGTGCGCGGAAATCTGTCGCACTTACATCCACAACATAGCTTGCACTAGGCCTTTCCACCTCAATCTGATGACCTCCTTTATAGCGGGGTTTCCGTGTGCGTATCCATTGCACCATTGATGATCCATAGTCCGTCACGAGTCCTACAAGCGACGGTTAACTTCGCCGAAAGAAAAACGAAGGTAGAGGGGTAAACAAATGTGAACGCATCGGGACAAAGGATCGGATCACACGTACTCGGTCGTCGCGGCCCAGCAATCCCTCCTTCGTAGGATTTAGGGGGCCTCCCAAATGGCTGGGAATCGTTCCCAGGGTCGTCGTAAAAAGCCATTGCGACAAAGCGCACTGCCGAACGCAGGTAGGTTTACAGGGAAGAAAGAAAGGATGACGGAGGAAGCGGAGAGACAGTTGCTAGCATGACAGGGGAGGCAAATGGGAGGAAGCAATGACAGCTAGCCGATGCTCAACCTGGTGATAAGATCCCCAGCTAGAGCCAATCGACCATGTCGTGCATGCAGCAGGAGCAGAAGCAGCGCTTGGTTTGATTGTCGCTTTGGTGATGGCGTTGGGCGTCGGAGCGTCGAATGAAGAGCAACCGCCCTTGACTGCGCGACCGTCATTGGCCGCGCCAAAGCCAGCCGCTGCGCTGCCATGAATTTTAGGCCCGCAACGGCCTGGATCGGCCTGAGGCCAGGCCGTTGCGACGGCGCAATTATGCGTTCTTCCCCTGCAACCCCCGCTGCTGTTCCCTGTGGCTATTATTATTTAAAACCACTACCTCATCCCTCCCTTCCCCCCCTCGCCTCTGACACTTGTCCTGTGTTCTGTCATGTTCATCGCGGACGACGCGCCCTGGTGGGATTCTGTGTCCTGCGTTCTAAGCTATTTCCCGCAATTGGTTTGAACCGAGGCCAGACAAACTGCTAACTAGAAGTCTCCCTATACTTCGGGCTTGTGACACCACTCCACTGTAAAAGGTGGCTCGTTTCCCACAACGAAATCAATATGTCTCCTACCCAAGAGGCGTCACATAGCCCTGGTACTGCTGTCAGTACTGGGACTGACATCCCCACATCCCCGCAAAAGCCCATGAACGGGAAAGCTTCCAACGGTCATCCTCCCAAAGGGACGAATGGCGCCACCAAGACCAACTGGAGAAGGAGAAGCAAATATCGTCATGTGGAAGCCTATCATTCGAAAATTCGGCATTCCAGTCTCAGTCGCGAACCCAACGTCACGACGAGTTTCCTGGGCTTCCGAAATCTTATGGTCATAGTGTTGGGTTGGCCTCCCCATCCTCCTTGGCCGTGTGTCCGCTTCTGGCTAATGCTTGGTTTCCGGATCTAGTCGCAATGAACCTCCGGCTCATCATTGAGAACTTCATGAAAGTAAGCCATGTCTGAGGATCAACATTCAACAATACAAGCCTAGCTGACCTTTTCGGATAGTATGGTGTCTTAATCTGCATCAGGTGCCACGATTATCGAAGGCAGGATGTTGTGCTCGGCTCCGCTCTCTTTGCCCTCGTCCCATTCCACCTCTACGTCTCCTATCTCATAGAGCTGGCTGCGGCACGGCAGGCAAAGAAGATTGTTGGCCAGAAGAAAAAGGATGGTTCGACCGAGGCACCTGAGACCGAACAGCGCATCTTCAAAAACACATGGTGGATCTCTGCATTCTTCCACTGCGTGAACACCCTTCTGAGTTTGGGAATTACGAGCTTTGTCGTGTATTTCTACGTTCACCACCCGGGCATTGGCACCCTTTGCGAGCTTCAAGCTCTTATTGTGTCGTTCAAGATTTGTTCGTATGCCTTCACCAATCGCGACCTCCGCGAGGCCATGCTCAACCCTTCTGTCGAGTCCGCCCTCCCAGAAATCTATTCGACCTGCCCATACCCCAACAATATCACCTTGGGGAACCTGATCTACTTTTGGTTAGCACCTACGCTAGTCTATCAGCCGGTATACCCCAGGACGTCACACATCCGGTGGTCGTTCGTGGCCAAACGCCTGTCTGAGTTCTTCTGCCTAGCCGTATTCATCTGGCTTCTATCTGCTCAGTATGCAGCTCCCGTTTTGCGCAATTCGATCGACAAGATTGCCGTCATGGATATCGCATCTATTCTGGAGCGCGTGATGAAACTGTCCACCATTTCTCTTATCATCTGGCTGGCGGGGTTCTTTGCGCTCTTCCAGTCACTGTTGAATGCTTTGGCCGAGGTGATGCGGTTTGGAGACCGTGAATTTTACACTGATTGGTGGAATAGCTCCAGTCTTGGGGTGTATTGGCGGTCATGGAACCGACCTGTATACCTCTTCATGAAGAGACATGTCTATTCGCCGCTTGTTGGTCGTGGGTGGCATCCTCTTGCAGCGAGCACGGTTGTCTTCGCTCTCTCTGCTGTCTTGCATGAGGTCCTTGTGGGAATTCCCACGCATAACTTGATCGGTATGCATCATTCTCCCGCTTTGTTTTTGGGCCCAAACTAACCGAGTAGGTGTGGCATTTGCGGGCATGATGTTTCAACTACCGCTGATCATTATCACCGCCCCATTAGAGAAGATCCAAGACCCTACTGGGAAGGTGATAGGCAATTCCATTTTCTGGGTTAGTTTTTGTCTTGTCGGCCAGCCTTTGGGAGCTTTGCTGTACTTCTTTGCCTGGCAAGCGAAGTATGGCAGTGTGAGCCGAATGTGAATGTAAAAGCACGCACGTGTCCGCTGTTTGTCATAGATGTAAATAAATGCCAACAACTTCAGCCATTTTTTGAAAAGCAAAGCAACCGAAGTAAACGATCCTGTACCATCAGCGCTCCTCACAATGGAATCTTTTAGATGTTTCTGTTCCATTCATCTTGCTTACTGCAATGTTCTTTTCGCGTTTGACTAATTCTCCGGATGTTGAATGGCAACGCTGTCGGCGTCGGGTCTTCAGGGATCCGCCAAGGATGCTCTGGATCCGCATCCGGCCGCTCTTGCGCCCCATCAATCGCCCGACTATAAATCGAACTACTTTCGGCATCTTCTAGACTTCCTAATACCGCCTAGTCATAGCAGATTCAAGCTGAGAACACCACAAGTAAATATCACCCATCATGCTTACCCTGACCGTCCCTGAAAACTACGGGTATGTGCCAATTCTACAATTCCTTGCAGACAATGCCATTCTCCCCATGAAGTCTGATGCTAACTATCCTGCAGCTCTGTCATTGCCGTCGCTCTGGGTGCCATCCCCGTCCTGAGCTTCGTCCATGGCGCCGTCGTGTCTCGTCTCCGCAAGGAAGCTGATTGCCCCTACCCTCACTGCTATGCGACCGTAGAGCAGTGCAAGACCAACGTAAGCCAACCTCACACAAACAGGATTCCTCGAGCTAACATACATTCCGAACCGTGCAGCCCAAGGCCGAGCAGTTCAACTGCGCTCAGCGCGCTCATGCCAACTTCCTTGAGAACTCCAGCCAAACTATGCTCTTCCTCCTGGTAGCTGGACTGAAGTACCCCCAGTTGGCGACTGGCCTCGGAAGCATCTGGGTCCTCGGTCGCTCACTGTTCCTTTACGGATATGTGTACTCCGGCAAGCCGCGGGGTCGCGGTCGTTTGTACGGCAGCTTCTACTTGCTTGCACAGGGAGCTCTCTGGGGCTTGACGTCTTTTGGAGTTGCGAGGGAGTTGATTTCCTACTTCTAAGTTTGGACTGAATCCGTGGTGTGATTGAGGTGATTGGCGATGTTTGGCTATACCAGCTATATGTAATAATCTCTACTGTATACTACTATTCAACGCATTTTACTATGCGTGCTGCTAGGGTCGGCAATGACAATGGCAATCTGACTGACGTGGTCTATTTCTCCATGTGCAGCAGGGAATACGAGCTCCAATGGACCTCGGGAGTGGCACAGTCAATGGCAAGGAAACTCCGCCTTTGCAGGTGTGGCTGAACCCCACGGGTCGGAGGCGGAGCAATCCACCCCCGATGTGGCTGGTGCGTGGAGGGGCTCGCGATGATTTTACTGAGCTTGCTTTTCTTGTCGACATTGAACATTGTCCTTGGTCTTCCTTCAGATTTAAGGGTCAGTCACTGCTACATTTTTCAGTAGTATCCGCGCACGTCTCTGGATTTACGAATCAGGGTCCACCAGTCGAAACTTCGAACTACTCTCATTATACAATCCTCTTTCCATTCCCGCATTAACCCCTCCATCAACACCATGTCCTCCAAGTCGCGATTGACCTACACTGCCCGTGCCAGCAAGCATCCCAATGCTCTGGCGAAGAGGCTGTTCGAGATTGCCGAGGCCAAGAAGACCAATGTGACTGTCTCGGCTGACGTTACCACCACTAAGGAGCTACTAGATCTTGCTGACCGTAGGCCGACCCGCTACTCTGCCTGATTATGCTGCATGCAAACTTATTAACGGTGATACCGGACTGCAGGTCTCGGTCCCTACATTGCCGTGATCAAAACCCACATCGATATCCTCTCTGATTTCAGCAACGAGACCATTGAGGGACTTAAGGCTCTCGCGCAGAAGCACAACTTTCTCATCTTCGAGGACCGCAAGTTCATTGACATCGGCAACACGGTCCAGAAGCAATACCACGGCGGTACCCTCCGTATCTCGGAATGGGCCCACATCATCAACTGCAGCATTCTCCCTGGTGAGGGTATCGTCGAGGCTCTCGCTCAGACGGCGTCTGCACCGGACTTCGCCTACGGCCCCGAACGCGGTCTGTTGATCTTGGCAGAGATGACCTCTAAGGGCTCCTTGGCTACCGGCCAGTACACTACTTCCTCGGTCGATTATGCCCGGAAATACAAGAACTTCGTTATGGGATTCGTGTCGACGCGCGCGTTGGGTGAGGTGCAGTCGGAAGTCAGCTCTCCTTCGGATGAGGAGGACTTTGTGGTCTTCACGACTGGTGTGAACATTTCTTCCAAGGGAGATAAGCTTGGTCAGCAGTACCAGACGCCCGGATCGGCTATCGGCCGGGGTGCTGACTTCATTATCGCGGGTCGCGGTATCTACGCCGCGCCGGATCCGGTGCAGGCTGCGCAACAGTATCAGAAGGAGGGGTGGGAAGCCTACCTGGCCCGTGTCGGCGGAAAACTAATACTATAAAAGGAGGATCGAAGTTCTGATGGTTATGAATGATATAGAAATGCAACTTGCCGCAACGGATACGGAAGCGGAAACGGACCAATGTCGAGCACGGGTAGTCAGACTGCGGCATCGGATGTCCAAACGGTATTGATCCTGCAGGCTACTATGGTGTGGCACAAGGATCAATGCGGTACGACGATTTGATGCAGATAAGCAGGCTGCGAAGTAGTAACTCTTGCGTAGAGAAAATGGCGACGGGTGGCTGATAAGGGCGGTGATAAGCTTAATTGTCATCGCAGATAAGCACTGCTGTCTTGCATCCAAGTCAGCGTCAGCAGAAATACGGGACTTCCGAAAGTATATGGCAAAATTAAAGAACTTGACTCTCCAGCAATGTTTTGCCCTGACCGTCGCTAAAACGTTACTACCCCTATACCCGTCTGTTTGTCCCAGCCCGAGGCATTAGGTCTGACTGACAGCACGGCGCCATGCGGGCTTGGGACGCCATGTCCGTCGCGTGATAAGGGTTGATCCATGCAGCTACTATCCTTCCATCGTTCCATTCCCATCCTTGTCCTATCTCCATCCTTGAAACTTTACTAGTTTAGTTGGATGCTCGAGCTTGCTCTCGGCTACTCCGTCCAATGGATAAGACCCCGATGCCGGTCCTCATTGGTCTCCAGCTGGTATCGCCCCAACCTTCGTGTGATCGCCTCTCTGCTTCCCCTCATCATCATTACTAACTAGTACATCCAAAAGCCATCCCAGTGCTTCCCCTCACCCTTGCCCAAGACATTCCAAGTGGGCCTTCGGCTGGAAAACATGGACCCATTGGTTCCATCGATAAGCTAGCTCCTCGTCCGTTACCCCAGATTGATACCAGATAACATTGACCAGCGGCTTATCACCGAGGTCTGCGGGTGAGACCCCCCCTGCGACAAGTTAGATAAAAGAAACTCGCCTCATTGTGCTTCCGATGGGGTCGGATGACGAGCCTTCGGAAAGAGCTGGCGCCTCTTTAAAGGGGACAGCTGTCGCCAAGTTGTGAAATTCTCCGATAACTACTAACAATCTCTCCCTTCCTTCCCGCTACTGTGGTCACCAAATCAACTCTCTTTTCTCGGCCAAGATCTAACATGGCGGATGAGAAGACTGAAAAGTCTCCCCCACCGATGACGGTGGATGAGGAGACTGGCACAACAGAGGAAATTGACCCGACAATGGCAAAGCATACGAAGGATGCAGACGAGGCACTGGCGGTCTTCGAAGACCTCCATGGTGAAGTCATCACACTTGATGAGGAGACAAACAAAAGGATACTTCGGACAATTGACTGGCACATAATGCCAATTATGTGTCTTGTCTATGGAATGAATTTCCTAGACAGTTAGTGTATCCCGCGGTAGCCTCCCAAGGTTTATACTAACGATTAACAGAGACGACCTTGTCCTACGCTAGTATTATGGGCATCAAGACAGATCTGAACCTCGTCGGCGACGATTACCAATGGCTTGGTAGTCTGTTCTATTTCGGTTCGTGTGCCTGGATACTAACAACGTAAGATATAGTGCGCTGGGCTGACACAATGAAGGCTACCTGGCATGGGAATACCCGACCAACCGGCTCCTTCAGAGGCTTCCACTGGGAAAGTACTCTGCCGCTTGCATTATAATCTGGGGAGCGATCCTTTGCTGTTTTGCTGCAGTCAATAACTTCTCTGGCGCCATTGCCATCCGGTAAATAGGCCTCTTCGTCGAACCCTATGTCACTTCAGTTACTGATTACTTACCTCTAGATTCTTTCTCGGCGTCTTTGAAGCGTCTGTCACCCCCGGTTTTGCTTTGCTGACCTCTCAAGTGAGTTTCGCTATCATCCTGCTTAGCCAATCTTCAATCATCTCTTACACATAATAGTGGTATACCAAAGCAGAACAGGGCAGTCGAGTCAACATCTGGTTCAGCTTCAACGGATGGGGTCAGATATTCGGCGGCTTGGTCGCTTACGGCATTGCCGTTGGAACCGATCGCCATGGCTCTTCCATTGAGCCTTGGAAGATCATTTTCCTTGTGACTGGCCTTCTAACTGTTTGTCTGGGACTTGTTTTCCTCTGGGTCGTGCCAGATAATCAGCTCAACGCTAGATGGCTCAAGAAAGAAGACCGCGTTCTTGCCCTTGCGCGTGTGCGTGTCAACCAGCAAGGTATCGGTAACAAGCATTTCAAGATTCACCAAGTGAAGGAAGCTCTCTTGGATCCTATGACATGGGCCTTTTTCTTCTACGCCCTTATCGCGGACATCCCCAACGGCGGCATTACGAACTTCTTCAGCCAGCTGGTTCGTTCGCCTTACAATGCTCAGCCTACTATTTACTGACCAGTCTGCAGATTACTAGCTTTGGGTACACAGAAGAACAAAGTCTGATCTACGGTGTCCCCGCCGGAGCCATCGAAGTCATCTCCCTGCTCGGAAGCGGCTTTCTCGGACAATACACCAACCAACAGCTTCTCTGCAGCACGGGCGGTCTCATAGCTTCCATTATCGGCATGGTACTCGTCGTTGCACTCCCTCTCTCGAATAATGTCGGTCGCTTAATAGGTTACTACATGACGCTGGCAAGCGCCACGCCGTTCGTGGCACTGCTCGCCATGATTTCTTCGAATGTAGCTGGCTACACGAAGAAGACGACTGTTGCGGCTATCTACCTGATCGGATACTGTGCAGGAAACATCATCGGTATGATTTCATCCTATTTCGCATCCTTGAAACTTCATTATTGACAAATATCAAATTTAGGCCCCCAAGTCTTCCGTCCCAAAGACGCACCACGCTATGTTCCTGCAGAGATCACCATCATTGTCTGCTGGGGCGTCTGCCTGTTCATTCTCGCGTTTATCTGGTGGTGGTACCGTATACAGAATGAGAAGAAGGCCCGTATCCGTGCAAGCCCAGGATACGCACCGATGGAGAACCAAGAGTAAGTCAATGAGTCTTTCCGATATTGTTACATACCTATCTAACCGTATACTAGATGGATGGATCTAACGGACTGGGAGAACCACGAACTTGTATATGTTCTGTGAGGACAGCTACATTCCTCTTTCCTAAGGCCTGGTGCCTGGTAATGCCCAAGTTGATGACGACAATGTTCTTCCGTGATTATGTATTCCCTAAAGTCAAGTACATAGTAACTATGATGATTTAATATTGAACATGTACCACATAACCCAGCGGTCGCTATGTCATGCTAAGTCCAACCATCCTTCCCCGCCAACGTGGATAATACCACCGTGCTTCAAGACACCATTATTCCACCCATTAATGTCTCATTGATGTAACCGTAGATGTGACAAACATGGGCTTCATAACTGAGTTGACTGGTCAAGCGAAACTGTAGGGAGGCGCCGCAGTGGGTCATACTCAAACCAAAAGCCCACCACCATCAGTCGCTACCATGGAGTAATCAGGGCGCCAAAGTACTAAATAGTTAGTTATTTAATTACTTTGTCACTCACTGATTCCGCTAGCAGCTTCAATCCACTCACCGCTCATTCAGTTGAGCACTCTATCAAACTACTCGATGTTAGGCCATAGTTTTTGGATGAGGGGATGAGGGGAGGCAGGGTGGGAAGTCTCATCATCCTGTCGGCGATATTTCTGGAGCCGATGCGGGGGTTAACAACAATTTCGAAATACGTCCTAGTTTTCGGCGGTGGCCAGTCTAGATAGTAGCAGTACTCCGTACAGACTATCAAATACACAGGCTCTCATACGGTTCTTTTTCTTGAGTGGGCGGGGGGGTTTGTTGTTGTGGGTGCGGCTGAAGTTGAGGGTGGAGTCCCTAATAATGCAAGCATCTCCTTGGCTTGAAGCCGGGAAAATGAGCAGACGTTACAAGGCTTTTCTCAATCTGCACTGATTTATGTGAAATTCTTCATATGTTAAATTATATCCGGAGCTGCTTCGGTGGTAATACAATGACCATGAGCACTAGTGATTCGACAGTAACTCATGAGTACTCAAACACAATGCTTCCGAGTGATGAATGTCAACATTCCGAAACGTATGACACTACCAACTCTTTCCCCCTGCCAACTCGGCATATTGTTCCATGTAGCAGAAGAGTATCATCCGAAATTGTCTTTGAAGGCGGCATCGTAGATCTGGCGGTGATGGTAGCACGGTCAAAATCGAAATCGAATCGAAATCGGCAAGTTTGCTGCATCTCAGGTGGAGAACGATGCCTCGGGTACGAAGGACTGCAGATCTTCAACCTTGTTCTGCAGAACGATACGCTGTTAGATTCTCTGCGCTTTCAGCAACTAACTGCCGTGGAAATGATCATAGTTCCGTGGAAATAAAAAGAAAGAAGCAAAAATCGTAGGAAAAGAAAAGATAATTCTCTTTTGAATTAAACCCGAATGCGCAGGAGGGATTTTGCTGTGCACAGACTTCTTATCCCTTGCGCGTTATACTCAAGAGTTTTCCTAGAGTAACCTCAACTTCTTCAGGTTCAGGCGGGCACACAAGAGGCTTTCTAAGGCTAAAAGCCTCGTGGTGCACGAATATCTCCACGAATATGGACTATTACAAGGCTCTCATCGTATTAATTGTCTATCTATGCCTGCGCACAATATACCGTCTGGCGCTGCATCCTCTTCGCGGGATTCCAGGACCAAAATTAGCTGCCTCCACAAGTCTGTACGAGTTCTATTATGATGCTATCAAGGGCGGGAAATACATCTGGGAGGTGGAGCGGATGCATCGACAGTATGGTAAGTCTTTCACCGAGGCAATATTGTCTTCACTCAATTTGACAAGAGGAAAAGGGCCCATAGTACGAATCAGTCCTAGGGAAGTGCATATAAAGGATCCATACTTTTACGACGAGATATACACAAGCAGCAGCATTCGGAAGCGAGACAAGGATTCCAAACTCGTCGCCTCTTTTTGCGCCCCAACTGCTTCATTCTCCACAGTTGACCACAACCTTCATCGATCCCGCCGAGCTGTTATTAGCCATCTATTTACGAGAAAGGCCGTTGTGAGCCATGAATTTCTATACAAGACAATGTTGGCAAGCTAGCCTCCCGGCTAGAGTCTATACATAAGAAAGGCTCCGTTTTTAGCCTCAAAATAGCGGCTGCGGCACTGATCAGTGATGTCCTTGCGCAGTATATGTATGGGACGAGTACTCACTATCTGGATGACCCTACGTTCAGGAGTGAGTCCGTTGCATCAGCCACCGAATTAGCATCGAAAATTCATATCCTGCGACATATCCCGGTTATTGCTACTATCTTTCAACTCCTTCCATTGGCTCTGCTGCGCCCGTTTCGATTACTCTCAGACTTCTGCGACTTCCGGCTGTGGCTTCGAAAGCAATCCCAGGATGCACTTCAAGGCAAAGGCGGATCTACGGTGCGCCGTGGTCCCGTTTTTGATGCCTTGTTGAGGGCCAATGTGCCCGCAGAAGAAAAAACGCTACAGCGTTTGGAAGATGAGTCTTTCACACTATTTAGCGCTGGCTCGGAAACGGTTTCTCAGGCTCTCTCTGTGATATTCTTCCACCTTCTGAAGAACGCAGAGTTCATTAAGACTTTACGCAAGGAATTAAAGCAAGTGATGCCCATGCCCTACAGATCTCGCGACTTGGTCGGAATTAGAGAAATTGCCGTTCTTGGTAAGGAATATGCTACAACTATGGAAAGTATGCCGTATCCTAATGTCTTCTCTTTTCTTCTCCCATAGACCGCTGTTATTACTGAAGCACTTCGCCTCTCGGGAACTTCAGGTCGACTGCCTCGAGTATCTCCGACGGAGCCGCTGATATATGGAAAATACATAATTCCTGCGGGGGTAAGTTACAGATAAAGCTTCCATTCTAGCTATCAGCTTCTAATACACACTCTTTGTGTTATACAGACACCAGTCGGGCAGTCCAACTATTTCGCCCACAGGGATCCAGCGATGTATCCCAATCCAAACGCATTTGATCCCTATCGTTGGATCCATGCGGAGGATGAGAATACCAACCCGAAACCATTCTATGCTCCTTTTTCCAAAGGCAGCAGACAGTGTATTGGAATAAAGTAAGTAACCTCGGTTGGACCAGTGACCGTTTTCTACACTGNATTCTGTCCTGAAACTGATACCATTCTTACAGTCTGGCCTATGCAACCTTATACTTGACCGTAGCCACGCTAATACGGCGCTTCGATATGGAGATAAGCGATTCGACAGAAGACGAACTTCGAACAGCGCGGGACTTCCTGATCCCATTCCCGGAAAAGGGTCAAGCAATTGTTAAGGCCAGGGTCAAAAATGTCCTGACTACTTGAATGGGAACTGCAAAGGTGGAAATACAACCCGATATCGTGGATTTTCCTTCGAATTCTCTTTCTTCGATTCCTCTTTTCTTTTTCTTTTCACTTTATCCCTTTATTATTACTTATTTTTGGCCCTCAGACTCTTCGTTTTCACTTTCTACTCTTCATTTATCTTCCCAAAAATCACATTCCACCCTTCATTCTTCGTGACATCGTCACATCATATACCGAAGCAAAAAAGTAACAGGAAAAACTTTAACTTTGGGGCAGGACTGGACCCACCGAAGCCCCATGCATACTATCACCAAAATCATCAGGTTTTACTCCACCAAATCAAAGCCACGTCATCAGGAATACCAGATCCTATCTAGTAGTTCTCCGCTGCAAAGTCTAAATGCGACTTCGACGATTTCGTGTATGTCCAGTAGATAGACTAGATAACCGTCTCTCGAGGCGTGTGGGGAGCTGAAAAGCGGCGATCTCAATCTCCGGGCAGCTGCAAGTTTGGAACCTACTAAGTAAAAATATAGATCATGTATGCTAGATACATCTCAAGTCCAATACTGTAGGGTCGAAATTGGCGACACCCTATCAAGTTCTGTAGGCTTGTCTTTCCCATTGGCAGATCCACTCCACCGCCTCCTGCTGTATGCTATACGAACCTGTCACAGCGGTGTAGCCATCAGTAGATACTCTCTATCCCAGTGAGTACTAACTAGTATATAATTGAGATTGGGGTTGGTAAAGTTGGGTGGCTTGCTGAGTACTGGCAGCCCATGCCATCATATACAATTATACATACTTTCCTGGGAGAATGGGGCACAAACAAGAGTGCTAATGCGACACCAGGGGTCTTGTCGGTTCTGATCAGCTCCCCACTGGAATCTTCTTGTGCCGGGTTTGCGGATAGCCTTTACAGATAGTATATAAGTAAAACTATATAATACCCACAAAGTTGAACATTGCCTTGAGTTCATCGAGCCTTTGAAGATTCCCAAGTCTACTTACTACTATCCTCCTCCAAATATCCCCCCTACCCCCACCCCACCAAAAGAAAACTTTCCGCAATGCAGACAGGCATCTTTGGACCTAACCTCTACTCCCTTGAACATGGAGAGGAGACGGAAAAAGGCCTTGTTGCCGATATACTGGCAATCCCGGAACTCAGGAAATCCTGGATCCCAGACGTCGGTCCTCGGTTGTTCCATTCTAAAAGCGCGGTGGGATGCTACGATAAACATATGAAACCATACCCAATGGAAGAAAGTCTAGCATGGACGCGTTCCCTCATGACGTTTCCTGATATTCCCCGTCCTCTCAAGGCCCCTCCTCGCTCCGGCATGATTCCACGCGGAAGAGTTAACCTGCGCTCCATGGCTGAGACGTTCGATGTTCCTGATACTCCATTCTGGAATGCAGCTGCTGAGCAGATATATGGATATATTTGGTGTATGGAAGATGATAATCTCATTTGTAAAGACTGTGTGCGTGGAACTTCCTCGGTCGGTGTGTTGGCCACGTTTCCCGATTATTATCACTTCTGCCAGGAGTTGTACCCGGTACTGGAATTGAGTGCGAAACGCACAGTGGAATTTATCAACCATGTCCATCGCTGCCACCCCAATGGTGAAGAAGATCACAAAGTAATGGATGCCTGGCTGGCGACCGTGCAGGCTATCTATCTTGACGTTCTTCACCCCAAGGCAGACAGCCTGAAATGCCCAGCAGACGAACTGCAAAGCATCCGTTATCGACTAGTCAATTCTAGTGTTCGAGCTCTGACTCTGCAAGCGAGACTGGAGAGAGGTCCTTTGATAGGAGATGATGTCATTGTTGACGCTGTTTCGATTGCCATGATTACCATGCACGATGCGTGTGATTACCGGCATGACAACCAGGCCAATGAGTTCTACAATATCATGACAATTGTCAGTGCTCATCGAGGTGTGCCAGGGACGAACATGATCCGCCGATTTTGCATTGATGTGTGGGCTTGGGCTGTTGATAATGGAGCAGACTGGGCGATCCACCTTGCTGAACGCTTACTGGCCTGGCAGCTCTACATGGCGCGGTATAGAACCCCAATCCTCTTCGACCACTTAGTTCCTGCCGATGCGAACAATCAGCCCAAGGAAGATCCTTACGGCGACCCGATTCTGAACAGTATGAACCCGCTACCACCAAGTTCACAGCCGTATGACTTTGATCTCCGCAACCGATGTGGCAATAAGGAACGATATGACGAACTTTTGCGCGACTCTTTGGCTCATTTTGAAACCTGCTCTGGCTGTCATCAGTATGATAAGGTCTCCTGGGAATCTCGAGTGCCATTCATTGGTCGTGCATATGAGAAAAAGTATTCTGACTGCACCTGCTTGAATGCCATAAGCACGTACATGATACTTGCCTGCATGGAGCCGGTCTGGTGGGCTATGGATTATGCGGCCGAATATACCGGCCCAATGGAAGAATGGTCGCCGATGCTTTGCTGAGAGCTGACTCGATGTGAGTAATTGGTGACGACGAACACAGCCTGGATGCCCGTCTGAAGACTGTTGTTGGGCTCTGAAGTAGTGGTGTTATCTGCATGAGTAGTAATTGGTAGGAAGAAGAGAGGGTTTGCATTGTTTGGTGGTAGTCTTTCCTGTTTCGTCCCGCATTAGCCTTTCTTGCAGTCTGTCAGTTTTGGGAAATATCAAGTGCTGTACCTGCAACCTCATTCTGTTGGAAACTATATTTTCTCCATGCAGCCACATATAACGATCTGCTGTTGGTCAGCTATGCAATGGGCGTTACGCGACTTTGAATACAGTATGTGACATACCCAGAGCCATTAACAGACCTATCCTAACATCCTGAATGGCCGAGGCTAACGAGGTACATTATACCTAGGGCGCTACGTGTCCTCAGCATTATAATCTCTCAAGGTGTCCCACGCTTTTTGCCCGGCTTTTCGTGATATCCAACCTACTTTAGTAGCGAATTGCCACGCCCTCTTATCGTCACAGTGGAGGTGCTGTGCAGGTTAGCGACGTGTTTCGGATGTGGAGAAGGTACTGCATGACATAGGACCTGGCGCGATGTGCATACAAGGCCGAATCGTGAATAAATACTGCCTCAAGGGAGGGGAAACTGACTAAACTAGTCAGCTGAACCAACTAATGATGGCATTTCCTAGTAGCGATCGGCAAATGAACACCAACGCAGTCTTTCCGACTCATCCATCCTACTCTTTCCCACTCCAATTTCCCCTCTTCCTGGGCCCATCAATTGATCCTACCTCGCATCTTGCTGCGCCCTTGAACAGTTTTCAGTTTCTAATCTATCGTCTACAGTCCGAAGAAAGCATGACTGTACCCGCAGCTGAGGAATATGCCTTCGACAGGAGTTATCTGGACAGCATCCGGTAAGACTAAATGTCCTGCCAACTCAACCATCACCCATGATTCACGCCCATTCTCATTTCCATATAGCCTCAACGCCATGCATCATTACAACGGCCAAGTCTTCGGGCATCAGGTACACCCGCATATCAGCATGGAGAACCCAGATATGAGAATTGCTGATGTTGGTACCGGCACCGCGTAAGTTCGGTCATCAAAAGGAAACAACAAGCCAGATGCATCGTAGTCAGCAGCTAATTGACTTCTAGTATCTGGTTAACAGACCTAGCCAATAAGCTACCAAGATCCGTTCGTTTGGATGGTCTCGATGTTTCGTTTGATGCTGCCCCTCTTCGCGAATGGCTTCCAGCAAACGTGACCTTGCATCACTGGAACATCAAAGAGGAGGTTCCTGAACACCTAGTTGGTGCATATGACCTGGTCAACATACGGTTCTTTGCAGTTGTCATCCGAAGCTCTGAGATCAAAGACGTTCTGAAAAACTTGATCCGACTACTCAGTTTGTATTCTCCTTTTAACATATGATCAGCAAAGTGGCCGATTGACCATCGTCTAACCAAGTCAAATAGAACCAGGTGGCTTCCTTCAATGGACTGATGCTGATTCCTCTTCGGCGCGAACGGTAAAGCTCCGGCCTGATCTAAGCGATGAACCGTTGCAGCGGCTCTGGAGTTTCCTTCGAGGGGACGACGAAAGGTTCTACACTTCGTGGGTACCCGATCTGGGGACTCATTTCCAAGAAGCAAAGCTTGTGGACGTCGATGCCGATCGCATAATACCCCCACCTTATATTGACCAAGCAATGACTGAGATTATGTTTCTGGCCCTCGAAGTATCTACCAGAAATAAGGATATCGATGATAAGAGAGCTCAGGAAGTGAGGGCAACGATCCGAGACGCAGTCAAGGCTTCCAGAGAGGGCTCTAATTTCCAGTTTACCTATTGGAGATTTATTGGACGAAATGCCACGAGAGCGTCACTGTGAGACAGTTCTTTTGGATGTTATGACTCTCAATTTCAGCCGTCTATAGGCTGCTGCTCCACAACGTCACGTCTCTTTCAGAATGTACCTATACACTTCTCTTAACAAGGTATCTCAACCACGATTGAAATTATAACCCAAGGCCATTTCCCCACCTACTGAGTAAAGTTTACTTTCCATCTACTACCCAAGTTTTTTGGCCCGACCAGAACTCGCAAAGCGAAATCTCTTCCCCTACCACTGTCCTCGTCCTGCAACCGGACCAGTTCCCAGCACCTACCCAATCCCCGTGAAATGAATGCGTTCAATACGATCATTCATCTCAACCGACAGTAACACGTTCATCACTTCCCTTCCTGGCTTCCCTTCGCTTCGTTAACCCATAATGACACCCTAAAGCTGATATCCGGTCTCGATCAGATACTTCGATACTTCAAGTAGTATCTATCGAATGATTCCACATCTATCTCCTTGCAGCAATTATCCTGTTGACATCATACAATAAGTTTTAATACACGTCCTTTCTTGTAATTTCTCGTCACACAAAGGTTGCCGTGTTTGAACTTGCTTATTATAGTCTAGCTCAGATCTATTCTATCTCGCTCATTTATCTTCGGGGCCTTTTCACTGTGCGATTGTATGCCTCCGTGGGGGATGTCTTGTGGATACTAGGAAGGCTTTTCTAGGTTTTGGTTTATGTTGTAGGTGTAGCTAAGTAGGATCCAACGGCTCTCCCTTACAAGTATGAATGGTGCAGCTAGGAACGATACCGTCTTTCCTCCGGTCTTGTCTCTCTTCCCTAGAACGCTCGGAGTTTTTATTCGAAAAAAGACTTGCTCATTAAATGAAACCTATGGAGTCAAAGTGTGTATTTTAGGGGATTTGCAGTGTCTTAGCCAGGAAGCCAAGACATGACCATAAGGAATAAAGACGTCTATGCTACTTATTGAGATCCGCTGATCAGTCACCAGAAGTTCCATCCACCTTACAGTGACTACAAGTCCAGGTAATGTACAAATGCGACTTTATTTGGTGATATAACTACCTAAAAGCTGTACCACACAGCTCATTCGCACCGGTAGTCCTATCATGGCAGTATTTGTCTCCGGAACCAATCTAGTGCTCAGTCAGCCATATTTGTCTCCTAGAAGCCATCCACTGTTGGCGGTTCACGTACGAAACGATGGGTGATCATACTCCACCACAACAGCCTAACCGACGCGTGCTTCGTTGCAAAGTTATGCGAAAAAATTAGTCAGTCAGTCATGCTTCCAACCCTTCATTCTATCATGTTTGACTTACACACCCCCACCCCCCGTGTCCGATGTCCCAGGCCCGTCCCTGCCACCCAACCAGGGCCTAGTTCACTGCGGTGGTGAGCTCTGTAGATGTCAGCTATACGTATGATTGAGGAACCATGACTTGAAACATTTCAAGACTCACTGTACAGCAGGTGTTGAATCCATGTCCCAGGCCCGTCCCAACCGCCCAACCGAGGCCTGGTTCACTGCAGTGGTGAACCTGTAGAGTCAGCCGCAAAAATCAAGGGTGACGTGCTAGAAGACTTACTATGCTGTTGAGGTTAGTTAGCGTATCCCAAGCCCGTCCCAACCACCCAGCCGAAGCTTGGTCCACTGCAGTGGTGAACCTGTAGATAGTCAGCCACAAGTACGATCCAATATAATGAGCTAGAAGGCTTACTGTGCTGTTGAGGTTAGTGAGTATATCCCAAGCCCAGCCCATCCACCCAACCAGGGCCTGGTGTGTTGTAGATAACACTACAGTCAGGTGGCCATGTATTCAAGCTTCGAGAATGCGAAATAAAACCATGACAATTTCTTGGTGCCTCAATCAACCCCCTCCCCCTCCCCAGTGTCCGATGTCCCAGGCCCGTCCCTGCCACCCAACCAGGGCCTGGTTCACCACTGCAGTGAACCCTATATCAGGTTAGCCACGTTGTAATCCGAGATCCGTGAACTGGAAGACTTACTGTGCTGTCAAAGTTAGTCAGTACCCCAAGCCCATCCCATCCACCCAACCAGGGCTTGGTGTGTTGTAGAGTAACACTCTACTGTAGGTCGATAATGCAGTCATGTCCCTAGATTGCGAATCTAGCAACGTCACCTCCATAATTCTCAACCCCCCTCCCCCTTCCGTGTCCGATGTCCCAGGCCCGTCCCTGCCACCCACCAGGGCCTGGTTCACCACTGCAGTGAACCCTGTACAAGATTAGTGGCACATTCAATCACACTAGCAGTTAATGAGAAGACTCACTGTATGGTGGATGTTGAATCCGATAACCCAAGCCCATCCCTACCACCCATCCAAGGCTTGGTTTGTTGCAAAATCATATGAAGGCGGAGACAGTCAGCCCAGTCTTTTCGCGGATCTAGCATGAAAGCACTTACATGGCTTCAAAACCCCACCCCCATGCCCGATGTCCCAGGCCCGTCCCAACCACCCAACCGAGGCCTGGCTCACCACTGCAGTGAACCCTGTATATAGTTAGCCACATATACAATCTGGACAGCTGTGAGTAGGGGGACTCACTGTATGGTAGATGTTGAATCTAATAGCCCAAGCCCACCCTACCACCCAGCCAAGGCTTGGAGAGTGCAAAGATAGAGGCAGTTAGTCGTTTTAATCTTGAAGTCACTTTATATGACCACAACCCCCACCCCCCCGTGTCCGATGTCCCAGATCCGTCCCAACCGCCCAACCGATGCCTGGTCCACCACTGCAGTGAGCCTGTAGACATTGTAGTTAGCCACACATGCAACCGGGGCAGTCGGACATAAGGAGGACTCACTATTTGGCGGATGTTGAATCCGATAGCCCAAGCCCGACCCTACCACCCAACCAAGGCTTGGTTTGTTGGAGCAGTGAAACCTGTATAGAGTCAGCCACACTATTGTCATGCAGGCGGGAATAGAAAGACTTGCCAGTGCTGTGTTGTCGAAGTCTACAACTACGTCCCAAGCCCGTCCCTGCCACCCAACCAGGGCCTGGCTTGTTGCTGAAGCCTGTAGAACATCAGACATGCACGAAGAGAGATAGAGTTGGAACACTTACTGTATGCCCTTGTGTTAGATCTGAGCAGGTATATATAATATGGTCTTCCAGGCCCGTCCCATCCGCCCAACCATGAGGCCAGACCCGTGTGTGAGTCCTGTACATAATCAGTAAACGGGGAAGTAAGTCAGAGAATACCTAGTGGCTACTGTGTTGTGTGTAGTGTGTTGTTGTCCCAGGCCCAACCCATCCACCCAACCATGGGGCCAGAGAAGTTGTCGGCGCTTATGGAGAGTCAGCAAAAATAGGGAATCCAGCTCAAGGAGTACACACTATGCCGTATATAGGAGTAAGTATATATGGTATGGTCTTCCAGGCCCGTCCCATCCACCCAACCATGAGGCCAGACCCATTTGAGTCCTGTGCGAAGTTAGTACTTAATAGATAGACGAGTCAGAGAATACTCACTGTGTTGTGTTGTCGAGTTGCGTGCTGTTGTCCCAGGCCCAACCCAACCACCCAACCATGGGGCCAGGGATGTTGTCGCGCCTACTGGGAGTCAGTAAAATAGGACGTCAACTCAGAGAGGTACTCACTGTGTTGTGCTAGATAGTAGTATATACAATATATGGTCTTCCAGGCCCGTCCCATCCACCCAACCATGAGGCCAGACCCGGATGAGTCCTGTATGAAATTAGTATCAAAAAGGTAGGCAACTAAAGAAAACTCACCGGGTTGTGTTGTCGAGTTGTGTGTTGATGACCCAGGCCCGTCCCATCTACCCAACCATGGGGCCAGAAGTGTTGTCGCACCTGTGACGAGTCAGCTAAATAGGAAGTGAACTCGGGAGTACTCACTGTGTGTGTTATATCCCAAGTATATATACTATATAGTGGATATATAATATGGTCTTCCAGGCCCATCCCATCCACCCAACCATGAGGCCAGACCCGTGTACGAGTCCTGTGTAGAGTCAGCTAAATCAGGTACTGTCAGGTCGGAGCCGAGACTTACTGTGTTGCGTGTTGTACTCTATATCCCAGGCCTGTCCCATCCACCCAACCGTGGGGCCAGGTACGTTGGTGAGCCTGTACAAGTCAATAAACCAGAAGCCAAACTGGAAGCCAACTCGGAGACAACTCACTGTGCTGTTAGGTCGCAAGTGCGTATATATAATATAAGGTCTTCCAGGCCCGTCCCATCCGCCCAACCATGAGGCCAGACCCGTTATGAGTCCTGTGCGGGTCAGTAAATCAGTAGTCAAGTCAGTGTGTACTTACTGTGTTGTGTGTGGCGTGTTGTTATCCCAGGCCCGTCCCATCCAACCCAACCTAGGCCAGTAGAGTATAGGTGCTCTGTACAGGTCAGCCATCCTTACCAGCGGCTAGTCAGGTAGTGAGTACTTACTGTGTTGTGTGTGGCGTGTTGTTGTCCCAGGCCCGTCCCATCCGCCCAACCGAGGCCAGTCGCGTGTGGGAGTTCTATAGTACCAGTCAGCCATTTTGATCAAGATCTAGTCAGGGGGAGCACTGACTGGTCTACAGTATATAGTTGAGTGTCGATACCCTGGCCCATCCCATCCGCCCAACCTAGGCCAGTCGCGTTTGGGTGTTCTTGTAAGTCAGCCATTTTCAGCAGCCAGCAGGTAGTTAGAAAGATAGTACTCACTGGTCTACTGTTCTAGTTGGGTGTCGATGTCCCAGGCCCGTCCCAACCACCCAACCTAGGCCAGTCGAGTTTGGGAGTGCTATAGAAGAGTCAGCTAATTTCTATCAGCAGGCCACTCAAGAGTACTTACTGTCAGGTGCTGTGTAGTCGGTGTCCCAGGCCCTTCCCATCCACCCAACCAAGGCCAGTGGTGTCAAGAGTGTCCTACACAAAAGTCAGCCACGCTCACAAGCAGAGGGCAAGCTATGTAAAAGAGAGATGAGTGTGTAAATGGCAGTAGATAGCTGGGATTACCTACTAGAAGATCTGGAAGGTTAGATGGTAAGTAAAGGCAGGCTATGTGGCAGATAGATGTCAGTAGATGGCAAAAAATGGCAGAAGATGGAAGGAAATGGCAGATAGATGGAAGTTAGATGGCAAGAAATGGAAGATAGATGTCAAGAGATAGCAGGTAGATGGAAGTTAGATGGTATAGAGATGGCAGAGAGATGAAAAGGAAGATGAGAAGAGGGAGATCAAGAGAAATGTAAAGAGATGGCAGAAGATGTGGGAGGGAAAGAAACCCCCAGCCTCCCTGGGGAAAGGGAAGGGGTTTTATACCAGTGAATGGCGCCTTACGACATGGTGAATGAACCAGCTGCAGTGTGACTCAGGAAGCTCAAAGAAGTAGCAGTTGTGAGTTCATGGTAGCATACCCGTGGAAAACCGAGCAAATCTGGATGTCAAGGGTAGTATCGTTAGCATCAGGATTCTGCAATAGGAGGGAGTTGGTACTAACAATAGGTCCTACAGCTCTGCAAACCCATGGAAAACGCTTGTAGGTGAGTCCAGAACGAAAGTATACAACCAGACTCTTCTGGTTGTATATCCTCATAAAGTGTCAACGTTGCAGCTTGGTTCTCCTTGGGTGTTGTGTGAGTGTGAATGGGAAGAAGCTGGAGTGAAGTCGACGAAGAAACACATTATACTGTGGGAGTAGCACCTGCCGTATTGGGAAACGAGACGCGACTACCTCGTCCTGTCACTTCACGAGCAGAACAGCCTCGATACCGAAATAAAGAAAAATAGTACAGTGTGAATACACCAAGGAAAGTGTTACTGCTCCTTTCCTATGTTAGAGTACGAGGTTCGCGTTTTGTAGAGAAGTGGTTACTCTCCAAGTATCGCTTCGCTTCGGCCGAATTGAGTCGCTATAGTTCTTGCTGGATCAATACCATGGTACTACAACCGAGAGCCAAACTTTTCACCAGGTCTGGTCTAAGTATAGATTTGAGTCTGCTCTGGACTCTCTTATCCTGCCCAGTGAAGGATTATATATTTATCTGGGGTATAACTAGTAGCAAAGCTAAATGATTCTTTCAGGTTTAACGTCGTCCAGGATCATGGGGATTGAGGACTCTTCGACAGCTGGGGACTCCAGCGGCTCAAGACCTTAGCGACTACACAGGAAGAAATAACTAAACCTGCATGATTACAGCTTCAACATACTTGGTATCTCCTGGAGCAAATGGAAGCTGTCAATAATTCGAGGTAATATTTCGACTGTATCAAAACGAGCCTCAAACAACGGAGGCGTATTCCGGCTGCCATCACCATTTGATCAGGGTGTTTGCGACGAGGTTGCCATAGAGAGGACTGAGTCAAAAATAGAAGGCATAACCCGTTCAGGCATTGTATATAGTAGTAGTCTATACTACTGTAGCACGGCATCTTGAGTCTACGAGACATAACGACGTTATTGTAGGGATACAATTCCGCTTAATTATGTCTATATTACTACATCAGGCTACTAAATATATAGTTACTAGTACTACTGACTACTAAGCGCCAGCCAGCCTCCGATATTGGCAAGCAGATCTATCGAATTATCGAAGGAGCTGGTTCTACAGGAATGTCACATACGTAGAAATGATCCTAAGCACCGATGCTGGCAACCCACGTGCTATCTGTCTCAAGACCTCTCGACACGTTATATGCATGCAGACCAACAGAGCACTATCGAGTATGGAGAATGGCCGAGCGTAGGGCATGCCAAGACGTCACTAGTGGTAGAAAGCCAAGATCGACGCTGGCCACGCAGCTTCGGGGATTATCTGGCGGGGTGGTTTCTTTGAGGATTGTCAATCGATTGGCTAGTATTGCATCCGCGGGCTGATAGTGCACTCAAGGATGAAGAGGGCACAGCGGGAATGGTACGTCTCTAGCCTGACGCGACAGAAGCAGCACACTTCTGGATCACGAAAGATGAAGATCGCAGGATTGCGGTGTGGTGGAAGTCATTGGAAGATAGTGGCGGTAAGTGAAACTGGGCTTGGCAATGCTGGCACATGAGATAGCGCCGATGTGGTTTGGAAGCAGGAAGTTAAGTTTGCCATACGAGGGCTTGGGAAGGTTCAGTCAGGCTACAAGAGGGAGGAGTATCACGAGCGATGAGTGTGAGTACCCAAAATTGCGGCAGAACTTGCATGCAGTCTGGATAGTAAGTAATCTGCAGGCAGCGTCATGGTGGGGTTTCACAACAGGGAATGCTGCTGTTTGAGATAGCGCTTACCTGATTCCCCTGGGGTTGTGTTGGGGGGATTTGACAGTCACTCACTCACTCACCTTGACAGAATCAAATTCAGCATATCGAATCACACTCTATACTGGACCTTCTTCATTTACAGCAAATGTCTACACAGTTTACTATTCCATGATTTTTATTGAATGTACCTGCACCTTCCAAATAACTGGCGGTGAAAAAAGCAGAAGCCGTGGAATGAGCGACGGGCGGGGCGCGGAACCACAGATTGGCTGGCAGGAGACACTATCACTAGTAAACACCCAATGGATTCGCTTCACAGACGCCGGTGGATGCAGTCTGGATCCCCAATGGCCCCCCCTCTTTACAAGCAAGGGAAGTACTTACTACCAGGGCAGTTTATGGTGCAATTCCAGGTCACTAACATTCCCTAGTCGGGTGTCTGGATTACACCATCGCGTGGAAGGATTTAGGTGGAGGGGCTAAACGGGGGCACTANAATATTTCCACGGGTGGGAGGGCTCCAAAGGTACCTTGAACCCCCTGGTTGCTGATGGTGCTGATTGGAGACAATCACTCCATCGACATGCAGGGACATCCAATGCAACCTAACTGTCTCTTTGTGTTAGTCTTATTCATTAGTCCTATTGGTGAAATGCAAGGGGGAGAAAATCTCACCAGCAGCACACGGGGTGGTGGTGGTGACATGCCCCGCTGCAAAGAGAGAACAAGAAAAACNCAAACAAAAGTAGAGGGCAAAAGAAATTAGATCGGTCTTTTGGACCTATCGCACTGAACCCTCAATATTAACTTTCGGGCGAATACTCATGCGGGGAGAGCCTTCTTTCTTTGGGCCCTCAAAGGGATTTCGATTTCTCATTATGCTTCGTGCTTGACTATTTGCGCCTACATGCCCGTTCACGGTGGAACAATGAGCTATCACGGCTTTCGCTATGTCTCGCGCAGCATGGGGTTCGCAATGGGATACTTGTACTGGTACTCGCTGGGTATTTTGGTCCCCTATGAGGTTGTCGCAGCCTCCATGGTCATCGATTACTGGCATCCGAACGTCAATCTGGCCGTCTGGATTACCATCATGCTAGTCGTTATCGTGCTTCTCAACTGTCTCCCGGTGGGCGTATATGGCGAAACTGAGTTCTGGTTCTCCGGAATCAAGATCATTACTCTGATCGGTTTGCTGCTCTTGTCCTTCATACTCTTCTGGGGCGGTGGTCCCAACCGGCAACGCCTCGGGTTTCATTACTGGAAAGATCCAGGAGTCATGAACACCTACCTTGTCAGCGGTGATGCCGGTCGCTTCGTCGGACTTCTGCAGTGTATCGTCAAATCAGCTATCGCCTTCATCTTCGCGCCCGAATTAGTCGTCATTAGTGGCGGTGAAATGGAATCCCCGCGTCGCAACGTCCCCAAGGCCGCTCGTCGCTATATCTACCGACTGGTCATCTTCTACGTCTTGGGCGCCTTGGCCATCGGCGTCATCTGCTCCTCCAACGCCAAACAACTAACCGCCGGCTCTGGCACTGACGCCTCCTCCTCCCCCTTCGTCGTCGCAATCTCCAACGCCGGCATCCCCGTCCTCGACAGCATCGTCAACGCCGNGATTCTCACCTCCGCCTGGTCCGCCGGCAACTCCTTCCTCTACATGTCCTCCCGCTCACTCTACTCCCTTGCAGTCTCCGGCAACGCCCCGAACATCTTCAAAGCCTGCAACCGATGGGGCGTACCGTACTACGCCGTGGCCATCTCCTCCCTTTTCTCCGTCCTCGCCTACATGGCCGTCGGCAGCGGCAGCTACACCGTCTTCAACTGGCTCATCAATTTCACCAACACCTCGGGCTTCATTTCCTGGTTCTGCTGCAGCATCGTCTACTTCCGATTCAACAAGGCTGTGAAGGTACAGGGCGTCGAGAAACCGTATGCATCTCGCATGCAGCCCTGGGGCATGTACATCGGTCTGATAGGGTCGGTTTTCCTTGCCCTCATCAATGGATTCACGTGTTTCTTCCCGTCCGAGTGGTCCGCGAGTAACTTCTTCACGGCATATATCGGTATCCCGGCGTTTGTGGTGCTATATGTTGTTCATCGCATCGTGTTCTGGAGCGATCCGTGGGCGTGGAGGAGTGAGGAGGTTGATTTGCATACCGGGTTGAGGGAGATTATGGAGGCGGAGAAGCCCGAGAGGGTCAGGGATACATGGTGGAAGAAGTTGGCGGTTTTGGTGGAGTAGACGGTGATATTTGATGGGTGTTGTTGCGGGTGTCTGCTCGGTTAACAATAGTTTAATTAGCTAAAATACCACCTGTTATTAGGGACGTCAGATATGAGTTACAAAAGCATCATCGATCAGTTTTCTTTACGAGTTGCACTGAAGAAGGAACTGAATGCAGTGGTTGTACTTGAACAGAACTGTGGCTTTAGCCATCCGATGGAAGAGTGGACAATTCCACGGAATGCTGAAATAGATGGATTTTGATCCAGGCCCGGCCCGACATTCACCTTCAAACTCAGTGTCGCTACAGTAAAGAGCTTGGGAAGCTAGTTATTGAGCTTAAAGGATGACAGCTGAATAAATTGGAGTTCCAACTCTCCGGACCCGAATCGGTGCTCCTCAGCCGACACACATGGTGCAGCCATTCTTTACTCATCCATGGACCATTTCCTCTGATCAAACCACCATGTGATCATTCTAGATGGAAAACATCTATTCAAAATTTAGTAAGTATTCATAATTCAAATTTGTTATGCAACTATCACCGAACTAGCCCGGCTAGCTCAATCGGTAGAGCGTGAGACTCTTAATCTCAAGGCTGCGGGTTCGAGCCCCGCGTTGGGCTTTCTTTTTGATTTTTTGCCCACCAAAACTACAACAACAACAGCTACAGTAAAAGCCGCGAGAGTTAATTTATAATTCACGATGTAAACATGTGATATTAAGCCTGGCTGCAACCGTCGGACCTCAAACCATGGATAAGCTAATTGATCATGACAACAGTAAAGGTCTGGAACGGTCTGCCTCTTATGTGACTAGATTCAGGAGCATAAATGGTTCACCCCAATCCAATGCCAACTGAACAACGCCCGAATCCCTAACTAGCGTAATGCAAGATCAATCTTATGGGCTGCCTTCAATCACCAACATGAAGTTCCCAATCCTTGCTTCAGCTCTACTTCTCTCCGGGGTCCTGGCGGAGCACTTCCAGGTCCCTTTACAACATACCATCTCACCTTGCTCCACCAAACCACATACTAGCCACGACGACCTCAACCACAACATCAACACCATCCCGCACGGCATCACTGACGACCCTCGCAGTATCGACAACCAGACATTCGACTACATAATTGCCGGCGGCGGGCTAACTGGCCTCACCCTCGCCGCCAAACTAGTCGAGCAGAAGAAATACACCGTCCTAGTGATCGAAAGCGGCTTCTATGCATGGGAATACGGCCCCAAGATTGACGACCTCAACACCTACGGCCAAGTATTCGGCAGCAGCGTCGATCATGCCTACGAGACCAGTCCGCAGCTCGTCGGCAACGACGGTGAAACTGGACTAGATAAAGACATCAGAATTGTTCGGTCCGGAAATGGTCTCGGAGGGTCAACGCTCATCAATGGGGGAACGTGGACACGGCCACACAAGTCGCAGCTTGATTCGTGGGAAGAGGTCTTTGGGAATACCGGGTGGAATTGGGACGCGCTGAAGGGGAAGATGGATGAGATTGAGGTTCCGAGGGATCCGACGTCGGATGATATTACGAAGGGGTCGTTCCATAAGTTTGATGCCGAGTGTCATAATAAGGAACCGGAGAAGGGGAAGGTTAAAGTCGGGGCGAGGGATCGGAAGTATGGTTGGTCGCCGTTGATTCGGGCGTTGATGCACACGGTTAACAGTACGTATGAAGAGGTGGTGAATCAGAAGGATCTGTGTTGTGGGGATCCAACTGGGGTGTCGATGTTTTTGAACACGCTTACCAATGAGCAAATCCGGACGGATGCTGCTAGGTCGTGGTTGAAGCCAATCTTGGATGATGATGAGTTGAAGCAGTATATTACGGTTTTGACGGGGGAGCTCGTTGGGAAGGTTCATCTAAACGAGGCCAACCCTTCGGAGACAGGAACAGAATTCAAAGCGAAAGGTGTGGAGTTTGGGGTGCACAAGAAACAGGAGTGGAAGTGGGATGCTTGGGCTAGGAAAGAAGTCCTTCTAGCCGCGGGGTCCACGATCTCTCCCCTCATTCTGCAGTGGTCGGGAATCGGTCCGAAAGTCTGGCTTGATGCTGCGGGAATAGAACATAAGTTGGAGCTCCCTGTGGGATATAACCTCCAGGATCAAACAACGACTTCGGTAGTGACGAAGCCGAAACCAGAAGCGAACGGCCAAGGCCAGGCAGCCTACTTTGCAACCTTTGCAGAGATCTTCGGTAAAGATGCCTCAGATATGGAAAAGCTCCTGAANGACGATACAGAGCTCGACAAATGGGCAGAACACACAGTGAACGGCCACGGATTCCCCGACAAGGCCAACCTCCTAAAACAGTACAAGAACTACCGAGACTGGCTCCTAACCGACAAAGTATCCTATGCCGAACTATTCCTTGACACCGACAACAGCACCCATTTCGACCTCTGGAATCTGATCCCATTCACCCGAGGGTATGTCAAGATCCTAGACAACGACCCCTATCTGCGAAGCTTCGAATATAACCCGCGATACTTTGAAAATATCCTCGACTTGAACGGCCAAGCTGCTGCTACGCGGCTGGCACGACAATTGACCAACACGTATGACATGAAACAGTACGTGGACAAAGAGCAGGTCCCGGGGAGGTATGTACCAGAGAACGCGAATCTAACTGAATGGGCCGATTATGTGAAGCAAAACTACCGGGCCAATTATCACGGGGTGGGGACTTGCTCTATGATGAAGAAGGAGCTTGGTGGTGTTGTCGACCCGGAGGCTAAGGTGTATGGTGTGGAGGGGTTGAGAGTGGTGGATGGTTCAATCCCGCCTACGCAGGTGTCGTCGCATGTTATGACGGTGTTTTATGCGATGGCTGTGAAAATTGCAGAGTCAGTTATTAAGGATGCTGGTAATGCTTAGGGGTGAGGCGGTTACATATAATGAGATGAGGGAATGATTGGGGATAGTGGGTAGTAGAACTATCAACTGAATTCGGTACAAAAAGGGAAAAGAGTGCAAAATCAATATCAGGATTAAAGTTTTGTGTATAAAGCGTCTTGAAGACGGAAGCATAAAGCATAGGCTTTTTGATAGGGTAACATAAAAGAATTAGTTGGTCATCTGGATATCCCAGGGATTCGGGGTTAGCGAGGATGCTTTGGTCAATCGTCACAACGATGAAAGTCCCTACTCCGTAACCTTCCATGTGGCCATCTCTTGAGTTACACATGAACTGGCAATTTCCATCAGCCAAGTGTGTGACGACGGGGATCGGACTTAAGAAAGCCTAGCCAGGGGCGTTCCGTCCTAATCACGGATTACACCTTACCTTAGCTGGACCTCCAAAAGGTATATAAGCAGTACCAAGTCTCCTATGCTGCTGCTAGTCTATCTACTTCCATTCCCAGGTCTAGTTGGGAATCAAAGCTGAATGAACTATATAAGTCAACGAACAACATAGTTTCCCACGACCAGGATGACATAAGAGTCGACGCTTCTGAGCTGGTCATTCAGCATGAGAAGCTGCCTAACAACCCTTTAAAGCCGGTTCCGAACAAACCCATGCAAATGCTGAAAGGGTCCGGAAAATCTCCTAGAAGTGCCAAAAGAACAGCAGTTGAGGGCCAGCAGACATTTTCGATAATAAGGGCGCCAAGGAAGTACTCGATGTCATGGTTTTCGAAGCACGCTATATATTCGTTCAATGATCAAATAGGATCTCCAGAAGATCGACTACAGAGGCTTCCAAGAGGGTGTAGAAGTTTCATGGAGGACAGAATTCATTATAACGGTACAACGAAGAAGAGATTCAGTACGGTCTGAGACACTTGCAACATAAGTATTATTCCAATTATCGACACGGTGGATTGCATGCAGTGGACTCTCTTTAGCTTCTCTTGTTCGAGAGTTCATATATATTCTTCCTTTGGAAAAAGGGAAAGAGAGGCAAAGATGTTGCCTGGATGTGAACCAGGCCAACAACTATTGTGGTTGTTCTGCGCATACATGCATTTGTTGTGCGCGAAGGTCGTCATCTGGAATTTGAATGGACGTTGCTTCCATCCCAGAAACGCCTCACAATCTTCAGGTTATGAAACACAGGTATATAGCAAGTGAGCCCTTGAGAACCTGACAACGAACGTTTCCATACTCGCGAACCGACTATATTTTGATTCATATAACGAGCTCTTGTTCCTGGCGTAGCCAGGAGAGATTGGACCTGACTCGAGGTCATTATGACAACTATATTACTCGGGTTCGCTCACCTGACTGTGCCAAACGAGACCTATTGCCTTTATGTATTTCGCAAGCAAAATGCACCTTGGCTACAGCCTGGGAGATCCCTGTTTCTTTATATCAAACCTTTGTGGTACCAAAAATTCCGAATGTGGTTGCTGGGGGCTCGTCGCGTAGAAGCAGCATATTGAATTATTCAATTGTTCGGTGCAATTATGTCTACAATACAGGAGTAGCTGGGTTGAAGATAAGCGTGTGCTTGTGGAATGGCGGTTGCGAAACCTTACTGGGCGGGAATTGGACCTCACAGACTGGAGACCAAAACACACAGAGAACACTACCAGGTACTCGTGTCGGGCTTCATTGAGCTATGGAATCATGATGATCCCGCAGCAGCCGATCCTTTTCACAACCTGTCGGGTCATGGTGATGAAAAGAAACCCAGGTTTGACTTCGGCCCGCACTTGACTGTGCACAACAATACAGACATACCTGAACCAAGATATACAGTTCGAGTTTGAGAAACTAATTATGATTCTGAGACTGATTTTGACAACTCGACAGCAGCCCGGCCTCTAATGCCACTGGGAGGGGTGTACACGTACGGAACCTTTGACTATCAATATCCTGGATCCATCAGCTATCAGATCAACATCCTGGTCAACCAGCATCAGTCCCGATTGTCCAGTGTCGCATTCGAATCAGTTGTACAGATGGGTATGCAGAACCACGGGACTGACTTGATTTGTAGCATGAATTTGTCTGAACAGGATGACATGCCCGAACCAAGATATACCACTCAATATCAAGAATTCAGTATACTTCTGAGACTGATTTTGACAACTCGACAGCAGCCCGACCTCTGATGCCATTGGAAAGGGTGTACATATACTAGCTTGTCCCCCAAATAACCTACTTTTGGAGGCGAAGGCTCTTCTCGATGATACCCGCGTCACTGACGTGTTGAGAAGCTGAACATGAATGCGTCCTGTGGTGAGGGGCTTCAACAAGGTCATTATCATGGCGGCGATCCCAGCAACAATGTGTACCTTCAGCATGACAGACTACATTATTACCATTAACAAGAAAGTAACAAGGTGAAGTCTTCTGGTGCGAAACAATAGATGAAGAAAAAGGCAGCTTATTGGATTTCTTTCTCTTACAAGCACAATAAGCAGCATTTCTCAAGCTTGATTATCACAGGTATCTGAGGTGCACAATGTACTTGTTGGAAGCACAGCCTAAGCAGCACAATATCTCAAATATGGATGTTGAAATGGTCTGCAGCTGGAAGAGACCAAAGCAATGCTACAGCACTAGCTGGTGTTCCTTTCGAGAACTGGACATCCCCAGCTTAATGGGTTTAGATTGACTGGGTGGGGCATGTGGAGATCACATTTATTTTATCCCCCGCATCGGACTATCATTCTTATTTGTGCTTCGCTTCGCACCGCCACATCTGATCACCCACACACACTTGAACCCACAAAATAGCACCAGGTGTGCACTATACGGCGAGATGACTGGCTGGGGGAGCAGTTGTCAGCTGTTTCAGGTCATTTCGCGCATTCATCGTCCGCCTTATCGGAATAGCTCACATGCACATCCTTAGCACATTATTTAATGTCTGCTGTGGCTTCAGACAAATTCCCTATAGTTATTATATAGATAGTATTAGATTGGCTGTGTATATCCGCTGCACCGTGTATGGTCAGCGATGCACAAACGAGACCTTGCCTACAAATCGAGTTGTTATGACATCCCCAACCTATAATAATAACTGCTTCCATGAGCGCTTATCAGAACTAATATATTGCCAAGACTGCACCGATCTCCTAAATGCTTATTGTCCCACTCATAGCAGATGTCTTCACAAGAATGCATCTAGATTACGTAATATACACCAGCATGAAGTATTGCGGCCTGAGGCACGAAGGGCTAAAGGGCAGCTGAAATTGTGCTGCCTAGGAAGTGGTCGTAACCGTGCTAGCTCTAACCAACAATATGAATATAGGGATTTGACTATCACCAAGAACAATGCCCAGACAGTTTGAAGAGTATTGAAGTTGCGGGTTAATAACGAGGAAAGAGCGTCCAGGTTAAGTCCTGATACATAGAAAATCAGCAAAAATTTTAAAGGTGATCGCATTTTCCACAGCGAGAAGCCCGTTGATCTCGTTAACAGCCCTTAATCTGAAACAAGAAGGCTATCATCTAGTGTATGGCAGTTATTCCGTTCACTGAGTCATTGGTTCTGGACTTGTCCGCGTTAAGGACCAACGCTCGGTAAACGTCATCCCATATCTCGATGCACCACTCGGGCTTAGACCTGCAGGCGGTGTGCCAGTCAGCCTCACCCAGCTTTTGCCCTCCAAGACCCTGCCATGAGGGGAAAGCGATCTTTGGCATGAGTTACGCTCGTTGTGCCTGAAGCCAAGTGGACAAATCCCTACGGGCTTTCTCTTTCTGTAGCGCGATCGAAGGAGAGTGCCATACGTTCATCTGCTCACACTACAGGATCTGTCCAGTAAGATTGTGCATGAAAGGCTCCTTTTAGGGTGATTGGGCTTTGGAGAGCTCAGAAAAAGGCAACTTGTTATTGAGACTCCACAGATAGCCATTTAGACTCTACGGCTAGCTTTATCGGGAATAGTACTAAACTTTAGTCTACCTGTTTAGAATAAATAAAATAATATTCAATTTTATTAAATACTAGACTAGCTAGCGATAATATGAGTTTCTAAGTATCTTACCAAATAATCCTGAGCACATAGTTACCATCCTAAGCGTCCGAGTATTTCGTTCATGGTCTAGCTAGAATATTACTTCGGAATTCCAGAACAAATTCTTAGAAATAAAACGCTAAGAAGAAATCCAGATATCTGTATGTAAAATATACCCCTTGATTTCAGGAGGCGCACGAACCAGCTCGTTGAGATGCTAAACACCAAATGAGGTATTCATTAAATGTAGTACTGGCCGCAGCAAGCAGGGGTAGAGCATTATTGTACAATAATAATAATAATAATAATAGTAGTAAAATAAATCACAATTACTTGACCAGAAATTACATAATATCGCCTAGTGGCAGTGGTATGGGCTGCTCCTAACCTCCTTGAGACTGGGCCTAACCTCTGTAGACTAGCCATGGAGTCCAATTGGTCACCTGTATAATCTCAATAATAATTGTATCAAACAAAGGACTGGACGATTTACTATGAAATAGTCGAAGTATCTGTAGGATATTCGAGTGCACGTTTGACCCAGACTTTTAGGGGACCTCAGATGAGAGGAAGTTTCTGGTCATAGGAAGGATTAAAGTCAGAACTCAGACCTCAGGTGTCAGGGAAAATTGCAAGCATCGTTGGCTCTTTTTGGGGGGCACACTGTGTTCCAGACAGACTGAACCCACCTCTGAGGCCACCCCTCTTAAGACCACTGCGTTGTTGGTGGAAATGATCGCTGGTAGACTTCCGGTCAAGACTAGACCGAGTTGGGGAAAACTAAAATGAAAAACAGATGACCGCCAAATTGGGAAATCGAAAAACCGGCAGGGAAGATTGAATAAAAATCAAAAACGGATCCAGGAAGTTGGCAGGGAAAATTGCCATGATAATTGAAAATGGAAAACGTTTAACGGCCATGTCAGAAACACGGAAAATCGGCAAATCTTTTTTTTTAAATAAGAAATGAAAAATGGTTAGGGGACCATAAAAGAAAAAAACATTTTTTTTTCCCCGAAAAGAAGAAAAGGAAAAAAAAAAAAAAAAGAAAAAGAAAAAAAGGAAAAGAAAAAAGGAAAGAAAGAAAGGAAAAGAAACGAACCAGGGCAGATCGGGCCAGTGGAGCTTAGGGAGACCCGCTTGCCGGGCAATTGAAGCCCGCCCGACCCCACGACATACACGTCTGGTCTGTAGTATACGGACGTCGCGATCATACATCATCGAGCGCATAGCGTCCCTTCTAGAACTGTGCCTACCTATATATACCCCAGCTATCTCTGCCCCCATTGAACTAAACTTATCAACCATCTAGCAGTCTTTTTCTGGGACGTTCGTCCTTTTAGGCTCTACTGTTTTACCAAGTACTACAACAACCTTCTCAATGCAGAACGTTCCGGGTCGCAATTCGAGTTCCGGCAGGAAAGCTGCTTATACAAACACTTCCATGCCAAACACCCATGGAACCGAGTGTACTGGAACCCAACCTACTCCGACAAGCCTTGGCCAAAAAACAGGTGAAAATGCGGACTTCAGCTCAGCAGTAGTAGACCCGACAGCGGCATTCCAGTTCAGCGACCCATTCAACCAAATTCTCTTTGGCTATCCGACCGCTGCGGACCCCCTCCATGTCATCAACGAGTACAACCCAAGTCAGCCTGCCCACCCTGGATTGCACGAGTATCAGCCAGGAGGGGAGATTCTAGAACAATTGTTCCTGAGTCGCCCCCCGATGGTCCCCTTGCCGGAAGCTGCTGCGGTCCCACCCGCGCTGACCTATGGCATACGCGGAGGTCGCGGGCAAGAACCCATGATGTAAGTAGTTGAGAGATAAGTACCCTACGATTGCATCGTTTTGATGATGAGAGTTGCGATCCAGACCCCAACTTGCCACACTCCGCTGCAAGTGGGAAGGTTGTACGTATTCGCGATCCTTCAACAGGAGAGAAGAACTGCTCCGACATGTCAGAAACCTCCATGTTTCTCCCCGGTCTTACCCTTGCGAAACGTGCGGTCGGCGATTCAATCAGTCATATAACAGAGCGGTCCATATGCGGGTTCATCAGATGGGAGGGGTATCACGTGGGTGAGGCCAAACACATCACCGTTATATGCTCTTTTTATCGCCACAATCCTTTTCTTGTCTTACTTTGTTTGTTGTCTGGGGGAATCGGGGTATTGTTCGCGAAAGGACAGAAGGCATGCGTATTAGGGCATTTTCTTCCTTCCCTTTTCTTTTTATCTAGAATATGTTTTCTACGTTCTCATGAGACATTTCGGGTTACCTTTATTTATGCTCTTGGGAAGTTCATGAAATAGAACTGATTTTTAAATATATCGGTTGGGTTGATTACATTAGCGACCAACAGCAAAAGGTGCCTTGCATAGAAGTTCGCTAAATCATGCGGGTAAATGCCATATGACGATGACATGTGGGCATATTTTGAAGAATGCATAAGTGTTGATCATTAGTGTAGCCGAAGAACACAATGAAAGAAGAAAAGAAATATAGTATTAGCTGCAGTTCTGTTTCCCTTTCCACCTCGATGCACGAGGGCGTAAACACAAGCCAAATGTTGAGGCAGCTATATTAGTAGGCTTGGTCACGTGGCTGGATTGCGCTGCCGCCACACCAAGCACCTCTCCGTCGCGCTCGTTCCGCTGCGCGTTCCTAAAAAGCAATTTGACACTATTCCGCTGTATTCTTTGCTTGCTTGCTTCTCCGCCTGTAGAGCGTTCGAACACCAAATATAATTAATCAACTTTGTAATCAGTAACAAGAAACGGTCTATGGGGGAGATTCTCAGAACTAACAGTCCCTCAAGATCCAGAACCTACAAGTCAACCGTGGCTACAAATCGGATAGTGTACACCCAGATAGCCGCGCAAATCTGAAGAAACCCTGGGTCCGTGCGGGGACAGATGGGAGCAATTCCATGCGGATGTGAGAGCTCCAATCTGGCGCCATGTACTAGATTGGCGCGTAGGTAGGAAAGCTAATGTAAGCTGTCCTGGTACAGATCTCAACAGTTGAAATTAATAGCATCCGTCGTTCACGCACGGAAGCCGAGTCTGCTACTGGTGCTGTTTTCCTTACCAGCTAACTTTTATCCCCTATACCGCTATCCACGTAGTGAAAAGCGCCCCGGAAAAAGAGCAATAGGCGTTAAAGAGGGGATAGGGAAGAGGAGGCGGACGAGGGGGTGGGGAAGTGGGGGCATGGAGTTGTGTACTCACAGTATCAAGATTGACCTATCTACGGAGTGCTGGTGAGTTGTTAAGTGGCCGAGGCGTCAGCTAGTCCCTGCCTCAACGGTAGGAAGTATTTCTATTTTCTGCCGGGTGAAAACGGGTTTTTGACAAGATGATAAATACCTCGCATAATAACCGAAACGAACCCGATCGGCTCTTGCAGATTTTAACTAGTTATAGTGTGGGTAATTTGAATAAGCGGATCTAGAGATGGGCATGCAGGTGGGAGGAAGCGGGAGGATCATGGATTCTGTGGAGGCAAAATTTCCGAGGTTCTTTGGATTTACTAAATACAGATAAAGTTGGGTAGAGAGTACTTAGCACTGGAATAGAAGCTGCCCAACCAAGTGGGCACTGACGTGAATCGCTCGTCGCCGTGATTGGCGGAAACCCCGATAATGCTCGCATGGTGCCTAATGTGATGAAGATAAAATGAACAAGGCACAGACAGAAAGGATTGAAGAACGAGGAAACGGTCCGGTAGTCTCGCTGTATACCGTTCCATTCACCGCCACGACGCGATAAAATGAGCCTCAGGCGTAATGGCAGGTTGCGCCCTGGCTACAGAGCGCTTAGATGGTGACTTCTGGATTTCAACTGGCCCGGAGAGGATGTGTGTGAGACCAACACATCGACCTCGATGATATGGTGGAATAAGAGGTCACTAGCAGTCACCAAAGCACTCCGACCATTGGCCGATTGCTTCCACGAAAAAGGAGATATCACCTACCAATGAAGGTGATGTAGCGAAAGGCAGCACCAACTTGATGATCGAGATGTACGTCACGTTTCTGGCGTGACGCGCATAGTACTTAAACAAAGGGTCCCCGAGTTTGAACGGCATCATACTTCTCAACCGAGTAGAGGCTGGCCCATACTCGAGGTCTTTACCATGCCTGAGGCTCCTAATAACCGTTCTGCCTCGGGGGCGACTCGAGGCACACCATTCTCTCCTCCGACACCTCCCGCTGTCAGAGCCCCGCCATTGACCGACTACGATGACCTAGATGCAGGCCACCTCGGTCACACTCCTACATATTTGACGACTTCTACAGTCTTCGATAATTCACCGGCTCGGAACAGCCATGGGGATGTCCAGGCTCACACCGCACCTATTTCCTGGCCTAGCGATGGACCAGCAATGTACTTAGCGCCACCGATGCCAGCGACAACTCCGGGTACCCTACAGACCACCACGAATGACCACGGAATTACCGATATTCAGCACTTTCCTGCCCACTTTATACCGTCATCATATATTGGATCTTTTGAGAACATGCCTGATGCGATCGCGGGGATGGGGTCACTAAACTCGGACTCTGGCTCGGGCTCAATCGCATGGATGCAGGACGGGATTGCCGAACCGAGGTATGTGAGAAGGGAAGAGCCTTTCTTAGGGCAGATGCTGACAAGTCGCTAGACTGTTTGGTCTACAATGTGGGTGGACGGGTTGCACAACTACCCAGCCTTTCAGACGGCCAGCAGATCTGGCCAGGCATGTGCAAACCAAACATATAAACCCGCTATCCTACCAGTGCCCAGAGTGTGGGCATCGCTCCAACCGCAGGGACAATTTGTCCGATCATCGACTGAGAGCTCATTACCGTCCGCAGAATTTGACAAGGAGGCATTCCTAAAGGCTGTATTATTTATGCTGTCAGTGGCTGGCTTTCCATGACAATTGGGGTTAGGGGGTGTTTGTGCATATCCCCCTTAATATCTTCTATTTGATTTTTCCCTTACATTTTCTGGTGTTTCCCTCGCTCTCTTTGCGCGAACCCCTAGCGTTGTGAAGCACACGCGGCGTTGTTCATTGCATGACAAGGTGTATTGCAGCTCTTCCAATTTGCCGGCTTCCAACGCACATGTTTCGTTCCTACTTGCATTCATTTCTTTATTTATCCTTTCGGGTGTTTCACTGAGCGCCTTTTGTGCACATAACAGCGTAATATGTTATGCGGGATTGTATTGCATGTCTGTCGGTGCTGTTATCGGACCTTCTTCCACTCTGGTGATTTCGATGCATATCTCTCATTATCGGCGGAAGTTGTTTCAGTGGCTTAATTTCACTCGTTCTGAAGGCGGCGCCAGTAATCTGGATGATCTCGCAATATCGTCAACGAAATTCATTGTGTTTGCAACTGTAACTGAAACTCACTTTAGGAGAGAGGAGAGAGAGGGGCGGTGCGATGTATCAGATTGCGGCGGGGTTGATAGGAAGAAGTCTTTTTCCGTGACTGCGCCTCAGCACTAGCAGGGGCGCTTGCTCACATGACCAGGTACTGCCTAACTTTGTAGATCAGGATGATTGGGTTGCGCTAATTCTACTCATCCTTTTCGGTTTGTATGATTCCTTCCTACTCAGATTCATCGCTGGAAGACGTTTAGTACCAGTCAGCTACTTGGAATCGTGCTGCTTCATGATAATGAATTATCGCAGATTGTCAGTTACTATCGGTGCCTCGCACTAATGTCGGATCGAGGTAAACAATGACATTATATTAACAAAGCATCACGACTGTATAGCTGAAGATCTTATACCCCGGCTAAGTACAAAAGAATCCCACCCTCACAATCAGTTATTTCGGCATGAGCCTCATTAGTATCTCCGCCCGGTGGATCAGAATATTCGCACGGCAAGGCACATAACACAGAACTCCTCATTGGTCCGAATACGTAGGTCGCTGGCAACGGATTCTAATCAGCCCATCTCAACAGGGATCATTCGTAATGAACAGAATCTACATTATGAGACGTCGTAGTCGGAAAACTGGTAGTACTTGATGGTATTGGCGATACACATAATAAATATAGTTCATTAGTTCCATTTGAATCGCCTAATCACCATGGTGCCTGTAGACTAAATGACTTATTCATGCCGATCCTTGGTGGCTCTTAAGCCCCGCACCACGATGTTATGGCACTGCTGCGGGGTCATAGAGCGGCCGATTGGGGCTAGACTTTTGGGTCGATCGACAGACTAAAGTGCAGCTAAGGCGGCGAAGTAGTGGGTGAGCTTCTAGCATAGATTATAAACAGTGAAAAGCACAACAGTAGCAATTGATTTACCCAGTAGCAATTGGAAAATGATGTTCTGTATTGTTATCGTCACCCCGCTATGTCCTGTGCTGGTGAGTGGCTTGGGAACAAAAGACGGGATGAGCTATGTAACAGGGAACCGTTGGCTCCTACGTATTGTGCCTTGAGAGAGGGAAGGCTCACCGTCAACAGTAGCTGGGGCATGGGGCTTTACCTGGTTTGTAGTAGCGGGCGCATTTGCGAAAGATGAGATGGGTGCCTCATGGTAAAACTTGATGTAGATAATTAGTGCGATGATGGGAATTTGAAATTACAACAATCATATAGCAGAACAGCCATGATTAGATCACAGCAGGTGCCGACCCAGTCAAGTAGGACGATCCGAAAGATCCGGAGCAATAGGTTTTAGATTAGATTTCTTTGTTGTATCTCCGTAGACAAAGGTACGCCGAACCATGGAGCCATAATGTCAAATCTTGACTACTCTTCTTCCCACCCGTTACTGATGCCGATGGTAGTTGGGCACCATTTCTGAACAGTGGCGAAGCTTCTTTCTCGATAAAAATGGCATAGACTAACGAGCCCCAGATGCAACTTACTGCGGTGCCCTGATTACTGAGAGTCAGACTGACGCTTCATAGGCCTTTCAGGTTACACCACCTTTCCTTCGAGTTGGAGACAGCCCGCTTCACCTACACAACTTCCGCTACTGTGCCCCAAGCGATGATTGGCTACTGCGGAGGAAGAGGCAGGCCTGGAGTAGGATGGGGAAGCTTTCCGCTTTCCCACCCAAGCTGGCTGAAGGAGCTGAGCTTCGGCGAGAGCAAGCGTGAGAGACCGCTGATAACTTCACCCTATTGCTTCCAGCTTCAGGACGCTGCGTTTGAACCACACGGTTTGAGCTTTTGTCTCTGAGGCCCCTCCGACTCGTATCGCAACGTCCCTGAGAAGCCTACGAAGCTGTGCACCGCGTGTCATGGCGTCACCTCCCTCTCCTGGGTTTTCCTTCCTCGATGGAAACTTCATGCTCAGCAATATCGCCGAGGTTGACCCTTTTGACGAGACACTTGGCTCTGGTAATACCATCGCACCCCCCGCCACCGTTTCTTCGAGTTGGATGCCCGGTGGTATCCCAATGTCTCAGAATGGTACCGATTGGCCTAGCTATCAGCCAGATCTTAGCTATCGGAGAGACCTTAGCTACCAGACCGACCTTATGCACCAGACCGACCTTATGCACCAGCCAGACCTTATGCACCAGACAGACCTTACCTACCAGACCGACCTTATGCACCAGCCAGACCCTAGCTTTCAATTAGGGCCTAGCTACCAGCCAGTGCAACCCGTGCCGGCGATGCCAGTAGAGAATATTGGTTCCTTCCAGCAGCAGCCAAATGTCCCTTATGCAAACCTTGGACCATTCCAGTACCCCCTCAATGTTCTGCGCACTCAGCAGGCCCAATCTTCGAGCAGTGTGTCTGCACCGGTCGTGGAAACAACACGCCCAGCACCTGACTTTGGCTCGCCCTTGACTGTGCACCACGATACAAACATGACCGAAGAACCAAGGTATGCCACTCGAGATCAATAAACTTGTTGTGCTCCTGAGACGAATTTTGACAACCAATCAGACAGCAGCCCGGCCGCCGATGCCATTGGGAAGGGTGTACACATACGAGACCATTCCGGCGGCTACAGGACCTGAAAAGGCACCAGCGGTCAGTTCATGAACCCAAAAGCCACAAGTGCCCGGAATGCGAAAATTTGTTCGGCCGCCGGGACAATCTGACAGACCATCGTTCGAGGATTTATGGAATAGATCATGTTCCGAAAAGGTAAATTTCTTAACCGCTGTCAGAATGGGCTTAGTTTCAAACTTCATCGTTGTGTGACGCTCATCGGCCCTTCTTATTTTCGGTGCTGGTTCAGATGGAAACTAACTTGCTCCTGCAGAAGACGAAGGAACAATGTGTGATAACCTTGCTGGAATGCGATCAGTAACGAAAACAAAAAAAGGGGGCATAAGGCCATGATATACCGAATGACATGGGTTACACGAGGTAGCACGATCCAGCGGGGTGATATGTCAAATATCTTCCGTTGCGCGTTGCGGAGGATATTGGCCACAGGTGCACATGACCAACAGAATGTCCTTATTTCTCTTTCTTTCACTGTTTCTCGAAAGCATGTTGATTTGATCTGATAGCCTTTACCGTCCTGATTGTCGTTGACCGAGACAGGGAGTTCAGTATTAATACAATTTCTCACGCCTCTTTGACTAATTTTGAAGGGATGGGTTGTTACTGCGTAATCGATGCAGCGGAAGCCTGTCTTCCCTCATCTTATTCTTCCAGATGTATCACACAGAAACTTTCTCTACCGTGACTTTTCCGTTTTCTTTTTGACAAAGTAATTGAACATCCTGGGTGGCTTGCATCCAAACCAGTCAAGAAGACACCAGGTAAGGATATCTATGCCATTTCGAGGTTGTGCCATTCCTGACGCCATTTTCATCAGGCCAGATACGATCGTGATATTCACAGAGGTTAAGACGACTGAAACTGTATGCCATCCAAGGCAATATTCTTGCCTCAGACGCTGAAGGCACCTGCATACCTAGCATCTTTATCAGCGGGCTCGATCAGCTACGAATATGCATTATCCTGCAGTATACAGATGTGAAGTAGAACGGTTGACACTGCGGAGTACGTGGATAAGGCACCCAGATAAGTCCCCCTTTTCCGTTCTCATCGACTGCCTCTTATCTACTGACATATTACCCGATACTCTCAAAAGAATAGTTGGCCTCCACCAACGTGCAGCATGACGAGAAGTGGACCCCGCCAAGAATCCTTCACGGGTCTCGATCCAGGGCAGCCGAACCAAACCAACCAAGACAGATAACGATCGTCGTATTTCGCACGGAAAGCGTTCCTGGCCCTGATTGACACGGATATACCGAAGGAGGTTTAGTTTCCGCACCTTAAGGTCTGGGCAATATTGGCATTGTTTTAGGCGAGCTTACTCTTGAGATATCGGAGTGAAGTAGTGGCTATATATCGAGTTAGCGATACGGCTATAAGCGAAGTATCTCGGTTAGAATTGGTGTCGAAGGTGAGCAAGTTTCAGGAGGGGAGATGTTCAGGGTCCGGGTATCTCTGTCTTACTGCTATGATATTACGACAATGGTATGGTGAATAGTCAAGGAATTAAAGATCATGAAACTCGTTTTCCAGCTATAAATACAGTTACGTCCATACGAGGACCTGACTTTTCATACAGCAACTAAAGAAGTAAAGTATTTACACAATTCATAGCATGCGAATACCCTACTCAAGGTACTCGTTGGGCATGTACAGAGGCATCGAATCCTCCCAGATGGTATCAGTGACAAGAGTCTTGTTGGTACCATCGTAGTTCATGACCATGATCTGGCCGTAGGGCTGGAAGGTGTCGTCGAAGAGAGCACTCTCGTCCTTGAAGCCGTACTGACCGCTGCTCCACATGATGCGGCCGTCCTGGGACCACACAGCGCTGTATATCATATTAGCTTACAGTGAAATCGAGAAACAAAGAGGGATAAACATACTGAGCATCGTTGGACAGACTGTCAGTGACACGGGTCAACTCCGATCCGTCAGGGCGGATAGTGTAGATATCGAAGCGGTCGGCGTACCAGCGAGCGCCGTAGGACTCAGTCCAGTTGTTGTTGCGGGTGAAGACAATGCGCTCGCCGTCGGGGGACCAGCCGGGGGTGTTGTCCCAGCCATCGGTAAGCTGGTGGGTCTTGCCGGTGGTGAAGTTCAGGATGTGCAGACCCAGGGGGGCTTCAGTAGCAAGGCTCCACTTGCGGTAGACAATGGCAGATCCATCGGGGGACCAAGAGGGGAAACCAGAGTTGTCAGATCCATCGGTCAGGTTGGTGTGCCAGGTACCGTTGGCGAAAGCGTGGTAGATCTTGGCGGTGTTGGTGGTGCGGCTGACGAACCAGGCACCGAAGCCGGACACCAGCTCCGTGCCGTCGGGGTTCCAGGAGGGCTGGAAGGCACCAGAATTACCTTCCTCAAGCCACTCGACCTCGGTGGAGTTGCTGATGTTGTAAATGTCGTAGGAGTCGAGAGCGTCGACAACATCAGTGTAGACAGGGGAGGAGTGGACCAGAGAGCCGTTGGCGCTGCCGAGGACCTTCTGGGTCGACGCAATACGGTTGATGACGGTGTTGTGCATGGGGAAGACATCCATGTAGCGGTACTCCCACTCGGTGTCGTAGCTCCAGAGCTTCAGCTCGGCAGCCTGCTGAGTCCAGTTGGGGACCCAGTAGACGAGCTTGGAGCCATCAGGGGACCACCAGGGATCGCGCATGTTGGTCAGGTTGAAGGAGCGGTGGGTGAAGTCGGGCTTGGTGTAGTGAATGCCCTCGTAGTCACCGGCCTTGATAAGATAACCGATGTTGGTCGAATTGCCAATGTAGTGCTGACCGACCTTGGGGTAGCTACCGGAGGTGTGGGCAATGACGTTGGAGCCAGTAGCGAAGTCCACACTGTAGATCTGTGCAGTGACGGCCTCCTGCTGAGCAGACACACCGTGGCAGCCATAGGTGTCTTCAGTAGTCATATTGTTGTAGATGATGCGCTTGCCATCAGGCGAGAACTGAGGAGTACCCAGCGAGTAGCCCTCTTGGCGGATGACGGTGCGGAAGTCACTGCCATCGGGGCGGACGGCGTACACACCCAGAGTCTGGGTGTGCTCCCAGCCGGTACCATCGCTGTGGCCGGTCCAGTCGGTGTTGCGATCCGAACTGAAGACGATCCACTCTCCATCGGGGGACCAAGAGGGGCGGAAGTGGCCAGTGGGCCAGGTGTTGTCAGCTCTGTTGGACGCGGTGTCGGTCAGGTTTTGGGCCTGTCCCGAGGCAAGGTCTTTGACCCAAATGTTGGTGGTGTAGTTGCCCTGGGTGGACACATAGGCTAGGGTCTTTCCATTCGGAGACAAGACACCAATGTCTTCAACAGAATCAGTGGCCGCCAGCGTCTCTAATCCCGAGCCATCCACGCGAACGCGGTACAAGTCCGACTGACCCGGACCGCGGCGCTCGCTGGTAAAGACAATCCACTCTCCGTCAGAAGACCATGTAGGGTGGTAGTCGAAGGCATTGCTCTGGTTGCCCAACAACTGAGTCGCGTTGGTGCCGTCAGAGTTGGAGATCCATAGTTGTCCTCCGGAGGGTCCAATGCGGTTCACTTGTAGTCCTTCAGTACATCAATCATTGGAGTCCACTGGTCAACCACTTACTGTAGAAGATACCCTTCTTGCCTTCGATGGGCCCCCGACGGGCCAGCCGGGAGCTGTCTTGTGTGGAAGCAGCAGCGGCGCGCTTAGCGTAGGGACAGCCGGCAGGGGAAGCAGCAGCAGCATCGTTGTTGGCGCGCTCCGCGTACGGGCAGCCAGCAGCGGCCGAGCCAGCCACCAGGCCAGCTAGAGCAAAAGCAGCAGAAAAGCGCATGTCGCCTACCCAGTCACAACTGGAACAATATGATAGTAGATGCGACTTGGGGAGAAACTGTCGTGAGAGACAATGTTCTTGTAGGACCTGAGAGGGAGGGATCGGCAGCTTTATGTAGTGCTAGAACGGCGAGGGAACCATCCTTCATTTCGGCTACATTCACCGTGACAAAACTCGGAGGTAGGCAGAAATCACAAGCAAAGCTCGCCAAGCCTCACCCTTCTCCAAGGTGTGGGTTGGTTGGGCCCATCAGATAGGCGTAATTCGAATTCTAATCTATCCAAGTGGATCAAATCAGCTTATCAATCAATAAGAGGATCCGTAGGAGAGCAGACGGAAGAATTCTATTCCAATCGTGCAGAACTGGCTCAGCAGTGCCTGCTTATTGAAAGTGTTGTGGGATCAATGATGTCGAGGCCCAATCAGCCCTGATCTATAGCGTTCTATACTCTATCTGTGAGACACCTCACTTGCCATACTACATGACATGGCCCATAATCAGTGACAAACGGTCCTGAGACATTCCCCTGGGGTCAGTAGAACCCCTCTCCCACGCGAGATGAGAAGGTAAAGATCAGCAAAACTTGCATCAGCACCGTGGTGCGGTTGTCGGACCCTCCTTCCCTGTTTTTGCCATTGCAGATGACGATCAATTATCTCCGGCTTGGCACGGCACGCCAGAGGCGCGTTAAGGATTTCGGCGCCTTGGCCGCTGGCTTGGCCCGTCCTCTAGCGACCCAAAAAGTAATCAATGCCGACCAACGACCATTGGACGCCGGTATCGCCGAATCTTCCGCCGCCTGCCTCTCGGATCTAGCACAACTGCGGCCTCATCCCGTCTCGTCCCTCGCAGCCTGCAGGATGTCTAGCACCATCCTTTCACCCAGCGTAGCGCAGAGTTATCTATAGAATAGCCAATCAAAATATAATTTTCGTTAATGTCTGGCCGCCGAATGGACCAGAACCGTCCCAGAAAAGGCCCACAAGCCATCCTGGTGCTTCCGAAGGTTAATGTCGGAGCGTGTCCGCAGGAACGTTCCGAGCCCCGACCGCCGTCGTATTACGTGCTATGACCCTCTGGCCCATTGTCTTCCCGCCAGAAACAGGTGGGTATGGGGTATTTTGTCGGTGTGCTTAATTCGGGGCCCTCCATTTGTGCCCCTACGAATTGACCAGACCTCCTCATCGGTTCGTAGTAGCGAGAGATGATCATTAGCCTGGGCAAATTTTCGCCTTGCATGGTGAGAATTGCCCTGATACACTCATTCTCGTCTAGGGTGCAGACGTCGGAAATTAAGCCATTCGACAGAAAGCTGCAGGAGACCGGGATATGACGGGTCGTTACTGTAGCGAAGATGCCACCCCGGACCCCGGATCCAATCGCTGCGTTGCTTTTGTAAAAGGATTTGACTTAAGTGCGCCACGCAGACGCGTTATTCCGAATTCATAACTAGTATCTATCGGATACGCTATCCACAAGGTGTACGGCGTTCGGTCGGAAGTAACGAAAGGAGAAGGTACAAAGCCGCGAGATCATGGCCACGACACGCGGTGATGTTTATCCAATTCACTAATGACACGGGTATCTTCATGATGTAAAGCCGGGAAGACAGCGGTCGACCCTGAATTGTACAAACCCTGAGTGGCGGGCAAATTTAGAACATGGGCCGCTTCGGTGGCGCAGTCGAGGATCGAGGGCCAGTCCTAGAGCCATCAAGCTTCAATTGCGGCTGCCTAGAATCACAGTGGAGTTGCCCCTGCCAAATGGAAATGATCGAGATCAGTCTCGAGATAAGCACACAGTCACTTGGTACTAAGGTCACTAGTTGGCAACCTTGGTCTGAACCGAATAGGTTTAACCTCCGTCACCAGACCAGCTTCGGGACCCAGCATGATGATTTCTAGCTGCCAGTGTAGAACAGTGCCATACATAGAAATTTGTACTTGAGTATCATGCTACTCTATCTTAAATCTGCTGCTGTCTATTTCCTGGCCCAGCCAGGAGCAGAAGAAAAGAGAATTCAAGAGAACGCGAAACGGCAGAAACGATGATAGTCAGGCACCCGATGTTGAGTCGACGATACTTGCTGCAAAGGGCTCCTACCACCAAGTTCTCCACAGAACTGCGAGCGCAATGCGGTCCTTCTTGCATTTCCCGCTTCGGGGATAATTGTGGTCCTGATTTGAATTCCTCGGCCCTTGAAAGGACGGCTCAAATTCAGGTGCGCAGATGACGCAATGATCTGCGCTCTTGTGGATCCACTCGATGCTTCGTTTCAACAGTCTCAGTCTTCAAAGTTCTTACCACTGAACTTTCTGACGTGTTCTATAGCAACAGACTCATCTGGTCGCGAAGGTTGTGGTAATTGATCGTCAGAGTCAGGCAACAGTTGCGTCCACGCTGCGGGGAATGATTTTCTTGATTCAGTGCGGGTGCGGGTGAAATAACCTTCTTCCGCCCGGGCCGTCCCCACAAACAGCAAAGGCAGCATCAATAAGGAGCCAGTTCGGGACATAATATCATTGGACACCCTCCATTTCACCTTGATAAGGTCTCATGATGCGTCCGATTACTATGAATAACAATTGGATTGCCTCAAGAACATACTGGTGTCAGTCAGAGCAGAACATTACGCACTTGTGATGGCAACTATCCAGGCCTGTTGCTCGCAGGGCTCTACTAACTGTGCTTATGAACTGTTTCTGCAGTCGTGCGATGAGTTGCAGACCTTGCGGCAATTTCAACATGACGATGCCCAGGGGGCAGCATTCAGTTACAGTAATACCAGTATCCCTCAAATAGTACGTTGAAACATTTACCAAGTAGACCAAAAGAGGAATCTCTTTCATGGTTACTGGTTTGCTCAGGTTTCATTTGTTCTGACATAGTATGCGCTTGAGGGGAAAGTACTTGAAGAAAATTGATCTCAGCAGTGAAAGCGATTAGCTTGAACTGTTTATGCAAGAAACAGCTTGATGGAAGGTCTACTTTATAGAATTATGGGCTCACGAATTTGTATCAACATATATATTACCATCAGTCCATCGAGAACGAGATGCTTGGTACTTCCAAGTTTGCGCATTTATACTGGGAAGGTATATTGTTCTAAGGATTCTATCGCAATGAAGGTTTCCGCATTCAAACAACAATAACATTGACCAGGATAGGGTTTGTATACTTGGATAGCACCTAGAGCCTCCAGAAACGTAAGACTCCGTCGACATCTGGAACGATGAGAAGCTTTGAGGCTCTTGAGCAGACCGTGTCTCCGCGAGGGCACCTGCTAATCTTATCATGCTGTCCCTGAGTAAACCTTTCTTGAGATTTGCGACTATATTCATTGATCGTGATATTTTGGACAGCGTAAATCATGGTTTTACCGTCGGGGCTGAAAGTAAGACTTCCGAATGAACCCAACTCGCCTGGAATACAGTGCATGGAGTTGGTGTTTTCATGGTCTGCAGCACAAGTTTGTTACTGGTTCTTTGGGCTATACTCCTTCCATACTGATCAAGCTCCCACAATATGATGCGTCCACCCACCCACCTTCCTCAATCTTGGATGCTAGTAAATAACGCGGCGCATCTTGATTGTCGATCGAACCTCGACGCAGGCAGGGTGCAAAGGCGACGGTAAATACCTCCCCAGGATGTCCGTGTAACACATCCACTCGCTCCTTAGTGTCCATACAGAATATTTGAACATATTTTGCGATCCCTACCGTGACTAACTGATTGTCTTGACTTATGGCAGGAGTGGTCGCCTCCCTATTAAGGAGGATTTTCGGTTCCTCCTGTCCCCAGTGCTTTAGATGGCGCCCTCCAAGTCGCCGGTACGCCAGACGGAGACGCAAAATCCGATCGTATGCAATAGACCCAGTCCGTTAGAAACTTCTGCTCGTCCATCTCATGATCGCTGTCCTTGCAGGACATGAAGTCGTTCTTCTGCTCTGAGAGCTAATAGATTCGGAATTTGAAGCCATTTAGTAATGAATTTGCGACTTCGAACTACAACGGGAAGGTAGAGCGAAAATGCAACGAAAATTAAAAGCCGTTGTGTCTCAATACATTACTCTACTGATTAGGCAGTGATAGTTTGGGTGCAGCCTAATCAGTCGACTCTAATTCAGTAACTTCTGATTCTGCGCGCGGAAAGCCTCAGTCTATGGGTTTTGCGCGCCAATCAAAGTCCAGATCATGCAAGATAGCATGCAGCACGAAGACTTGAAAGCCTGTCTAACACCAACAAGATTAAGAGGTTCCCCCAATACATTAACAACCATTCTTTCTCAGAACGAATTGCTATTACGATGGGATCCCTCATGGTCCAGAACTGACGCGTCATCCATGACTCAGTCCCGCACAGGAAAAATCATCAACTGAAATAACCTGAAAGACGGAATAGTTAGTATAGATATATTTTTACCTTCCTTTGAGTAGGAGTAGTATGCCCTCGAAGGGTGAACATTCTGTAGTGCTGGCCCAGACCTGTATTCTGTCATCAGTTGAAGTGTGCCAATATGCAAAATAAGAATTTTGACGTGTGCCGCCGGCCGTCCAGAGACGAACGGAAGGCGCGCCATATCGCAAGACTCGGTCAATGAGGTCTGCTTATGCTGCAGCACGTGATGCTTTCATCTAATCTTCTCCAGGGTCCAATTACCCATTATCAAGGGACATGGTAGTCCGACCTCCATATAGCATGAAGCCTTTAATCTCGCGTTCGCTTGTTCGTGCAAGACTGCATAAAGCCGTGTTTCAGGGACTCGGTGGTGACTCGCTATCTAATCTCCGACCACCGATGCCGAGAATCGGGACACGGACACATCACTCATGGGGAAATCGCACTGCAGATCAGGCTCCGCAGATAACAATGCCAAGAGATTAAACGAGAAGTAGAAGTCTGGGCACGGGGTGTCTGAGGTCAATATTTGCTCAGGAGAATGAAATTTTAATTGCCTCTCGCCAAATCCTTCCATCCGTGACCTTTCAGGTAAGGAGGAGTCGGCATCACCCGCCGCCGATGGGTGGATTCCCAGGATAGTCTTAGGTAAACGGAATCTGGACTCTGTGTTCATGGAGTGTTCCGTAGTGCCATGCAATATGTTTGATGCTATACCCGCCAGCCTTGTTCATCTTAGGGTCCTTCCAACTGCCCCTCTATCAGGTGTCTACATTTGAGGAGTCAATTATGTAGCCGGATTCTCTCCATACTACTGCTCTTGGAAGGGGCCAAAGTAGTTATGTTTCTCGGTAAATTTCTGTGGCTGTGCTGGGCTCTCCAAGATAATATACAAGACAGGCAATGGAGTAACGGACAAGAGGCATTTGTGATAAGGAGTATAAAAAGGGTTTTGCCATACATCATACATCATGCATCAGGACAGCACGCCTCAATACTTGGCACCAAGGTACCCGAAGAGCAATATCGAAAGATGTGATCATATTGACACTTGTTCGAACTTTGGAACATACCAGCAATGAGTATTAGGCTGATCATTGCGTGATAGCTGACTGGATGGCCGTGGAAGACGAGAAAGGAATTTTCCACATGCCAGCACCTGGGAATACGGCTACTTGAGATGCCACCATTATGCTGGGATTCAATCCAGAGCTCTGTAGGCGACACTGAAATGAAAGCAAGGCGGGCTTCCTGGCTTCCTGGCATTCTGCAATCCCCATAACGGTGCTGCTGCATTGGGTCTTCGAATATAACACCAGGAGTCGGGAGTCACCGAGTAAAGCTAAATACTGCTCATATGAGCCTTAGAGTAATAGTATTTAATTTTATGGGTGCGCCTTGCTGGATAAGCCCTGGTAGCCCTGCAGCCTTATAGAAGATTGTGAGACAGGTATAAAAGATACATGCCACCTGGGTACAGACTCCCTAATTTGTGTCTCTCTATACGTCCTCATCCACCAGCATCCCAAAACAGATATATTCCCAGTTGTTACAAACGACATGGATGGAAAAGAAATTGCTCATCCCGTTGGTGTCAACCATGACGAGGATGCAGAGCGTCTTTCGTCCATATTGTCCCCTGACAGCTTCAGAATATGCACCGCTACGCTAGCGAGAAGAGTACCTGGTTCGACCAGAGCCTTGGTCAATGTGGGTTCTGTTGAGCATACACCCGCCGGTCCTCATGGCTGTCTCTCCAATAAACCAGAATGTAAGCCGATGAAATCTGAGGACGAAAGCCTGCCGATAGAGGCCACTATGCTTTCAGATGGCTCTGGTTTCCCTATTCCTGCCGCAGGATGGAATACTACTGTCCCTGTACATGGACAGGATCAAGCTGCCTTTGCAACGACAGCACAGTTCCAGGCTCACCAACTTGCCCCACCTTCATCACACCCTGCGTCTCAATGCAAGCATAATTTTCCATCTGCAGGGGTAATGGAGGGCAGCATTTGTCGGTCCCAACACCCGCGCGAAAACCCGCCCGTTTCTGACTTGACTATGCTGCAAGACCCAGAACCTTCTTACATGCGTCGTTCTTATCGTGAGGAGATAGAAGCGGCAAACGGCGGCATAAGACCTGACGATCTTCTGCGGACCTACATCCCTATGAACCTCAAATGCATACTTAGAGCCTGTGACAGGGTGTTCGACGACGAAGATGAAGCGGAGGATCATTTTCAACTCGATCACAACTATCCAGAAAATTGTGTATGTCGGTTCTGTCGCGATGCTTTTAGCAGCAGTTTCGAGAAATGTGTGCATGATTACTATCATCACAGGAATGGGGTTTGCAGGTTTAGTCACTGAAAGGCTGTAGAAGATTGAAAATAAATGCTTTGGCATTTCTATTCTCGGGTTGGAAGATAACATGAGTGCTGGATTGTTGTTTGATTGTTCTGGGTTGCCAACATTTGTTTCTCCTGGCTTCTGAATGCTTACAGTTGAAGTGGACCTAGATTACTCGGGAAACGGGAAAGCGGAAGAATTGACGAAGAAAACCACAGAATTATGCAGAAACGCAAGGACTACCAAATAAATCATATTTTCTCAATAAATTCTTTTCTGTATGCATCAAGTTTTCAGTTAAGAGTAGCACCCGCCCAGGTATCCAATATTGGTAGCGTCGAATTTCCGCTTTCGATGTAATGGTCACTGTGTGTTGCTCATTGGCAAATCGTCTCGAAACAAGATGTTATTCTCGCTTGTTCTGCATATCCATCAGATGAATCGTAAGCAGATGGTACAGCTAGTCGATAGATGTATCCCGTTCAATGAGATTCAATACAAATTATCTTACCGTTCTTTCGGTGCAAACCTCCCTACAATACAGACTCGAAAGCAAAACATCCGGGTTGTGGCGGTCGAAGTATTTGTAGTAATTTATAACGGCCACCATTGTCATGATATGCTCCCCCAAAGAATAGCAGGCAGAGCTGAGATCTCTCGAAGAATGCAAGCCTATAAAATAGGCTTGCATATATGTGGGTAAACCCCGATGCTACGTTCCCATATTCCCGGGAAATATGTGTAGTTAACGGGAAGAGTAGTTCGCGATGTGGTAGGAACCCCAAGTGGCACTACAAGTTCATTCGAGGTAAACTTGTCTGAAATAGGCGCGAGCAATAACCTGAGGTTCAGCTTGGTCGCCAAAACCAGCTCGCCGGATGCGAGGAAGATACCAGCCTCATTGATGCTTGGCTGCGGAAATATCCCTAACCAAAAGGTTTTCCACGGAAAACGCCTACAAGTTTCACTTTTGACATCTCGCTATCCATGGATCACCAATATATAAGACCGAACATCTCTGCTCCATTTCGCAAGACATTTTCTTCTAGCATTCAACCTCAGCCACGTCGCATAGTTACCACCCTTTCCACAATCAAAGCTTTATACCCATCCACAACTACATATCACCATTCAAAATGCCTTCGTTTCTACCACTGTGGAACAGCAAGACTGAAGGAACGCCTTACAACCCTGGTACCAACTCACCTACTGCCAATGCCCCAACCGAAGGCCAATGCACTACCGAAGAGAACGGAAGCCCCGAGAACCAACCACCTCCTGGCCATGATTTCGGCAGTGATGGGTCTCAACCTTTGGTCGACATCGAAGGGGAAGCACCCCCTCGGGCCACTGGTACAGACGATATTTCAGGGCCACTGCCTTCGATCACCGATGATGGTGCTGCAGCTGAACCTCGTGATGCAGGACAATGGCCTTTGACGACTTCCTTGATTGATGCACTTCCAGAAGTCCAGAGCGAGTCTCCCGCAAAGGAGCACACTTCTGATTTGGGAAGAACAAGGAGCCAAGTACCTACATCTGTTCTATCGGTTAGTTCTGAACCCTCACGCCCCTCTCTGATCCATACTGCTCCACGGATACCGTATGCGGGACCAGGTCGGCCCGAGGGCCCTGGCCTGTTTGGATCCTCAATGAGAGAAGATAGTTTCTACAGTCAACAGTTTCTGACAAACAATGTTCAGGCGGCTCAACAGAACCAAATCCGGCATCGCCGCGGTGCAGCGGTCCATAACGTCGATGCTGGCAACCTATTTGGAAGACCACGTCCTCAATTGGAGCGGACTGATTCTAGCGCGCTTCTCAGTTCGGAGTCATCGACCCTCTCTGATTCTTTAAGCGAGAATGGTGCGACGACTCAAACCCGTGTAGCCGAGGGCGGAGATGCATCTAGCCTCCAGGGGCCACAGTATGAGTCGTCCGAGGTCCTGGCTTCAGGTGCGTCCAGTATATACACTGCGACACCCTTGCTGGAGCTCGATGACACCCATGTCCGTGAACATGAAGCTGGCAATACATCCTCATCTCAGGCAGGACAGTTCTGCTCAACTAAGCCCCGGACTACTGGAGCTACGAGGGCTGAAGATCAATCAGCATTGCTAGATGCTGTGTTCAAGGCCAAGTCCACCTGGCCAGCATTTGAATCTACTCCGGCCTATTCGAATGACTTGGGCTCTCTTTCCCTACCGGCTGGACTAAGTCAAAGTGAACGGGTGCCAGGTGCGTATCCGTCCGCAAATAACCAAAACTCTGAAGAGGAGAGAGGTTCTCTTGAGGAAGAAACTGCCACCAAAGCCCCGGAGAGCGCAGCTAAGCAACAAGATATGGAGGCCTCTCCGTTGACCCCTTCTCATAATCAGGCCACCAGCAATCCTTCGGAATCTTCTCCAAATGCCTGGTATAGTGAAACTGAAGAGGGCTCTAATCCATACAGTTTCACGGTAACGTGGTACGCTCCAGAATCGGAGTTGGACTCCGGCAGTCAGTATTTCGATACTCACAGTACCCTTGCTCGATCCTTGCCACAAAGCGATCCTGGAACGCACGCACCTTTGCTGGGCACTGCAGCTCTTAGTCAGTCGAGCCCCCCAAGACCAGGGAGCCCTGACTGTGAGGAGACGGCCGAAGGTGCCTCTGAAAGCCTTTCAAGCAAGCTGGACAAAGGCAAGAGCACGGTAGCGGTTCGAGACGACGACGAATTGAGTATCGACGCGAGCGATCCAGCTGAGTCTCATCGCGACAAGGTGACACTCACAAACAAAGCGTATGTGGAAGACGATGCTCCTAGCGTCATGTCCGAGAATCTCCAAAGAAGGAGCGATTGACTCGATACTAGAGATGAGTCTGATGTCTGGTCCGTGGGCGAAGACGAGGACGGGATGATCTTCCACCCCCGAGAACCGATTGATCGTGTCGAGCTTCTTCAACGCTATGAAAGTGTTTGTCAGACGCACAGGGCCGCATTGCGAAAAGTCTTACTATATGTGGCAGTTTCTGTGTACTCTGTGATTTTCCTGATCGTTTATTATTGGATTCTATTGACTTCTTAGGCTATTGTCAAATGTGGTACGTTGCATTGGCTATGTCTCTAGATATGAAAACTTGAAACAAAATTGCTACTAGTTCATTTCTGCCAACAGGCTTTCCCTGCTTATTTAAATTCCATTACATTGTGCTAATTTTCATTTGCAAAATGTTTTATGGTTTAATTCTTGAAGCCTAAATCGGCGGTCCTCGTAGAAGAGAGTCTCGTAGCATTTTCGACGTCATCCTAGTTGTCCAGATACCTTTCCATTCCTCCAGTGTATACCGTCGTACAATCTCCCTCTACACCCCCCATAGGCTAACATCTTCGTCCAATGCGCTCCTAAGCACAGAAGCAAACCTATAACCTAGGCTGTATCACTGGGACATTGCTGGCTATCAACCAATTACTGGAAAGGACAAGTGTAGGCTTCCAAGAATCCTTAAGGTGCGATTACTACTCCCTATGAATGCCAAACAATAGGCAGTTGTTAGTACCAATATAGAATTGTGATAGGCAAAGAAGAACATGAGAAGAGACTATTCCAAACTGACAACTTCTATGCTATACGACCAATCTGTTATATAGTAGTAGCTGCATTACTGAAGCTATTTCTTCACAGATAAGTCAATCCAGGCTTTTTTGTAAATAAGGCTCTTGCTAATGCCCTAGAACTCTCTGATACCCAGGCATACAGTTGAGGGCTTGGGGTATGTCATGCAAAAAAACCATTAGCCAGCGGCGCTTCCAACTGCAAAGGGGGGACCATCGGAATTAGCCCAGACTTGAGAATGCTTATGAGGTCAGTAACTAGCTTCATTGTCGGTAGTCTCCGAACTATATGGTCACGGTTCATGCCTGACAAACTCCGATGCTTTGGCCATTACGACCCAGGGGAGGTATGGGCCTGTCTATTGGAGGAGATTCCCGCTTCCCTATGCTACTTTGGTGCATATATAATCCTACTGCCCCTGTATTATCCTGATTGTTCCTCCTCCCATCAATCCCTGAGCTACTGGCTGTTGAGCGTATCATCTACTAGCCCATAATGGCTCTCACTAATCTCAGTAGGTGATTATAATAGGCGCAGACGGCAAGCTAACCACATTTGTATTTTTATATGACGGGTACGTTTTAACACTACCGATCACATTGATACCTAATGCCTTTGCTGGTTGCCATACTAATCGAGGTGACTAATGGCACGACCTATAGCCAGACATATATTTCTCTCCCCGGTTGGCCTGCTTCGGAAGCGGCTTCTCAATCCTTTCAAGCGGTTCCTTGTGAGGCAAGTAGTACATGATGTTCGGGACAGGAAAGACATCACACCGATCACCCTGCCATGCATAACTGGTCAATACTTTGCGAGGATATCTACTATAACTTGAATATGATAATGGCCTATGTATCGGAGAGTTCCAACTTTTTGAGACCGATTTTCTCCGGACGGATAAGAGGGTTAAGGGTTTGGCTCTTAATCTTTGTCCTGCCTGGAATGCCGGTCGTCTTCTCTGACAGTAATGGCAAACGCACTCGTCTACCGGAACCTAGACTAGTAAAACACTGTGTCAACATTCTCATATTCATATGCAAAACGGTGACCGCTGTTACTGATGTCATCATGGGAGGCTACTGAAGACACTGGCGCCTCCGATCTGTGTAGTGGGCTTTGCCTTCGCGAAGAGACACCGAGGGGCCGCTATGCTTTATATCTGGAAGAGAACCTTTGCTTCTTCAGCTCCCTGAGTTCTTTCAGTGAACGCACAACTATCTTCGATTGTCGAGTGATTATTCTAGCTGAAGCTGACTCGACCGACTCATGAATATTGCCATGACCTCTATAATTAGCCGACTTCCTATTCGTCACTCTACAATTTGCCAAATGAATTTCTTCATTGGCCCATGTTTTCCCTCCACTGCCTTTTCGATCCCAATCGTGATCATCACCGTCGACATGGCCTACGACACACGTCTTTGGCTTGATTGCCTTCCGTCATCCTCCTGTCGTTACTCGGCCTAACAGCACTTCACCATCCAATCCGCCTTATATATATACTCATTCTTTCTCTTCCGGTCCTGAGACACCTTCACAATCTGCCGTGTTTCTGCTTGTCACAAACAATGCTATACGCCTACGACTTTGAACCCTTCAAAAGCTCGTCGAGGCTGGCTTGGATAGTCCTCAATGTCAACTGTATTTCTTGCGTAGCTGTATCGCGATTCACGACAATAAGTATTCCTGTGACGACTGTTATGACGAAGGCAACAGAATACCACTTGGCAACAATTCCGACGATAATACCAAGACAAGCTTTTCTCGACTTCCCTATAGCATCTTCTTACCAAGGCTGCCGGTTGCTTGACCTAGAGGCGCATAATGGTTGCAATATCACAGATAACCCTTCATCCATCCGGCACCAAGGCCCATAGGTAGGCAGGGGCTCATAATGCGAGGCGAAAGAATACAAATGTTTGGTGTTGAGGGCCAATTTTGGAACAAAAGACAGCCAAACAACGCTATTTGAGGAGGAGAGAACGCAAGTCGAGCGGTATGAAAGGCGAGACCAAACAAGTAACAATCACTACCATCACTTGGACAAGAAGCGACTCGGACGATGACGCAGCTGTCCAAATTAGTGCAGCCCAAGCAGGGTCGGGAGTGTGCTATTTCATTGACCCCGGTAACTTACGTCTTATATATCCGTTGATCCAGTCCACTTCCTGTCTTCCTTGCTTCGCATGACGGGGTTATACTTGCCATACCGGCCTATATTGAGCACAAATAGAGAGGGACTCGTGATGGACAATCTGACGGTCCGTGGCAAACTCGCTACAGCCAAGATAGGAGGTAGAGGAAGAGGAGTTAGAATGTGTCTTTCCATGGTGTTTGGAGACGACGCATCTGGGTTTGAATAAATGTGCTGTGAGATTCGGACCGATTGACTGATGATTGGCATGACTACCTTGGGGCTAATAGTTCTCTTGCAGCTACTGCCCATGATGTATATTGCTCTTTTCTTATCCTGGTGGCAGGATTCTGCGTGGAGGTCCTTCAATTCGAAACATGACAGCATCGATACAAGATGACTTTGAAGTAACCATGCTCATGGCGTGCTCAGAGCTGTACAGGAGGACAGGGATAATCCAGATCCAGCTGAAAGCGGTTTGCCGATTCAATGAACTACTAGACAACGATGCGCTAAACAAACAGACTTTCTCCTGTATTGAGGATGCACATTCTCGCAAAGCGATCGCTGCATGCTTCCACATCAATTAAGAAATACACAGTCATGATTGACATTGGTGGCGATGCTCGATTTGGGGTACAGCCTCTAGCATCTCATGGGTGATAATATCTGGGAACATACATGTGGTCGAATAATGACGAAGCATGTAAGAAGCAACGCCATACCATCTCTTTACTCATAATGATGTAGATAATTGGTAACCTGAAAGAACTTCTTCCATAGATCTATAGCACTTATCAGCGCGGAAACGCCGTACATGGCCAATTATAGCGCAGATGAGCCTTTGTATCCAATAAAGCTAAACTTACACTGTCAATCGCTATGAACGATGTTAGGTTGTGTATATCATAGCCTGTATTCTCTTTTCCTTATTCCCTCCACGCCGGTATACTTAAAGTTTGTCGAGTTAATTCTGTTTGTACCCTCCGCATTCTTTAAGTGAATATAGAGAACGAAGGTAGCTCAACGGACTTAATGGATTAAAGACAGCTTAGATACCTTGTGCTCTATGATGGATCCCCTGATCAATCACACTCTGAGCATCGGATAGGTTAAGTATGTAAAACAAATAAAAGTTAGGTCCCTACCGGAAATTTATCCCTCGGAAGATAAACTTCGAACCGATTTCGGCTAAGTGGGCCGGTCCGAGCTCGGACCGCGTGGGTTTCTGTCCAGTGGGTCCGGAGACTAAATCCATGAGCAGACCCAAGAGTACTAAAATGATTGAATTCCCGATATGTCCGATAACTCAGACGTTTTCCATCACGTTCTTCATGAATAAAAAGACTTGCTTTTTTCTTGGTGAGCGGTAGGGCTATCAGGTGGGTCGGATGCCCGATGAATCAGCCACTTGGACCTCATGTAAGCGCTCCTAGACCAATCATGGTTCGACGCGAAGATCAACAAAATAAGCAAAACAAAATCGACCAAGCCAATGACAGCTTATCACCCTGATACGTGTCCAGGGCACAGGGCAAGTGCCTGGGACACAGACAAGGCTCTGGTTCCACTAGCCACTTCGGCTACACCGCCACGTATGCCCTCTATTTGTCCTCCTTGAGGTGATTTTGCGATGTTCTGGTGAGTTCAAGCAGTTGCCATGTCTTTTTGACGAATTTCTACTCTAGGTAGTGTGTGTAGATTAGCTGCAGCAGACTGTCAGTGCATTTCCCAGCTTCTGCAGGGCACTGTGTATCCTTATCCATCGGTCGGCGGTGTGCCGATACAGCGTGCGTGCGTGACTGGAAGTGGCTTCTGCGGACCGACCTTATAAATGGGTTGCACGTGCAGCATATTACAATGCAAGTAATTGTCTCATTTGGGTAATGCAGATTAATATGGAAACACCGGCCATTCTATGAAAAGCTACCTATATTAGAGGCCCCGCCTTAGTCCGCTGAAAGAAACAGAAAGTAAATACACCGAAATGCACGGAATGTATAAGCCCGAAATATGTAATTCAAAAGGAAAAAAAAAAAGAAAGAAGAGAAATGTGAAGGAGTGCAGGTCACTGAAAAATGAAAACTCAAGCACGGCACAGATTGACGTCAAATGAAGATGTCTCCGAGCAGAGGGAACATAAGCAGAACGTTTTAGTAGAATCGATGGGTCCGCAACCGATGCTCATCAAGGTTGTCCTTGCGATTGAATGTCTGATTGCAGAACACACACACGTGAGAAGCAGGAAACACATGAATGGTTTTGATGTGTCTGCTTAAGTCCGCCCACCTGTTAAAGGTTGATCTGGATGTGCAATTTGTCCAGCCGCACCGGAGATGGGTATTCCTGTTTGGATGTCAGCTGCAAGCTTTTGTTCCAGGGGCAGGAAGGGCAGCATACTCTTCCGCGGGACTGTTCGCTGGTCTGGTCGATTGGTTCATTAATCCGGGGACGGCGAACCTATTCGACGGAACATTTTCTTGCTGTGTGCCGGCTTGGTAAAGCTGGTCCGGAGCCACGATACCTGGCTGAACCGCGGTAGTCAAGTCCCATCTCCCCACAGTGGTCGGCGTATTGTACCAGTTTCCAGCATCACATGGGTACTGGCACGGACGTTCGAGGAAGCCCGGAACATTTGGACACCTTAATTCGATGTGTGTCTGGACATGATGATGCGGGGGTGGAGCGGCTTGGTTGAACAAGTCGTCTGTTTGAGTAATATTAAAGGAGCTAGAATCTGGAGCGCGGAGGTTTCTCTGTGGCTTGCGTCTTCTGTCGTCACCCGTTGCACCTGCAGTGTGTGGAGTCATAGTATGAGAAGAGTTTAGGTGGGCCGACATCGTGGAAAAAGCATAGAAAAGAAAGTGTATCGTGTTGCAGTATTGAGATTTTGTGGAGAAACTGTTGAGAGATGGCGTAGGATGTGAATGAAGTAGATCTATTGCCCGTGAGCAAAAACGAAGCAATCGTTTGATTTTGATAAGAAGCCATGAGGAAAGATTTATATCATTACTTATTAGATAGGGCTCAAGGAGCCATTCATTCAGGCTCATACGCGCAGCGCAGTTAACAGATGCTGCCTTGTACTCGAGTGGACCCAAAGAATACGTTTATCCTATCACAATGCCGCCAGACGCGGGTATCACCCAATAAGGTGGAGAGTTGACATCGAAAGAGCATGTGATGGAAAGGCGATCGTCGGGCCGCGGGGTGATCGGTTAGTTACTACATTGGTGTGAGTTCATGACAAAACCAGATTAGCGCAGAGTTACTTTCATGGCTGAGGATACCAGCCCAACACCATCTTACAGGGGTGTCGGAGAATAGATTCATATTTATAGCATGGTGTCATTGGTCACTCCCAGTTTATGGTAACAAACTAGAGCACGTTGAATCTAGTTATGAACAGTACGACCCATCACACGTCAAGCCTATCCACGACCAGGTACAGGGCGAGGGGAATAGCAGATGCAATATCAGATGAGCAAGCAGGGTAACCTATCCATTTCTTTTATCATCACAAGAAGTATAGTTTGAGCGTATACATAATAACCCCAGTACAGTGAATCAAAAGGATTCGTATCCGACCCTATACACTTCGAGCATGGAAGATAGGCCTGAATATAAGGGAGACGCTACCGCCGCACCGGCCAGCCTCTGCTTATGTCACACCCTGTCGCCTACGTAAAAAGGTAAGATAAAACTTGCTCTCTTGAGCCGGCAGAATCGCACCGCCTGTCATTTAATGCCTCCAGCATAGTGTTGCTATTAAGAGAGCGATGGGGTCTTTGCCTGTACTAAAAACAAGTCTTAGCTCCTAAGGTAGGCGGAGGGCAGGTGAAGAGTCGCCCGTGTGGCGGTAGTGTCACTCTAATATAATCGCTATACTTTATTGAACTGAAGAATCAATACTCTTGAATAGCAGTTCTGTAGGATCAGTTAGACGTGCTAGAACCCATTATGTTGTGGAAGAGAATGAGGCTGATCAAAAGAGAATCGTGTGGCAATGCCGAGACTAACCTTATCATTTAATACTCAGCTGGACACTTAATGAGCCGGCTTATGTTATAGACGAGCTTCACATAGCTTTCTAATCATTCAGAACATAATTGCCATCATATCCGTACACGAATCTCGTATGTGCTCGTACGATCCTTGATCCAGGGGAATGTATGATCTAGGTATATACACAAGTCTCCATCATTATGGGGGGAAGCAATTGGAGAATTCATATAGTTCATGGTATCGGCCCCTACTCCTCCTCTTCCTCCCCCTCATCCATTCTCATCTGATCAGCAAAAAGCCCCTCCTGCTTCCTCGTATCGTACTGCACCTCCCCTTCATAAATCCAATACGCCGGAGGTTCCTGACCCAGACTTCCCGGTCCACAAGACGGATATTTGAGGATGGCAGGTACACCGACCAGCTCCTGGCCCGTATTAGCCACCAGCCGATTACCACAGTGTTCGATGTGGTCAATGGCCGCCGTATAGCTATCCAGAATACTCAGATTTCCCGAGTGAATTGCCCGAGCCATGCGGCGACACAGGAAGGCACAATGTGTCACATGATACCAATGGTCGACATAGAAGTATTCCCAGTTGCCGTTGAGAACGTCAGATTTCGAGATAGGGTGCTTGCCCCACGGGTCTGTCGTCCAGGTCCAATTTCTGACGTTGAGGAACTTGGCAGTCTGCGCGGCTTTGGGGGAAGTCGCAAAACGGAGAGATTAGAGGCGGAGTCGACGAGCAAAGATAACACTGAGTTTGGGCCTAGAGGTGGATCTGCTGGTTACGATGGGTACGGTGGTGGACTTGGTGGGTACTAGTAGATAGCCGGCGACAATATTTTGTTCGTATTCGAATTCAGCTAAAGAACACGATAACTGACAGGAACATCATGAGATTTACAATCTCATTATATAGCCCGTTATTCCAGGATATTATCCATTCATGGCGTACAGCAATACAACAGTTCGACGTAATGATACAATATAATATTTACCTTGTTCCTATAGATAGTCATCACGAATCCTATATCATACGTAGGTACGCACTGACATGAATGCTAAAAGAAATTTGTCGGTCAGTATAGTTGATCAATGTTCAGACATTATCCGTAACAGCTTGTGACTATTCTGACCTGAAGCTCGTGGGATGTTGTGCCTTTACTAAGTAGAAATTAACAGAACTATAGAAGAGATTTTTTTCTATACTAACCACATATATTATCACCAAATTATCTATCATTAGATTTATGTATCGGGAAGCTGTTTTATTTTATTTATTTTTATTGTCTTACAGTTGTAAGTAGATCCATAGTAATACCGTTATGAGCCGCCTCGGTGTCTCTAATTTCGTTGACAAAGATCCTGCATCGTTGTAGAGTAGATCGCTCGAGTTGTCAACTGTCATCCCAAATCAGACCCCAGAGCAAGACCAGAGCCAGACCAGAGCCAGACCACATTAGACGCAATATCGGGCAGACAACCAGAAGCTTTAATGCTGCCCGGCTTATAGGTGGACATATATATATATAAGCCCTTCACCGTACCATCCCATGAACATTCGAACGATGGACCCTCATATTCTTCGCCCAGATAAATACTATCTCGCAACCCAGGAACCCAGGATTTGCCATGGTAGATGAACATCATGTGGCTGAGTGAATGTCGACAAGTTTTCCCTAACATTAGATGCTGTACCAAACACGCGAGGAATCTGAATGGAGGAGCTCGTAAGTCACCATGCATTCCATTGTCTTTCCTTCTAATCTGACTATGGGCAGGAAGAAGCTGTGTCATACCTTGGTTCAGAGCTTGTTCATTCATATGTCCCTGAGAGGCAGACACTGATTCAATGCCAGTTCCTAGTGTTCCAATTCCCGCGGTCGTTTCAACGGCGCTGTATGATGACAGTCCCTGCTGGGTCACTGCGGTATTGGTGGAATACTCCTGAATGGCCTCGTAGAATCATTGTTAGTTGTTTCAAGTGTACTCAGGCCAACGCATGCACAAGACAGAAGGATGGGCGACACAAGAAGAGCTTCGATGCATCTTGTTGCTGTATGTCACCCGCTATATATTCACAGATAATATATGGATTATAAAAGCTGGGTTCCGCAACTGATGTTGTACGAAATTATCCTTCCTGTTAGCTGTCTTTCCGCCACCCGCGATAGTGGGTTAGGAGTCATTGGTAGAGGCAATTACCGAAGTGATAAGCCTGACTGAGCCTTCCCAGCAGCCGAAAGCTGATCTGCCCATAGCCTGTGCAATCGTAAAATAGTTCGCACATCTTGGAGGATCATCAACCACCCAATTTCACTGTTACTAGAAAAGAGGAAATCGCGTGATTTCCCCTTTCCAGAAATGGGTTGAGATCTGTTATGTTTCTGGTTCCACGTGAAAGCACCACCTTTACCGGACTGAACTATTCAGCTCATGGGCAGAAGGTCCGGTTTTGGTGAGTGATCTCCAGGGATAATTGAGAATAGAAATAACAAGCCAGTCAACAGGTGTGCAGTCCGAAGTCAATGACCTTTGAGTGGGTAGACGTGGTGTGATATTTACAATGCAGTCAATTTTAGATTTGGCAACATAATTCCAATATTTGCTGTCAGACGAGACTTTCAGGGTAGCAGCTGGATAAGCAGGTTTCCCGGCGAAGAGGCACAGCTTAGCATTCAGAGAATCAAGCTTTTGTGGAGTGGACAAGAATTGTGAGGTTCCTCGCATGTTACGAGTCTGCTAGAGCAGATCAAACGAGGGGCCGGTGTTGGTGGGTATCTGTGGTATAGTCGGTGAAGTTGGAGTGGATAGCTAGACCGTATCACGCGCTAGAGGCATTACGGAGCACGGAGTTCGGGACGTACAGGTGATACGATGTGCTGTACTTCGTATGCACGAGGATGACAATATCGAGAAAAGAGCAGAGAATTGCCGAGAAGGCTGACAATGTGAAGTCTGCTGGCAGCCGATACAAAAGGCCAAGGAACTCATAGTTGAAGCAATGCATGAAAAGGATATCATCAGATGGGACCAACTACAACCGATACGTACGTCGGTCCGTTCCCATGGAATGGCAGTAGTGATTCCCATCAGTATCGTGTGGAGCCGGATACAATGTTATATGTAGAACTTGAGAGAGGATAATATCAGCTCGGCCATCGTGATAATCCGTAGTGACTTTACCGGAGAGTATTTGCACTCGGAATGGCAAAGATGAATGTTAAATAATCGGACATAGTATCAGGGACTAGCCAGCCCACCCATTACGCGGTGGTGTCCACATGTTCGTACAGTAATCGGCAAGGCCACGCATCATAGGGGCTGAATCAACTTATATACTTTCATCATGCACTGGTGCTCATGGGGCCTTGGTAGAAGGTAGAACCTAGAGCCCCTTCCATCCCTGCTCTCCCTATAATCTGGCAGGCTTCTTGCTTTAGAGTTGCTTATGCCGGCAGATGTGGGCGAGGTTTTATACCCTTTCTAGCCCTCGTAGCGAAACAAGCTCTAACGGATTTTTCCTCTCTTCCGTAGGTTTTCTTCGTTTCACATGCACCCCCGGCAATTCCCTCTGTCCTTTTTACGGGGACTCCCGAGCTTGAATTTTGAACCATCCAACTGCAAGGTGAGTAAAGGTTGCTTTTCCTGTCAGCTGTTTACTACCACACGCAAGCCCTAGTTACTCCGCTACTTTGCGATTCAATTTACATTCAAAGACATTGATCGGGCCGCCCAGAGAAGATTGGCAGCACTAATGTGAACTTGCTTTCTACATGGAAAGTGGAGACAAGCATCTTGGACACCTGAGGCCGCCAATGTATGGTGACCCACCTTTGTAATCGGCTCACTTAATCCGATCGGATAGTTGACTATTCCACCTTTACTGACGTATGCAGGCCACATCTTTGTGCGCCCTGTGCGCCGGGAAACGCAAGCATCTCGGAACTATTGCTATCTGTGGTACCACCCGACAGTCAGGTCCTATGTGGACGGTCTACCACCTGATACCGTACCGGGACGGACAGTAGCCTCGCCGGTTATTGCGTCCGTGACAAGCTTTGGTCAGCGATGAATTGGGCTGCAAATAGCTCGGATGAGCTTTATGACTCGAGTATATCCAATACACATCGTACTTAGAGAAGTTGCATGGCTGGCGCATCAGTCATTTGGTCTATCTCAAGCTGAGGTTCCCGACAGGGTCCTCTTCAGAAGATGTCGGGACCAACTAGGGCACGGGCCAATTTTCGACATCACCCTGCCACCCGGGGCTGTTACCGTGTCTATCAGCCTGAATTGGAGGTAAACCGACAACTCTTTGACAGTGGTGAATAAATCCCACATGGGACATTTCGATCACATGATCAAGATAGGTGACAGGCGGGGTAAGTTTTCGGTCCACTTCGCGGAACCCTGCAGATCCCAAATGGCAGGTAAGGCGTCAAGAGCTTTAGGGATATTGTCGAACATTGTTCGTGAATATACCCCTTTCAAGTAATCGCTGAAGAAAGCTCTGTGCTCGGGATCCACGCTATCCGCTGCTGCAATGAAGCATGACCATACGAATCCATGGGCACCTGGCTCCGTGGGGCTCATCTGACAAAGAAGCTGGCGCAGCTCTTCCAAAACATGCCACGAGCTTTGATTTGTAGTCGCACGCTGAAGATATATTTGTGCACCCTTTGAGAAGACTTTCCTGACAAGTGACAATGTTCTGTGATGGTGCGAATCAGCGTTAACTCTCGAAGCCATCCAGACACTTGGATCAACCGGATTTCTAAGTCTCTCCGCGCCCAGGTCTTCGTTCAAAAGTGGCTGTCCAAGGAACGCAAACATGTCCGTCTGCTTTGTGAGAAAATCTCTCAGCTCGGTATTTCCGACGCTTCTCATGTTTTGGGCCAGGGTGAGGAGAGTCCGTAACAGGTGGCTATACTCGGAGCTTCCGGTGACGGTTTCCCCAACAAGTAGCACGATCAGAGTCGCCCAAGTGGATGAATTAAACACGAGATCGGGCGAACCAAGCTGAGAATCACGTCGTAAGCGAGATATTATTGCCGACCGGCTGGACTCGGTCGCCGCTCGACATGAGGGGTGTCGGGAGCCAAGATGTTGCGCGGCCACAACAGCAACGGCCTGTTGTAGAAGGCTGTCTTCAAAAGCCATGGGCAGGATAATGTCCCGGTAGCCATTGGATATATCAAGAACAACCATGACAGGAGCGATGTATTTCGCGAAGTAGTCGAATGATTCGCGGGTTCTGTAATCGACTGGTGCGATCCACTGCCCAACAGACGTCTCCATTATTGAGGATGGCCGGGGGGTCTCAGAAGGTATGTTCCTATACAATTCTTGTCCTGAGCTAAGGATAACGTCCTGGTTTGCGACAGATATTGATTGTGCGAGAGCTCTGCCTCCACTGGCCGAACCCCTCTCTGTGACCAGTCCATTCCGGACTACCCGCTCCTTTTCGCTAAGTCTGGGCTTCTGTTTTTTGTTGATTCTATTCCGGTCATCCTTCCACCGAATAGGACGAGGGCCATCTGAGCCTTCTTTGTATACCGATCTCGGGTCGACATCAGGTATCGGAATCGTGCAGCCTTTGAGTTTTCCCCGACTCGCTAGGCCGGGGCTGAAGCGAAAGCGACCGGATCCCGAGCATTCGATCCCTTTCTTCTGACACTTGAAGCAGGTAGGTTCCCCTCTGTCGCAGACAATCCGGCGTTTCGAGCATTGAAAGCATCCTGAGACGCGAGAAGAAGTTAGCCGTGACCTGCTGGTGTGCGACGAAAACCGGGAATACCTCGCGACTGGGAATTACTACCGGAGTCCGTCGCGACCATGGGGACCCGCTCGGCGACCATCAAGGCATAAAAGCCATGCAAGTATGCGCGGATATTAGCTACTGATGGCGCTATCCGATAGTGGGCTGATATGAGGAGTGTTGTGGAAACTCCAAGGACGCTGAAATGAAATCCGCGGAGGTCCGATGGCCGCCCGGGGCGGTGCGGGTCTTTCTTTTCCGAGGTTCCCCGCACGTGTTTGCCTCTCAATGCGGTGTCAGCGTTCTTTCTTCACGGCATCTCCGTCGTTACTATACACTGCAGGGACTAAGAAGGACGTCCCTTATCGCAGAGTTAATTAAACAATTCTGCAGTATGTGCCTGTTTAGTGATGGGCTACTGAAATGTCACATACCAGCAACACAGGGCTGCTATCTATGCCCCACCACGTGATCTGACAGCTACTCCGATAATCCGCCGATCTGAGCTTGACAGCATCAAGCATGAAACCATCTCCCCCTCTCGGTTGTCTCCGATGCTTGGCCTACCTTGGACCCAGTCATGGGCCTGTCAGGAGTCAGATGTGGGTTTCAAGGTTATAGCACGCTTGTCAACGTCTAACAGAGGGGCGTCTCGGACGAAAAGCAGCTGATACATGTCTCAACGAGGGATGGCTCTATTGCCATTCTTACGATGGCAATTATTGGTCGTTATCAAATGAAGGGGAACTGTGTGTGCCTCAGATTCGTCACAATGGCCTTGTCGGATGACAGTCTCCGTGTGCTGCACTCGTCGACATTTCGCCGGGCGCTAATGCCTTCAGGGTTATCCCCGAGATGGTGCCCGATACAATTATTCAAGGCTCGGTTACTCTATTACAGGGAAGGAAAAGCGCAACAATGATCACATCGAGCGCATGAAGCAATTTCTGGCTGCCCCAATATATTCCAATCTATCATCTGTTCAGTCTTCAACCTTCGACCCCTCCCCTGCGGACTCCGACGCGCACCTTGCGTCTTATCTTCTGTGGGCCTGGCTTCGCACCAATCCAGGACCAGCGCTGACGCAACGCTCCCTATCAGCAATATCGGTGCCGGGCCCACACGGCGCTATTGTTCCTAGCCATCGAGTGGGAGGCCATGTCTCGTCACTATCAGGCAGCACTATACCGGTCCGCCTTGTCTTTTCAACCACTCGCATCGCGTCATTGCTAACCGCCACTTCGGAAGCTGCGAGCTATGCTAGTCGACAACAGCGAGATTCTGCAATCCAGCGAATGTCTCTCATTCCTGTATGTTTAATTGTAGCTAGATTGGTGGTCTTGTCCGACTACCGGATGTAATTTCCCAACACTATATAATCTCCCGAACGCACCCCTCTTCTGCACGAGGCTTCTCTCCTGTCAGTCAAGCAATCACTTAGATCACTTCTCACTCAGCTGCCGCCATGTATATCCCCGTCGGTACCCTTGCCACTGCCTCGCTCCTTGCCGGGGCTGCTCTGGCTGCACCCACTCCCTCCCCGCTCAAGGGAAGAAATATTGTCCGCAGAAGCGGCAGCCACACCGTCTACAAGCCCGCCGCCTTCGCTGCTCCCAGTCACAACAAGGCCTCCTCCAAGTACCTCGAGCTGAGCAAGACCAAGTCCAAGGGAAATGTGAACCCTCGTAGTGCTGCCTACGTGAAGCGCTCCACCAGCAGTGGCAGCTCCAGCTTGATCTCCCTCTTCGAAGGCGAGGAGTTCGCTACCTCAATCACCATCGGTGGTGATTCTTTTGACGTTATCGTCGACACCGGTTCCAGTGATACCTGGGTCGTTAAGACGGGCTTCACATGTATTGACCTCGACACCGGCCGCGAAACCTCCGAGTCGAGCTGCGACTTTGGCTCCACCTGGACTGTCGAGAGCTCTTTCAAGGAAATTGAGGGCGAAGAATTCGCCATCGAGTATGGTGATGGTGAGTACCTCTACGGAGTGATGGGTAACGAAACCGTCGCTCTTGCCGATATCACTGTGGATCAAACCATCGGAGTGGTCACTGAGGCCGCCTGGGAGGGCGACGGAACCACCTCTGGCCTGACTGGTCTTGCGTACCCTGCCCTGTATGTATTCTGCCCCAATTACTGATAGTCAGGCTTCTAACATGTATCAGTACGAGCGCCTACTCCACAACCACCGACGAGCAGATTGTCTACAGCAATATCATTACCACCATGTGGGAGGAGGGCCTGATCGAACCTCTGTTTAGTCTGGCCATTGAGCGCGATGTTTCCGGTGCCGCTGGCTATCTGGCTCTCGGCGGTCTGCCTCCTGTGGACTTCGTGGAAGACTTCACCAACACCTCAATCCTGGTCACCAACATCGAAGGCTACTCCAAGGCCTACGACTTCTACACCATCAACATTGACGCTGTCACTCTGAACGGCAAGAGCTTGACCAGCGCTGGTGGCGACGACATCCAGTACATCGTACGTTGACTCCAGCACCCCTTTACCTGATGGTGTCTAACAGATGCAGGTCGATTCGGGCACCACCCTGAACTACTACCCAACTTCCATCGCTGAGGAGATCAACGCCGCTTTCTCCCCTGCGGCGACTTACTCGGACGAGGAGGGCGCCTACATTGTAGACTGCGACGCCACCCCTCCCACTCACGGCATCACCATCAGCGGAAAGACCTTCTACATCAACCCCCTCGACATGATCCTCGATGCTGGCACCGACGACGAGGGCAACACCATCTGCATTTCCGGTATCGTTGACGGTGGTAGCGACACCTCCGAAGATCTCTACATTCTGGGCGACACCTTCCAGAAGAATGTCGTCACTGTGTTCGACATTGGCGCCACGGAGCTGAGATTCGCTGCTCGCGAGAACTACACCTCCAACGACACCTACTAGATATAGACTGGATATGTCCCCATTATTCACATGTATAGTTATGTTGAATGTAGTATGAAATTCATGTTCACAATCAATACCCCTTAATGGCTTTAATCAATCACAAACGAGCCTTCACCTCCCTCTTCGTTCCCAATTCCTCCAACACCACCCTAGCAGCTCTCGTCCCCTCCTCAATCGCCCCATCAATAAAGCTCCTCCACCCCAACGCCCAATCTGAATTCGCAAACACCACACCCCCATGCTTCTCCCTCAACCCCTGCAAACACTCACTCACCATCCCAGGCCTAGAGAAGAACCACGCGCCCTTCGCAAACTCATCCTTCACCCAATTGTGAAACACCAACCGCTTCACTCCAAATGTCCCAGGCGCTAACTGCCCAACCGCCTTCAACGTCTCCCGCACGTCCTCATCCGGCTGGATATGATTCGCATCCGTCCCGAAACACACCAGATGCGTGTTTCCCGCGGGAGTCGTCCCATCACCAATAGCATAGCACAGTTTATTGAAAGGGTACGCAATGCCCGTCCACGACCGCATATCCTTATTGTCCACTTCGGCATGCACCTTCGTGCACATATTCACATGACCTGCCTGCATAGCAGAGATCCTCTCCGTCGACAGCGCAGGTGAGAACTGGATCGTGGACAAGACATTGAGGGGAATAGTGCAAACCACCCGCTTCGCAACGAACTCCCTCCCATCCCTCGCCGTCACTCTCACCGCATCTCTCTCATTAACAACACTCCTAACCGGACACCCAAACACATACCCCAACCTCCCCGTCCCGGCCGCCTCCTCCCAAAACCTCCTCGCAAATGCAGACTGCCCATCCTTGAACTTATAACTTATCAAGCAGTCCATGCATCCCTGATACGTATATCCGCTCATCGCCCACCAATGCAGGAATTCTCCAAATGAGCTATTCTCCAGCGTTCCGCCAGAGCAAAGCAATATAAACGCTTCCAGAGAACTCCGTTCATTAAGGCTCAACTCATCCCGGATTTGATCAATCCGCTCCGAGTATGACATCTCATCATACTTCCTGAACTCAGGAACATAGAACATGTCATGCGGGAAGGGCAGGACAGTACGGCCGTTGGTGCCATCCACGTTGGTGAACTTGTGCAATGCGGAGCGGAGGAGCTCGTCCTCGGCTTCGTGAGTCATGTAGGTTGATGTGGTGGGGTTGGTCCGTAGCTGGAAGTGATTCACGCCGCGGGAGAAGTTGAAGGAGGGTGATAGGGCGTTGTGCATCTTGTAGCGCGTGATTTCGCGCCATACGTGCGATTGGTGCCAGTGGACCCATGTGCCGCCCATCTGATTGGGTATTAGTTATGTAGGTTGGAGGGAAAGTTGGTTGAAAAGGGATGTACCTCGTAAGGATAGCCGTCGATGTTAGAGGACCAGGAGCGGCCGCCTATGCGGTCTCGGGCTTCGAGGAGAAGGGTTTTGAAGCCTGCCTTCTTTAGCTTGTTTTCTCTTTGATAGTAGATGAGAGAGGATGTTAACCTGCTACAGTCAAGTCCCTAGTGGCAGTCAACCCGCAGTACCCTCCACCAATGACAATCACGTCCCATGGACCATCTTTGTCCGTGTCTTCGATATTAGTGGGCGGGGAGATGACTCCTAGAGAGGGGACGCCCTGCGTGAGCCCTGTCTCGGGTGTCCACTGGTATCCGTCTCGGGAGGTCATATTGGTGAAGATGGTGCGGTAGTAGTGGAGGGGACGGGTGTATGAGGTGGATATATGATGAGCGGTTTACGTCGGGTACATCGTGGGATTATATAGTACGGCGTCGGAATCCATTCCGATGGGTTCACTCGATATCTGTTTCTTGGTTTGCTGAAAACGCAACTCTTCTGCGAACCAGGATACACTTCTCATGGACCGAGAGAAATATTTCCCGATTGGGTTAAAAAAGGGAGATTCTGGGTGGGTCTCATGTTGGATAGTACACCGCCTCCAGGATTTTCCTCAACGGCCTCCCCACAGTACCTTCGAGATACTGAGTCGCTGGAAGCCAGATAATTGCTCTCCAAAGGGAAAAGATTTATTTTTGGTATGTATTCTATGCACAGGATAGCAGTGATAGAAATCCTGTTCATTCCTCTCATCCATAACAATACCATTGCAACACAGTATTCTGCCGGCATAATAGCTGCCTTCCCCGCACACACTACACCGCCAGATTGCCGAGTGAGTCGCTTATCTTATCGGCTTATCAGTCCATCACATTCGGCGTCAGCGGGGAGAGAAATTTCCGTTTTCGGGTAATAACCAGAGAAAATGGTGGCAGGCTGGTAAAAATCGAGGAATTCGGTAGACATTTGTCTGATGGGTTAGGTAAACTCATTTGCTATGTAGTGGAGGGACTTCTGTCATGGAATCTTGATTAAATATTTTGGTTTTCAATTTCTTTAGTGCTCGGTTGTCTCAGCTGGGGCGAAATATATATAGTCGGCCGGTGGCTTATGTTATTGAAGGATTACAGCTTTCTCATCATGATCACTAATTGTGTCCCATAACAGCTCCCCGTATATGATTTTCCCACATTGCTATCAGCATCAACATCATCAGACCAAAGCAAAAGACACTAGCAACTGACCCAGGTTGTTGATGATGCTCCTCTAAATGGTACTGTCGGACACGTGCTATGTGCGCTGGGCCCTCTGCAACCCTCACCTTCCTTGTCCATAGCAATTGCATCATATTAGAGTTTAGCAATGCAACGCCAAATATGCCAAGGGAGGTACGAGAAAGATTGTAGATAGCGTCAGATAGCCGCTCACCACGCGATGGTACGAGTTATTGTCTGCATCTTGGATCTTTCCAGTCACTAGTCGAACAATAAGATTCGCCACATTATTCTCTACATAAAGCCCCAACATGTTGAGGTTCAGCAATGATCATCGTAGACGCGCTGCTGAAAGCTTCCAGTAATGTCAGATCAAATGGTTATAGCCGAAAGCGCCAGTCATTTTGGATATCACTCATGACAGCATGTTGGGTCAGAGGGCTTCGCGGAGACATGGGTAGACCTAGTTGGAATTACTAGCATGAATGGAATTCCTTGGATCTTGCATGCCCTCGTAAGGAAGTCACCTCAAATAGCAAGTGGACAGCACGGCCGTAACTCCATGACACTTCCAAGTTCCTCATGAATGGTTTTCCCTTTGCTAAGTAGCCTGGGCTTTAGTATGTTTACTATTCCTGGCTACGGGCGCTGTCATCCTACATAGTCCCACGGATGCCTATATTGTCGTATTGACTTCATCCGATGTTTTAATAATATCATGTGACCACATGTACTGCACTGTACGTGGGAAATAAGACCAAATCAAACATGAAGAACCTCCCCATTCTGTCTTTACTACTGCGGAACTTGTCCAGGTAGTCAGGAGGATCCTGGTCTGTTCTGCTCCCACTTAATCCGGTCCAACCAGATTCTATGGCATGCTCTCGGGTTGAAGGGTTGGGATTTTGAGGGAAGATTCATTGTTTTTTGCTGCCATTAGAAAAGAATAGGAAACATATACAGAGTAAAGCCGAAGTGAGTTTCCTATTAGACTGGATTAAAACGGAATAAAGGGAATCCAGCTCACAACAGCAGGAAGTCGATTGTGGCAAGCGGCTCAAGTTGTTGACTGTATGATACAGTTGACCCTGGCCAAATGACTAATCAAAGTTATGCTGAAATTCTACCCGCGGACACCCGCCAAGAACCCATGGGCGGCCTCAGAACCACCCCGCGTTTGGGGAGGTCAGACTGTCTTCATGTACTGGTGAACTTTCTGCCCAATCCATCTTGCTCTCTATCGGGTGTGCATTGTACTGATGTAGCTACGATATTCCCACAAAAAATACAACTGGAATGCTTTCGGCGGTAAGTGACATCATAAAATCACTGACCCCGAAAGAACGACGCGCTGGATATAGCGTCGCCCTTCGGGGCATTTTGAAGGTTGTCTCGATTGCCTTGGGCTCGCTAACCTATTCTAGTGTGATCTGTGCCATTTAAGGAAAGTATGAATTTATTTTACTATTAGCATTGCGCCTGCTAAAATATATACCTAGGTAAGATGTGATAGACAGGCGATATGCGCAAATTGCGTGGACGCGAGAGTTGAGTGCCGGAGAGACCGGCGGCCCAAAGCCCCATCGAAACCAAAGGCTCTATCAAGGTAATGCATCGGAATTAAGAAGCGTTATAGTCTGTTACTGACTACAATAGCATCCTATCTCTTGGAGAGCGGGTTTCAAACCTGGAAAGATTGACAAACCAGCCTAGGGGGTACTGATAACGCTGTCTATTGTGTTCTCTGATTCTGACCAGTCCACATAGAAACAGTCATAGCCCGAGTGTACCCGATGTGATGTACACTGAATCTAATAATACAAACGAATCAGACAAAGAGACTTCCGCAGAGAGGAGGAAGTTGAATGATCATACCACGCGATCGGAAAGTGCTCCCCAGGGGCATGCCGAATGGGCCACTGCTTCTGAAGATTCTTCTCACCGCGCAAAACAGGCCAAGGCTATTCTTCAGAATGAGCTGAGCATCGACAATGATCTGATATCTGACCGGCGGACAATTCTCAGGTCCGCTTTAGATCTAGTTGAAAAGGTGGCGAACAGGAAGAACTTGGACTTGGGCGGATCTTCATTGCTCAGGATGGCCGAAACCCACTACGAAGGCATTGAGGTTCCAGACGTGCCTCCACCAGAATTGTTGTACATGCTTCTTGGAGGTACTTCCCTTGCCCCATTTTTTATCCATCTCTTCTAATGCTGCGTAGAGCAATCGCCGACATTGAATGTTGGAAAATACGTTCAAGTTCAATGGCCTGACCATGTCACTGGCAAATCGCTGGAAGAAATGGCCACACAGCTCCTGAACGGTGATGCCCACGGACAGCTATACCATCAGCTCTGCATCTGTATATATGTAAAGGCTGTATGTCATGTAGATCAGCTATCAAGGTTGTCAAACAACGCCACCCTCTTAAAACGACTTCTGGGCTCTAAGAAGGTGTATGAGTCCGCTGCCATTCGCGCGCTCAGAGAGATCGACATCTGCACCACACCAAGTTTCATGTTGATACAATCGCTCATATCTGGTGTGAGTACCCGCAGTTGCCCCTGCAAGATTTACGGATGCTTACGCCGGTGGCGCAGGCCAAATTGATGCAACAGACCGGCAGGATGGATCAATGCTGGGTGCTCAACTCGTATGCGGCACGTTTGATTGTCGCCTTGAACTATCATGAAATCGACCATTTGACCCCCGACAATGAGGAAATCTTGAGTGCAGTGTTCTGGTGTTACTATCTTGACAGGACTTTAAGTTCCCTCTTTATACGGCCAATGTCGTTACCGGAGCCGTGTATGCCTCTCGACCAGATGCTTCGGAAGGATGAATCAATGGCATATGGCACCGTGGTTGAAATTATCTCGGATCTAGCTCAAGTGCAGGGCGAGCTACTAGATTTGTCACTTAATGGGAAGCGCAGGTATGCCACTGAAATATCAGCCAGGTGTGAATACCTCCGATCAAGAATGCACGGGATACATATTAAAATGGAAGCTGTGGGTAATACACTCGCTAAAGGTTATATGTGCCGACTGTTAAGAGGATCCTTAGGCCGGTCATTCTATAATCGATGCAATTGTCAACGAATGGCACGGGACATAATTTTGTTACTATGCGATTTTGGTCGATGTTCTTCGGGCACAGCTGAAGCATGACCCAAATGCGGCAGCATATAAAGAGTGTTTATCGGCTGCCAGGACCTCGCTACGAGCGTTTCAGCTTATCCAGAATAATCTTGCAGACGTACCCGGGATCGAGGGTTCGTATCCGTCGTTCTTGACATGGTTCGTCGCTCGTGGCTGAGGGGAGATTCCCTGAAGAAACATGACTGACACCCATATAGGACCGTTTTCTTATACCCACTCAGTCCATTCTTTGTTCTCTTCTGTAATGTGGTTCGTACCACTGACTCCGGTGACTATCTTTTGTTGCAGGAAGTCACTCAAGGGCTATCGCAATATACCGGCAACACTCATGTGATGAACATGTTAGATCTGTTAATGGCCCTTCAGAAACTTTGCGAGCCATTGTTCCAGACCGCACTGTCTCAGAATGAGCAAGCTCCGCCTGTGTCGGCGACCCATCCCACCGTGGACAGTCTTCCATATCAGGTTCTACCCCCAGACACGGTGGATGGTGTCGGAGGTGTACAACCCATGGGGTTCTCAACTCTGGGTGCTGCTGATTCCCAAATATTGGCAACCGAAAGCCCACTTGGCTTATCTACCGATGAATTGATGTGGCAGCTGTTCAATAGCCAACTCCCGCTGGGATGGTACGATATGGACATGTCGTCCTTCAACGGGCAGTAATTGGGTGTTCACTTTTCTAGTTCCTATAAAATCGAAAATGCATAGTCGCTTTAACGCCTAGCAGCTTTGGCAAAAAAGGTCGTGGCTGGACTACTGTCCGGTCGTCTACTGTTTGGATGTCACCAGTACTGTACAGGCTTTGTATCTCGTGGTAGTTATATTCTCAAGTGAGCCGTCTGCTAGAGGCAATAGCCTAATGAAGGCACAAAGATGATACCAGGAACTAGGGTTGCGTATTCCTGTTGGTCACCACGGGTGATAGAGCATTGTATCTGATAAATCAATCAATTCGACTATCGCATTTCGTAAGACACCATAATGGAAATTCGACGACAGATTACTAGAATTCGCTTGTAGCAGACGGGCATGCACGTCCAGAGGAGGTTTGCAGTGTTACCCGTGGTAGGTTTACATGATCAGGCAGACGGAAACACGCAATCGAGAAAATCGTCCGGAAAAAAGAGAGTTTCAAAGTGAAGGCTGCCTTTATTACACGGTGCTAGACTTTCCATGTTTTAAAAGACACTTGATTTGCGAAGTCCTTGGACTGTCTCTCTTGAATATCAAATGACCGGCCTTAAGTTAAAATGACCTGGAACTGGGCCCTATAGTTTTTGGTTGCTATCTTCTATGCTACCTATCGTCGCTGACTTTAGTAAGGAGAGGCTACCAGTCTCCCTTAGCCTAAAAGAGGATAATGAATGATTATTTCCCCTTCTGTTTGGCCAAGAAAATAAATCGAACTGGATTGTTACGTCCCAGAAACCTCTCTTAGCTGATCTCCCTGCCGCACATGAGGACCAGAGAAAATGGAAAAATGATTGTACAAATATTGTGTTCTTGGGATCCTACACCCAGGGCTACTTGATCTAATCTACATGGAGCTATCCACGAAACAGGGTTAGAGAGACTAAAGAAGTCGAAGTGTTACAGTATACTGATAGATGGCCGTACTAGAGTAATAGTTTTGAAGAACATCCCTCTCTTTCACCAAACCACTACCTAGTGTGGAGCACACTTCAGCTCATCGTAGATTTCCTTAATCAAGGCCTTGACCTGCTCACCGCTCATGGGTTGAACGCCTAATAGATCATTGTGATTCTCCTCAAACACACCATTATAGCCTGGGGTTGCGAGTGAATACCGGATTAAGTCTCCCACAACCGTCCAGCTGTAGTTTCCAATAGCTGTGGCAGATAAAGCTTCTTCGAAGGCCTTTTCCATATCCTGGCTTTCGACCTCCCAGCCGTCGGGTCCAAGTGCTTCCTTTGCCAGATCGGCAATCTCTTTTTGACTCTTCTGAACACCGTAGATAGAGCAGTGCATATTCTTGGTTTTCTCAGCTTGAGCCAGGGCATTGGCAACGGCCGTACCAACGGCGGGAAGAACGGTCAAAGGGAAGACACGGGTACCATCGTTCATGAGCAGAATCTTTTTCTTGATCAAGTCAATATTCAAAAAGCCCGATCGCAGACACCAGTCCAGAAAGGCACCATTAGAAATGGCAGTCCATGTGATCTTCTGATCATTGGCGACCTTCTGGAGATGATCATAGATCTGCGCCTTGCCCCGGAAGATGGGCAGTGACCGTGTCTTGTCGTACTTAGGATGGATGGTGAACTCAGGGGCGATGTAGCGATAAACTCCGGCAGCGACCGCGGCATCGATCAAGCCAATGGAAACGGTAGGGTTGGAACTCAAGATTGCATCGACCACGGCATCCTGACCCTGAAGAGCGAGCCCTAATTCCGCGGGAGAGCTGAAATCCACCACCTTGGCCGTGACGCCAGTCGGGAAACTGACACCATTCTTGCGTGTCAAGACGGTAATATTAAAGCTGCCATGGTTCACCAATGCGGTAAGGATATACGATCCAAGGTTTCCGGTGGCCTGAGATTATGGATTAGTGGCATGTCTTGAAAGTCATTACGATTAGAAGTTCCAACCTACCCCCGCGATGACGACATTCTTGATCTGTCGGGACATTTTCAAAGTTAAACAAAGCAGTTGAAGGTAATTAGACTTGATCAGTTCTGTGTCTCTTAGGGTCTGCAGCTCTCCTCGAGGCGAAGGGGATCATTGTAGTTACTCTTTATATAGACCAACCCTTCCCTCCCCACTGACTGCCTTCGGAGGCCATCTTATCAGATCCGAGGGTCTTTGCCTAGTCCCCGCTTAGTCAGCGCATGTCATGTAAGATCATCGCGGTGAGGTTGCTCGTTCCCCACTCAGAGAACTTCTCCATTGGGTGTATGTGTATCCCCATGAAATACGAATGGCTGCGAGCTGAATTACTAATTTAGCAATAGGGGGAAGACGCGTCTGCTTCCTGCGCAAGAGAAAGACTTTGCAGTCAAAATCAGTCAAAATTATGCTCTTGGACTTTATGTGGGGTGGTACTATGCACAGAAAATGTGAGGTGGCAAGAGTAACAATAGCTTGGACTATTGATCATTTTCATTCTCATCCAAAAATCTTATAATCTATATACACGGAGTGAAGCCCATACCGATCTCCAATCAGCCTGGATTAAAGCGGTACAGTGAAACAAATGGAACGAGTTCCATATACGAGGCACCTTTTAGGCCCCTGTAGACCTTCGATTCACGAGACACCTTCCAGCAACTCACATTTACCTGCTCCATCCAGGGCTTATCTTGGAAATCGGAATACTAATAATAGAATATAATATTATCAGCCATGTCTAGACAAAGGAAAACCTCGGGATATCTCACCCTAGATCTGAGTAAATAATCACGCCATTGGCACCTTCTATATTGGAAGAAAACAGTAGTATTTACCTAGAAAAAGATCCTTTAGTGTAATATCGACAACACGACATCTGTTCTCACGTACAATTTCTGTCCTATTATAGGACACGGCAGTCCTGGAAAATGATTAGGGCGATGATGTGTGGGAGGTTACTTCCAGCAATCTCAGCAGCATCTGATCTCTCTTCCTATTGAAACCATCCCAATTCACTGTTTCTAGCCATTGAAGAGCCTCTCTCTTCAGCACAGACACGCTTTCCTCGCTCCAATCGAACCGATGCTTCAACATGTCTTCCTCCCAAGCTCGGACCGCAGGGCCAAGTCGTTCAACACGCTGGGCAAACCCATTCGGCCCTCCTCCCCCACCCAACGAATTTGTAACAAACGGACCGGTCAACGCCCATCGAAGGCCCGGACCTGATGTCATTGCCGTGTCGAGATCCTTGGCGGAGACAATGCCGCGGCTGATAAGGCTGTATGCTTCGCTGTTGATCGCAGCCTGCAGACGATTGGCTACGAACCCTGGGACTTCGTGGTGGAGCAGGATGGGCGTCTTCCCGAGAAACCGGTAGAAGGCTTGGGCCGCAGATATGGTGGTAGCGCTGGTGCCCGGGTGAGGGACAACTTCCACCAGGGGGACTAGATGTGGTGGATTGAATGGATGGCCAACTAGGATGCGACTGGGGTCTTTCTGGCATCTTCCAATAAACCTCGATGCAGGGAGGCCAGAAGATGAAGAGGAGATTATGACACCGGGTCTGGTATACAGGTCCAGTTTTTCCATGAGCGCCTGCTTCAACTCGGGGCGCTCGGGTCCGTTCTAGCAATACATTAGCAAAGCCGATGTCTCGAGCATAGCACGTTAAGAATGCAGGGGCTACCTCCTGGATGAAATCGGCTTCTGATAAGCTCAATTCCATGTTGTCAATGAACTTGTAGTTCTTCGCCCAGGCATCTTCAATGGGACTGCGTGCTGCCAAGGCAGGCCATGCATCTTGCAGGTAATTCTCGAACGTTTCCCAGGCACTTTCGGCGGGATCGTAAATCAATACGTTCAAACCCCGGGAGAGAAAAAGACATGCCCAGCTCGCACCAATGACACCGCAGCCAATGACGGCAACGGTTCTAATCTGATCTTTCATAGTGATGGGTGTGAACCGTGAGCTGATCCACCACTCAAAGATAGCACCGCTGAAAGGCAACAATGATGTAAAGAAGGATGTTTTGTGGTCCTCACTATCAAGGGACTGCCAAATGCCCCGGAAATAAGTCAGGGCTAAACGAGCAAACCGAACCCGGCCGGCAGAATATCTATACCGGTTACGGGAATAGTAACGGGTAACGCTGCTCCCCGCATTGACGGATCTTCCGGTCATTGCCCGCGTTCCCCGATTGGAAGATCCGTTACTAGAGTGCTAAAGAGCCGGTCAGCCAATCCCGCATCATACCCACCCTATATGTAGAGCAACGTCTTTGGTCACCTGCTTTCATACCAGAGCATTGTTCCCTTTCTCTGACGCGAGGCTACAACCTACATTCTCGGTCCAGCGTTTACAGAATGCCTTCAAGCGTAATGAATACCATGCAGTCAACCGATTCGCCAGAAGACTATGGACCAGGGACATACGTCGACACGAGCTTCACTCCGTTGCCCGAGGAATGCAAACGATTGCTTCATGTCTTCGCGGCTAGGACTCCTGGCTTCACGCAGGATCCTGCCCTGCTTGATGGAGTTATATTCGAAGGGGACGATCTGCCTTGCATTCCCGGACCGATCAAGGCACAGGCTGTGACGGCAGTGCTGCATGCGATGGTCGGTATCGTGGGCCTTGAAATGCTCCAACTTCGCGGCGACGATACCAGCTTGGTAACGCACGTCAACACCAACCATGCAGGGCTATATCCAGCCACTCCTGCGCTAGTAACCGTGGACGGGCAGACAGGTCCCTCCGTGATTGCTCTGCCGAGCATGCCTCAGTGGGATAAAGACCGTCAATCCGGCTCTCCCATGGTATATCGTGCCACGGCCATCTATCCGACTGCCGATGAGAGCATCTGGTTCCAGCTACATGGCTCTCTTGACCCCTGGACAATGCTGAGGACCATCGGCATTACGCGGGATGTGGAAGTGACCATACATTCCAATGATGAAGCTTATAAGTACATTGGGGAACGCGTGCGGACATATCGTGCTCGAGAGCTCGAACAGCTCATGCTCGAGCATGGCCTGTCGGGCTCAATCGTTCACTGTCCCCAAAGCTGGCGTAACACGCAAATGGGCCAATCTCTCGCTCGTCATCCACTGGTCAACTACGCCCAACACGCACGTGGTTCCTCTCTTCCGCCCACGCCCCCGCTCAGGTTGGCCGACAAACGACCGTTGGCGGGGATCAAAGTCGTTGAACTGGCGCGTATTATTGCCGCGACTGCCACTGGAGCTGCCCTCGCGTCTATGGGGGCTGAGGTCATCCGCGTAAACTCTTCTAAACTCAAGGATTACACCCCCGCGCAGCCTTCCTCATTAATGGCGGGCAAGACAACAATCGACTTGGATCTAGATAACCCTGCTGATCATGAACGACTGATGCAGTTGTTCGAAGACGCTGATGTCATCATCCAAGGTTATCGCCTGGGATCTCTGGCGCGGCGTGGGTTCAGCTTCGAGGCGGCTCAGAAGATGGCCGAGAAGCGCGGCCGCGGCATCGTTTACGTGGACGAGAACTGTTACGGCCCAGATGGCTACTACGCCGAGCGCCCGGGGTGGCAGCAAGTGGCGGATGCGGCCGCAGGAAGCTCGTACATTATGGGTCAGTCGTTTGGTTGTCCCAAGGGCCAGGGCGTACTGCCCAGTCTGCCCATCTCCGATATGTCGACAGGCATCTTAACGACACTCACCATTATGTGCGGGCTGAGGGATCGCGCCAAATTCGGCGGCTCATATCACGGTCATACCGCACTGACGGCATATAACATGGCAACATTGGATCCGGACGTTCGGCTATACCAACGTGAAGTCGTACAGAAGATCCAGGACATCTATCGATTTACCCCCTGGTCCAGCGATGCGCATGTAGCGCCGTTGTATTACAATATTCTAAATGCATGGGACAAAAATAGTGACCTGGTGAAAAACGAAAAGTATTATGTGCACTTTTCTGACTCGGTCTTTGGAGCTGATCTGCGCGTGCTCGCGCCCGTGGTGAAGTACGCTGATGAGGAGACCACGACATGCTGGACATCCCCGCCAGTGCCTTTCTGCCACCATAAATTTAGGACTTTTTCTTCCCCCATTGCGGCATGATAGACATGAGCATACAAAATGGAAAGCTTTCTTTATGATCCATATCACAGGGGGTTCACAGTTATAGCAACCTGACACTATACTTGTGTGTGGAACTCGCGCGTGGGGCGGTTCGTAAAGCGCAGAGTGCTTCTGAGTCTGAATCAGCAACCCTGACCATTGTGTTAACTTGGTATTCCAATCGCCTTCAGTCTGCAGATTACTAAATATATTTTATGTTCCATCCTTGTTAAATATCTCGATTCAGAGTTACAAGGCATTTCCCTAGTGTTCTCTGATTCTCGGTGGTATACTTCCTCCCCATTCTCAGCTGTCTATTTTGTCATGGTATTGGCTATTGGATTCCTAGCAGTATCTTCCTGAGATTATAATTGTAATGGAAATATCGAAGCCGCTCTATCTTCTAAGATAACTATGTATGTATATGCCTTGCTGCGGGCCATATCCACCGTCCCCGCTCCATCCCCAACCCCAACTAACAAATGCGAAGGCTGGGGCACCCATGCCGAGTATGCATTACCCTCCGTCGGCTCTGACCGATTTTCATATTAAGTTAGACATGAAGATATACTGAAGGTCTTGATTGGTCGGGGATCTCGGGTAAAGACCGGGTGTCGGGAAGCAAGATAATGACCATTTGCCGAGCACGGAACCATGAGTGTAGATCAAGGTCTTTGCGTTTGAAGTCGTGCTGCATCTTATCATTCGACAGTAAGACTCTAGTTTAACATTTCCTTTGATCCATCGCGTGTGGGGGAGACCTGCTTGCCCCTATAAATGCGTGGCTGTGTAGCGGTGACGGGCGTTGGATTTTAACTGCATGTATCAATTCTAGAATCACGACTTCACGGTTATACTACCCATCATGCTCGCAAATAATATAACCGCAACTCCTTATACACTCAATACATACCAATTAGAACTATACCTTCAACGTATTCAATATCCTAGCCACGCCACCCCGACGGCTACTGGTCATCCGCGCCTAGAACAACTCCACGAGTCTATGGAGCATGGTTCCCTGGAAGCCCTGACGGAATTGCAACGGCGGCATCTTGCCGCAATTACCTGGGGAAATACGGCTCTACATTACTCCAACCATCATTCAATCTCCATCCATCCCGCCAGTGTCTTCGAGAAGCTGGTGGTGCGTTGCCACGATGGCTATTGTATGGAGAACACCAATCTCTTCTACATGGTGCTCTGTTCCCTCGGATACCAGGTGTATGCGACGGGAGGCCGAGTGAGTCGTACTGTCGTTTCCGGGGATCCAACTGAGGGAGGTTATATATCCTTGTCAGTAGTGCTTTGCAAGTCCAGACTCAAGAATTGCCGATGGCTAATGAACATATGTAGGAGCCACATGGTTCTAATCGTAACTATAGCCGGGCAAAAGTACATGGTACGTTTCTAAGAACCTGTCCCAGTGTATACGGTATATTAAAAATGATAAATACGATAGGTCGATGTTGGGTTCGGCCGTAACACTCCCACCAGACCGTTCTTGCTGCAAGNAGAATACCACTGCCCCATTGATCGCGCCGAGCGAAATGTCCTTAATCAAGGCACCTCTTGCAGGCTTCATGGATCAAACACAGAAGGTTTGGATCTATCTGGCCCGATCTGACTCTCAGAGTCCGTGGGCGCCTCAATATTCGTTCTCCGAGATTGAATTCCTCTTCGAGGATTTCAGTATGATAAACTTCTTTACGAGTAAGAGTCGCGCGATGTTATTTACGCAAAAGCTGGCGTGTACCCGACTTATCTTAGATGACCATAACTCTGAGCCCATTGGAATTTACATTCTTTCTGGGAGAGAGGTCAAGAGGGTACTTCATGGGAAGACCGAAACCTTGCGAGTATTGAATACGGAAGAGGATAGAGTCGGTGCGTTGGTCGAATACTTTGATATGCATTTTCACGCACACGAGATAGAGGGTATTCACGGGCTACCCTCCCAGATTAAACCTAGATAGTGCTGTGGAGAGTAAACTAAGCTCGTGCTGTTAGGTTTGGGGAGCCTGCTTGCATAGTATATATACACCGGGAAAATATAACGTATACATTATCATCCTTATTTGCACGGATACTGCCCTATACAACTCTGTTAGCTGGATCTTGCATAACGTTGCATAACGAGTAGCATTGGGAACGTCAGGTCACACAGGTACGCGGTGAACTGATAAGCAATTCATTTCGTCTCCATGTATGAGGAAGCTCTATGGTATAACACTAACACAATGCCCTTTTTGCGCATTAAGGAGATTTTCCAATTAATCCCATGCACTTACTAAATGACCACTATCTTCGTATTACTTGACATAAGCCTAACCTCTTAGAAGATCCAGTCAATGGGTTCTTCTTTAGAGCACAGAACGTACTTTGGTAAACGGTGACCCTTGCATAAGAAGAATCAATTCGAGATACATGACATCTGTTCTTGTCTAGCCGATCAATTCTCTCCTTTCCAAATTTTTTCGATAGTAGTCGCCGCTCCCAAGACCTTTCCATCATTGAGTGTCTTCCCAATTACCTGCAAACTGACTGGATGTCCATTCATTACATGGGGATCATAGATTTCCCAGTTCCAGGCATCCAGGTCATTGCGTGGCTGATAACCGTTCGGCTGTACGTAGACCTCCTTCCTAACCTCATCCACAGGGAACGAAACTGCCGGATAATCGAGTAGGTTCCACACCTTAGTGTAACCGACCCAACGCAGTTTGTGATGCGGGACCGCAGTATGAGCTGTTGTTGGTCCTAAAAGCACGTCGACCGGCTTGCCGGAGAGAGACCGGGTTTGGTTCCACCTGCTAAGGTACTTCTGCCTTAATGCAATCTTTCTATTGTTCACTTGCCAGTATTCATAGACTGATCTCCAACATGATTACTCTATATGATAAAATGTCAGCTAACCCCTACCCTCTATGTAAGTAAGAACTCCCGTACGATCTAATCAAGTCTCATCCAAATCTATTTGGTACACCAACTGATCCAAACCACAGCATCAAACATCAAAACCACAAATCCCACCCGATCTCAGGTCCCAGACGAGGCAGGACCTCAGCGACAGTATTGACATTCTTGTCACCTCGTCCGCTAAGGTTGAGAACAATATCCTGTTCGCCCTTCTTCATTGTCTTGGCGAGTTCAATAGCACCGTAGACAGCGTGAGAGGACTCTAGCGCGGGAATGATGCCTTCGTACATTGCTAGAGCGCGGAAGCCAGCCAGGGCCTGGGAATCGGTGGCTGCAATGAATCGGGCCCTTCCACTGTCCTTCCAGGAGCTGAGTTCGGGCCCTACCGCTGGGTAGTCCATACCAGCCGAGACAGAGTGTGTCTCCGAGATCTGCCCATGTTCGTCCTGTAAGAGATAGGTGTATACTCCATGAAGGACTCCCTTACTGCCACCGGACAGGGTTGCTGAATGGCGTGAGGTATCGAGGCCATCGCCACCGGCTTCCACACCCAGCATCTGGACACTTGGCTCGTCTATGAAAGGATAGAACATTCCTGATGCATTGCTGCCTCCCCCGACACAGGCCACAACAGCGTCAGGGAGTTTTCCGATAGCCTGTCGCATCTGTTCTTTCGTTTCCTGCCCAATGATGGACTGGAAGGTGCGCACGATAGTAGGGAACGGGTGAGGGCCAACAACCGAACCGAGAATATAATGAGTGGTCTCAACATCTTTGACCCACGCACGCAATGCTTCATTCACTGCATCACGCAGGGTGCGACTACCAGATGTCACTGGTACTACTTTAGCACCGAGAAGCTTCATCCGGAACACATTCAGCGCTTGACGACGAACATCCTCAGCGCCCATGTAGACAACACATTCCATTCCGAATTTGGCGCAGACCGTCGCAGTGGCCACGCCATGCTGGCCCGCGCCCGTTTCGGCGATAATGCGTGACTTTCCCAGTCGTCGAGCTAGTAGGATCTGGCCCAGGGCATTATTGATCTTGTGGCTGCCAGTGTGATTGAGATCTTCCCGTTTGATCCAGATATTTGCACCACCAATCTTTTCAGTAAGGTGTTGAGCAAAGTACAATCCACTCGGCCGACCCATATAAGGATAATAGGAGCGGTACTCTTCCCAGAAGGCCGGGTCTTGTCGTACCCCTTCAAAGGCCCGGTCTAATTCAGATAAACAGCCCATCAACGATTCGGACACGTATTGGCCACCAAATTCGCCGAATCGCGTGGATGGCACGGGATCCTGCTCGGCTGTGAGGTCGGTGGTTTCCGAACGTGAACCCTCTGAAGTCATCGCTTGAGGCCTCACCCTAGTCACAGGGGGTTCTAACACAGTGACCTCACGGACAATCGCACCGTGCTCATCTCGCTCGAGCTTGCGCCCGGTGATACCAGACAGGTACTTCCCGACGTATTCAGCAGCGCGACCGGGTAGCGCAGCGCCGATGGTACTGATGATCTGACTGCCAATGATACAGCCTTCAGTCAAGGCTTGTACGGATAGAAAGTGTTCTCGTGTACTGATGCCAAAGCCGAGAGCAATCGGTGTGTCGCCGGCATAGGTGTGGATGCGGTCAAGAAACTCAGGAAGGTTGGCGCTTAGTGACTGGGAGGCACCAGTCACACCCATTCTCGACACAGCAAGATAAATGAGTCGGCTATGCTGCACAAGGCTTTCATGCGAGGTATAGACGTAGAGGGAGCAATGAGGGGGATATAAGAAAGCCTGGCGTTCTTTAGCTCATAACTAGAAAGACAGACGATCATGTACGTACCCATGCGTGGCAGAGAGTCTTCTGAACCGAACGGCTTCCTCAATGGGGAGGTCCACCAGGACGAACCCATGTACGCCTGCCTGCTTGCAGTCATGCAACAACTTCTCCTCACCATAGCGGATGACTGGATTATAGTACCCCATGAGCAGAACGGGTATCTTTAGTCCCCGTCGTCTTGCTTCTCGCACCATGTCCAATACCCCTGTGATGGTGACACCATTGGCGAGAGCGATCATATTGGCCTCTTGGATAATCGGGCCGTCCGCAATGGGGTCAGAAAACGGCATGCCCAGCTCAATCATGTCTATTCAGTCGTAGTGCGTTAGATGTCATGCACACGTGATTCGTCAAGATATATTCAAAGGCGACTCACCTGCACCGCTGCTTTCGAGACTGAGTAGGATATCTGGCGTCTCTTTGACTGTCGGATACCCAGCGGTAACATAGGCCCCCAGAGCAGCACGGTTCTGATGCTTCGCTTTCGCGAAGGACTGCTTAATATGCTCCATGACTCATCGCTACAGATTTATTTACTTCGCCTTCCTTCGGCCCCGAAGTGGCAATGGCATGAAACCATGGAATATAAGCCGGGCTGCCGGTGTGGGTGGGGATATGCCCCGCTGACAAAGCGGACGGGGCGACTCACGCTTTACAGAACAATTACAATATAAATACTCGGTATGCCGATCGCTCATCGAAACCTAACCATACAATCCTACGAACGTACAACTTACAACATGGCCTCTTTCAAGTATCACGCACTTCCTGGCTTTGGAGAAGAGTGTCGCGAGAAATACGGGTTCAGCGATGCCTGCATCATCGGCAATCGGCTGGTCGTCACTGGGCAGAGTAAGCAGTGTACCGGAACCACGTCTGAGGACCCAGGGCTAATCAGATTGCAAAGCGGGCATGAATCCTTTGACCAGAGAAACTTCTCCCAAAATTGAGGAGCAAATTGCGCAGGCCTTCAACAACATCAATGACCTGATCATCCACACTCTCGTTCAAGAAGGTCATGCCATTGAGGAGAATAGTACTGGCTGGGATTACGTGGTCAAGCTGCGCGCGTTCTTCGTGGGATTATCCGGAATGCGCGTGGAAGCACGGGAGAATATGGTCCACTACATCAAGAAGTGGTGTCCTCGCCATCAGCCGTTGTTCACCATGGTAGGAATCGAAAGCCTGCCTTTTCCCGAGCACCTTGTGGAGTTTGAAGTTGGTGTATGGATTCCTTAATATGATGCATGCTATGGCCCAATTGCGGTTTTAACCCCTTGTATTCCACGGAGGGTGCGGAATGAAGAGGGCCTTTTTGTACTGAATTACTACATTATTGCTCTTATGCCTGATATCAGTCTCCTAGAATACCTTGTAATCGTCCAATTATGTTGGCTGGTAACGTAAATCACAATCACGCGGGCCACCCTGTACTACTATACAAAAGATCCTTTCCAAATTCAAGATATCTCAAACTTCAGGAGTCTAAGGATGTTAAGTTTTGATATATAAATTACAAGTGATATAGAGAAACTGTAGACTCTTTTCAAAATCTCTTTCTATATATATAATAGCATTTTATATTATAATCCTGTATTTTTACTATATTATACAAAAGTTTGTTATAATTCAAATGAAATAATACATATATCAATATATATATATATACATTGTATCTATTCTTCTATTTATAATGAATAAAATGAAGTTAGAACTTCTCAAACACTGTATTAGCTGAGATATAACAGAATGAAAAAGATATCTTCTATATGGATCAGCAGGGTGGCACGCCTGACTGTGTGGCCCGCTCGACTATTGATTACGTTATATATGGTTGTAGCTCGGTATATGCGTCTAGGCCATGAATATAAAAGTTTGCAATCCTCCGTGTTGAGTGTTTAATTAAGAATTTCAAACAAGTGGGAACCGGGGAAGTAGTCTGCATGGAATTGGCAGAAGGAGGATCATGCCATGTAGTATGTGAACAAACCCAGCCTATAAAGTCGAGCCATACAGAAATCTACACATCCTTAACCGCTATCTACCAACGCACCCTCTCCCCGTTATAATTAACAAATTGACCAGATGTGGTCGACTTTGTCGCTGCCTCAATCTGTAACGACGTTAGTAATCCGCACCTAGTCACGATAGCCAACATCCTGCATACCTGGTTGGTGATCCCAAGAACAGTATCCTGGACAGTCACCGGAGCCTTCTCTAGCCCATTGGCTTGTGCTGCACGACTCCCCATGTCAGTCTGTACCATTCTACCCACCAGAAACGAGAGTTTCAGCATCAGCATTTCTTGACTCATGAGTTATGGAGTGCAAAAGCAAACCTACCCCGGATCAATTGGCAAAGCGATCAAGTACTGATTCTCCGCATCGATCTTCTTTATAAGATAGTTTCCAGCCACCTTCGACATCCCATACGCGGCGGTCAACGAAGGGATCTGTTCAATTTCATGAATGCTGGCCAGGAGCGTAGAGACATAAGCGAACTTGGGAATACTGGCTTTCTGCAGCAGGGGCGCAACAGCTCTGAACAGTCTAAGTGGTCCCAGTGTATTTACTTCAAAGTGAGACAGCACGTCGGACTCGGTCATTTCTACTACCGGTCCGTAGTGGTTGCAAATGCCCGCATTAGCAATGACAATATCAATATGCCCAACACTGTGCTGCGTCTGGATCTCCGATACAGCCTCTATCGCGCCCTGTGGGCTATCGGAGCTTAACGGCACGACGATCAGGCGAGAGCCTTCGCCCTTTGGCAGCTCATTGAGATCTTTCGCATTCGCGGAGGAGACGTCCCGGGCAGTACCAATAACAGTCGTGTCTGGCTAGCCAAGGTAATGTGCCACGAGGCCCCTTCCGATGCCTGTAAGTTGAGTCAGCCAAGGGATGCACTATACTGCGAGGAGTCTCCGCTCACCTCGATTGGCCCCGGTGACGAGGATGACACGGCTCATTGTAAAGTATGTGCAATGGTAGTATTGCTCACAAATTTGCAAAGTCAGTACTTGGTGAATTGCCGGACTCGGTAATACATTAGTGCCATCGGTTCTCGCTGTCCGAGATGTCCGAATTTATATTGTGATAGAGACTGTTCCCACAGGGGGGCGGGACGAGTCGACCCATTAAGTGCCTCACCTCGGGTTCGGCATCTCCGGATCGGAACCGAGTAAAGATAGAACAGGTGGGGTTGGCAAAGGGCTCAGCAATCTCTTCCCGGACGATGCAGTGGCTTGGAGTCTAATTATGACGGATACGTTGGTTATCCTAGGAGTCTTCACGCGATACAAATGATCAGAACTCAAAGTCTGTCGGACGGGACGACGGTATCAGATGTCACTAGTTTACTACATTGGGTTTACGTCTCCCGCTGAGTCAGCGGTAGCAATTGCATCTTGAGATTTCTCGGACTCCCATATACTGCCCTATATAGATCTCCAGTGTCGCCTATTCTACAGCTGGTTCATTCCCTAAAATTACCTCATACTTCACTCCAAGGTTTTACGGAATTGCAACACCATGACGGTTACAAAGCGAAATGTCGTGGTGATCGGTGCCACTGGCTCTCAGGCAAGGCTACCAATACCCACGTGCCATTAGACGACGCAGGTAGCTGACCTTGAACAATAGGGCGGATCTGTGGTTGCGGAATTACTGAAGCACCCTCATCTATATCATGTCCGGGCCATTACACGTAACACCTCCAAGCCTAAGGCCCAGAAGCTCGCTGCTCAGGGAGTTGAACTCTTCTGCGCCGACTTGGAGGGTGGCAGAGAGGCTCTAACCGCGGCCTTCGCTGGTGCGGATGTGATCTACGCTCTGACTGACTTCTGGCAGAAGCAGTCGGCAGCAGCTGAGATTGAACAGGGTAAGGCGATTGCGGATGCTGCTGCCGAAATCACGACGCTGCAGCACTTCATCTGGAGCGCTTTGCCAGACCCTGTTGCCCTATCCAACGGCCAATTCCTGAATGTGCATCACTGGAAGGGTAAGAGTTTGATTACCGAGTATATCCAGACCCAGAAACCGGACCTGTGGGCAAAGACGACCACCGTTCTTTTCCCCAATTACTTTGAGAACACCTTGACCGATCCCCAGCGGTATCTGCCTGTCAAGGTGAGTTATTCTGTTCGATCAAATCTATATTGAATGCTCATGTATATCACGACATAGGACGCCAATGGCACCTACAATCTCAGGTTCCCGCACAGCCCGCACACGGTTCTGCCCAATGTGGCCATCGGTGATACCGGCAAGCTGGTGCACCTGGTCCTCGAAGCTGGCTCCACCTACTTCACCAAGACCATCGCCTTCTGGGCTCAGGCGTTGTCTGAGGCCGACAAGCTCGCTGAGTTGGGCTCCTGTATGGTTCCCCTAGTAGACTTGTGGCTCAGCATGCTAATTTACGCAATAGGCTACAATGTTCCGACTCACTATCACGCGTCCAGCTCTAGCGAGTTCCAGCAGCTTCTCATGACTCGGGACGGCATGTCGGCGGACATTGCTTTGGACTTCACCGAGCAGTTGCTGATCTTTGAAAAGTGCGGAAATGTCTACGCACGGGAGGAGTTTGTGCAATCCAAGGATGTAGGTCAACACCTCAGTTCTCCTTCACGAGTACTACATTTGCTAACTGTGTTAGATTCCTGGACTGAAACTTCAGACCTGGTCCGAGTTCATTCGCCAGCACAAGCTGCTCTAAATAGGGTGGAGGGATACACAAACCACTTATTATAGATCAGGATAGACAATAAAATACGAGGCCCTTTTCGGTTGGGCTCGTGTCCATCATTCAAATCATTGCAAGGTATTATTAGACGCCGAGATGCGCCGTAAATGGCTGCACGATGCCCACTATGAGTATACGCACACCTTTGTATCTATCGAAATCCCCGTAATAATCAGAAGACTCCTGGTAACCAGGTGTAATTGCGATGAAAGCTCAAACCAGCAACCTACTCAAGCAGCCATTATTTCCCCATTTTTATGGTTACGGTGGAGCTGCCAAGAGCTTAAAACGGCACGACTCCGATTATTAAGCGGATTCGCGCCTCTGTGGGCCCTTGAGACACATCACGATCTCTTGCAGTCTATGCTTGCCCACTTGCATTCCACTCAAGCGCTGAGCCAGCGTGAATTTATCGGCGACGAACAGTGCATCTTCTCGTTACGTGACCGATGCCGGGCAACCGCCCAAGTAAACGGCGTTCGCCACTAACACAGAAACGACGGCCGAAACCTAGACGAAGAGCATGCGACTCCTGTTCCAAGAAAAAGGTATGCCATGTGTTGTTGGATACGACTCAGACCCAGTCTGACACCATATTACCGGGCTTGGCAGATCCAATGCGATGGAGAGTTCCCGCAGTGCAACTGGTGCAAGCATCATAATCTCGCCTGTACCTTCAATCGAATTCGGGCGAATTCCGACACAGGGTACGCCATGACTGCATCTAATAATGCGGCCTGATTGCGAGTTTCACCTTTTCTGCTCCGTTTCCCCTGAATAATGCTATTTCACTCAATATTTCAGGCGCCGTTCAACCTTATGCATCAGTCCAAGTGGTCGTAGCTAACTTGTTGGTAGCAACCGAGTGATTGTCGCCACACCCGACACACCTAAGGCGGTGATCCCCAACATTGCGGATGGGCCGCAAGACCTACTTGCCCGCCCGTCATCCCAGGTCGCTGACTCCACGAGGTCGTCGAGGATTGGAAATACGTTCCTCAACAATGTCACCTACCTAAGGGGGCACCATGTATTTTCAAACGAAGGCCAGAGGTGGATTGAATCTCAGGTTGGGGAAAGCGTCAACTTTGATAAGTTGTTCTCTCTGGAGCTCCGTTGGCTGAAGCCACTTCGATCGTATACGGTCCCTGGGGCGAACCCCCCTGCCGGTCCGCAGCTTCCAAGTAGAGTTAGCGTGGAAAGATATGTGCAGATATACGGCTCATCATCCCAAAGTCTTGTCTTCCCGGTCATCAGCCAGCCCGTCTTTGGCAAAACACTGGACCTTGCCTACAGTCATCTCCAGCTTCCTGGTTCTAACAGCGCTAAATCATGCGTCTATGCCTTCCTCTCACTTATTTCCCTGTTTGGCATGGATGACAACATCCACGGTGCTATGGACTGCCAGTCTTATGCATCAGTGGCACAGAGCTTTCAGATCCCGGTGATTGAGGAGATGACAGTCGACGGGTTGCAGACATTGATCATGCTGGTATGTACAAGGCCTTCCCCATGATCCATGTTTTAAATAGCCAACAAAGCCACCAGGTACAAGTTCAATACTTTCTGGGAGATCTTCAGTCAGCAGCGGCGACATTGTCTATTGCCACGCGTCTTCTGTACACACTGGAAGCCCATACCACCCCCACCAATAAGCCCTCTACCCCGTATGATAAAGGTGATTTGAGATGTCACCTACGTGATCTCTTCTGGCTCTGCTACTCCTTTGACAAAGACATATGTCTGAGAACGGGCCAGCCACCTTGTATAAACGATGCACATTGTGACCTTACCATGCCTCCTGATTATGTGCGACTGCATGATCTCAATCTCCAACAGAGTTTGCCACAGGTCGACGAGCATCTGGTTCCACTTTTCCCATGGGATCTCCGTCTCTCAATGCTCAAATCAAAAGTGTACGAGGATCTTTGAACCGCTCATGCCCTCCAGCAGTCCGTTACCGAGTTGCTCTCGAACATCCGCGGCCTTGATGAAGCACTTGAGCAGTGGAGGCTATCGCTCCCTGCGGAATTCCGACCTACTCTATACTTCTCTCAGGAGACACCAGTCAGTGCCAATTTGAACACCATGGCAGTGATCCTGCGGCTCGGCTACTACCATTGTCTGACTGTCATCCACCAAGCTAGCACCAGATGCCAGATTCTAGAGGCTGATCTCGCAGGATCAAGACTTGATGGCATCGCTTCCAGTACAAAACTTACCATCACTGCCAGTCGCTCGACGTTGTTATATCTCCACAAGGTACTCCCTGTGGTAAACCCGGAGTGCTTTTGGTATGGGTTCTTCAATCAGCGGTAATTCTAGCATTACTAATGGTTGTGTCTTGTATCAGGGTCGTCCTCTTTTATGCTATTACAGCAGTCTTGACCCTTTTTTGCAACATCATCTCGAACCCTCGCGATTCCGACACAAACCACAACATGGACTTGCTGCAGAACGTTCCCAGTTTGATCAGGAGTATTCCTATCCGAAAGTTAACTGCCGGCGAAGTCCTTCACCTGCAGTACCTGGATGTCTTTACCGCGGAACTCAGCAGCATTTGCGTACGTGCCATATCCAAGTCACAACAGAACAATTACAGCCTTAATTTGCAGCATGGTGGCACTACATCCATATATCCCATGCAGTAAAGAAGGAATGCTGCGAGACTCTAGTTCTTTATTATCAGGGCGATTGGAGGAGGCTATTGGCAATTACGAATGTTTATGTTACCTTGTTAATGGCTGGTTATATGTAAAAGCCGAATGAAATTTCGAGACTTCTAAATAGAACTCATTCGCTCCAGAGCACTCACACTATGATATAGACAGCCAGAAATCAAACCACTGGACAAAGCTTTGGAAGCTCTGCTCTTTCGCCCATTTCTCGTATGGGTCGGACAAAAATGCCCGCGACTTGGAGTATCTCTTAGCATGCGCCTAGACGGCAAGGACGGCTAGACCCAACTTACTGCAAATCCATGTGCAACATCGGAGAAGATCTGCATATTAAACCTTTTCTTTTCGTTCGTCATAATCTCAACGGCGCGGGCGCGTTGCTCCGGCATAAAGAGACCGTCTATGTTCGGCACGGAAAAGAGAATAGGCGCTTGTACTGGTCAACAGTCTATACAACACCGGCTGAATGATTCTTACCATCGATACCGAACACATGGCTCTCGTTCATGAACGACGGGTGAGCGATAGCGCCAGCCCTGCAGATTCCGTCCTTGGAAAGCTGGGTACACACAAACCGCGCCCCCCAGCTGTCATATAATTAAGTATCAAACATCAGCCTCTGCCCTCCGGGCTCACCATAATGTAACTTACCAATGCCCGGCGCAAACAAACTTGACTTCCCCATTATTTCCATACTCTGCTTTGACGTCCTTTACCCACTTAGCAGCAATGCGGTCGGTGGAGTCCATGTGCTTGTTCTTCCAACTCTGGAAGTCAAAGGTCGGATCGTTCAACGGGTTTTGGGAATGCTTCCAAATTGGGTCCTAGGTACAGATCGTAAGTCTCTGCCGTTTATGCAAGGGTCTGCCGAACTATGCAGTCATACCCCGGCGAAATAATCGACGCCCAATGTCAGATACCCGCAAGCGGCAAACGCATCCATTGTAAGAAAGTTATTGATGTGCAAGCCAAAGGCATCTGTAAAGAACAAGAGAACATGTCCATTGGACTTCGTCTTGTCCGGTGTGGCCACGTAGGTGTCCACGCCTCCAATTTGCATGAGATTGCCTGCCGGCTCTCCCGAATGGATGGAACCTTTCAGACAGCAAAGTTCAGCCGGCTTGGCAAGAACTGGATCCTCTGGAGCGCTCATTGTATCTATGGATAGCGCAGAAGATTGGAATTATGCTGGCTTTCTGGCTTCGTGCCGGTATATGGGGGTTTATAGACTGGCTTTTCCTTCGACGAGTTCGGTGTGCGCGGATCGTCGGGGCATCTTCGGCACTGCGATTTGCGAGCCGAGTTCGGGCGTATCCCCCCGATGGCGGTCGTCAATCCCCCGCGGGGATTCAGCCGAGCCCTTGATGCTGTGGACGCGGACGAAGCGATACGAGCCAGCATTGTTACCCCCGCGGCTGATTTGTTGCCTGCCCTTTTTATTAATCGCGACTTGCCCGTGGTAAGGGATCATCATGAAGAGTCGCACACATACGCGAGCATTCTCCCAACATGAGCGGCGATACTATTAGAGACTTGCACGTGGCCATTGTCGGTAGGTCTCCTTGAGATGCATCGACCTTTCGTGGTACTGATCTGAGACCGAGTCTAGGCGCCGGAATTGGGGGACTCGCCCTGGCCATGGGCCTGGAAAAGAAAGGAGTACCCTATACGATCTATGAAGCAGCCCCAGAATTTTCAGTCGTGGGGTAAGTCCAGACCCACAATAGTCGGTCAATAGATTTACAGTTTGACACAAGGGACAGCGCGGGCATCGGATTCGGCCCGAATGGCGATCTAGCACTGGACATGCTGCAAGAAGGGTTCCGTGCAGAATACGAGAAGGTCTGTGTGGGCAATAAGCCCGGCGAGCCTCAGGATATCTACTATGAGGGCATGCTCTTGCAGCCAGGTCTTGGTACGCAGATCTCCTCACTTTCCTGCACCGCCAGCGTGGATTCCCATTCACACTGTCTGTCATAGGTCTCAACGAACCATGGCGCGGCAAGTCTGCCTGGGGCCACCCAAAATACGTCCGCAGAAGTGTCTGTCACTCCCCATCCACGTTAAAGCCAGCTATAGGAGCGGCACTGATGTTGAGCAGGCCCATCGCCACGCAGTCCTTGAAATCATGACCAAATACATCTCAGTCGAGAAGGTCCGTTTCAGCAAGACCTTGGTGGGGATTCAACAGTATGCAGGCAAGGTCATCTTGAAGTTTGCAGATGGCGATACTGCTGAGGCTAGTATCCTTGTCGGCGCCGATGGTATTAAGAGTATGGTGAGAAAGCATGTGCTGGGACCGTTGTATCCCAGCCAGGTCGAGCCGGTGTATGCCGACTCGTATTGCTACCGAGGCGTGATCCCAATATCCGTAGCCAGAGAAATCTTTGGAGATCTCACCGACGTGGCGAAGATGTTCGTGGGCGACAAGCGCTGTTGTATCACGTATATGATTTCGAAAGGCGAGGTAAGTTTGATATTTTGCTGGGTTGCGATTGTGTGCTAAACGATGCCGGTTTCAAGGAATTCAATTTCCTCCTCTGCGCACTGGATGATAGGCCCTGGGAACTCAAGAACTCAGTATCCCAGAAGATCAGCCATGAGGCCATGATGGCTGACTTCGAAGGCCCCGAAGTGGACCAACGATTCCGCCGCTTGTTGAGGAAGGCCAGACCGGTGAAGTGGGGATTCTTCCATCATCGATACACGTCGACATATTATCGTGATCGGGTCGTGCTTCTGGGTGACAGCGCCCATGCGTCCCTGCCGTTCCAGGCCGCCGGTGCTGGTCAGGGCTTAGAGGATTCCTTGATACTCTCCAACCTTCTAGCGAGGATATATCACGCCCCTGACCAAAGTGCAGCACTGGCACCATATATTTCTGCCGGCCTTGCAGCGTATGATGCTATTAGACGGCCAAGGGCTCAGAAGCAATTAGAGCGGGCGTATGAAATGAGCCACATGCTTCACTTCCAGCACCCGGAAACTGGCAAAACGATTGATAAGATCGCTTCGAAACTGCAAAAACAATGGTTTGACTGGATCTGGTTTCATGACCTGAATGGAGACATTGACGCTGCATTCCATAAATTGGACGAGGCCTTGAATGCGTAAGTCATCTCTGAAGATGTACGCTGCTTTACATGAGATAAAGTGGCGTGTATACACACCTAGTCCAAAACACTCATGCTAATGGAGGCTCGTTTGTATCCAGGGCGAAGATTTGACATCAGATAATCTCAATGATTCCATAAGTGTCCGATCCTTTTTCTATCCACTCTGTCTGATTCTGGTAGTTTTTGTTGAGATACGCGTTCATACTTTGTGTCCGTCCCATGTGCGCGTCCAGGACTTTAAAATTCATACTGTCTCTTATATCTTTGCTATATATTATCACAAATGCATCCTCATGGAGTGGAAGTCAAGCTTTCATTCAAAAATCATCTCGGGCTAAATATGGATACAAGGCTAATCTCCCCAGATAGCCAAGGTTATCGGAGACTGCCGACTGTCGTCGAACAAGCTACACTTGTAGGCAATGTCTTAGTAGGTGGAGCTTAGCTGGTCAAGGCTCAGGCTCAATCCGCCAAAGGAATGACCGAATAACTCGCCCCTGGGAAGTGGAACCATATCTGGGTCTGGTAGAGATGAGAGTCCAACGGTAGACCAAAGCTGTTCATCCGTGAGCTCCTCACTTCCGGTATCCGCAATACAACCATTCCCGAGACTATCTTGTTTAGCAACTGGGTGACGATATTCTGGCGCGTCAGCCTTCAAACACTGTGATACGGAGACTTTCCAACCCCACTAACCTTGGTCACTCTGTGGTTGGGAAAGACGTGCGATGAACCTCGCACAATCGTACACCACATGATTGTCCTTGTCTAACTTATCTAGGGATTCCACCGCTTGATTTAGAGAGTCCTGAACAGAGCTCTGAGTGGCATTGTCGTTAATATAGACTGCATGTTGCTCCAACACGGAGCGTCCCAGGATCACCAAAGCCGAATTTAATACTCAACGTGATCAGTTAGTATGCCAATGTGCAAGTATACATGACTCAGTCTACATGGGGATCACCTACCATGAAATAAAGTAAAGAACCAAACATCTAACCTGGTGTGAGAAGGGTACGGCGCGTTGATAACTGCATGCACTACTTCGATTGTCTTCTCAGCAGAGACTATGCACTCGTGGGCTTCCGCCACTGCAAGCTGAATTCTATAAGGTAATGGTCTCCCTGTGGGAGAACCTAACAAGGTCAAGTAACGCAGGATGGTGCATAGAAGTGGTCGATGGATTAAAATGTTGACAAAATGATATCGAAGCGTAAGAATTATCCGCAACCGGTTTGATATTGTATTATCATTTTGCAGGTGAACATCCGATCCAGTCTCATACAGGTCCAGACATGATGGTAAACTGGAAGTCCATCGCCGAAGGTCCTGTCGCATCGTGCTTGCCGCGTGAATAGCGGTACTCTCGTCGATCTTTTGGTCCCCAGGCCCAAGATTCTGGCCGTATTGTGTGGCTAGGGACCGACCCACAACCTGGAGCAGCCGCACGGTCGCGTCGAAGAACGCCGTGTGAATGTCGCCGGCATTCGAATGATGTGTGGTTGTTTCGGTCATGGTCACCCATGGCGATGGCAACTTCACCACGATATACTCGTCTGGAATTGCCGGCGGGCGTCCCCACGTGACGCTCAGGATTCTGTCCAAACAGTAGATCGTGAGCCAGGTACGTCGGCGGATTTCTTGCTGTATGGGGTGAAGCCCCTGTGCTGCTTGCTCTGAGTGCAGACCTAACGCCGTCGCTGTTCGTACGAGCATCCCATGCATTGTCCACATCTGAACAGGCATCTGTGTGCCTTGAAGATAGAGCACGGCCAGCAGAAGATATTGTACAATGTCAAGGCTGACTGTTCGCACTGACAATTCGCTGCAGAGGGATACCGCCCGTTGAAAAAGAACATGGGACCGCCTGAACCGATGCTTTGCCGAGACCTTTCCATTTTGATTAATGTGGGTAGCCATTGCAAAGGTCATGGTGAGCACACCGAGCCAGCCTCTCCGGGCTTTGACAAAACCGCTTGCCTTGTACTCATTGTATGTGTCTCTGAAGGTCGGCTCATGGAGAAAAGGAAAGAGAGAGCCATAGTCATTGAAATAAATGTCCAGCAAGGAGTCCATCTCTGTTTCGGAAACAAGGGTCGTGGGCGAGGAAGGCTGATCTTTAGGAGACTCCATGACTGACTGCTGTTGAGACACCGGCGCGATGTTGCACTCAACAAACCCATTTTCATTGCATGGTGACTTCGTCTTGGTCCGCTTGGCGGTCAAATCTAGAGACATAGCCTCTAAAAGACAACGCGTGAACGCAATGCTGGATGATTCGCCGTAAAACTCAGTGGTCGGTTCGTCGACAAAGCCAAGGGCAAGGCCATCTGTCTTTGTGTCGTCCGACCCGGGGTCCTCCCCATTGACTCCATCGACGTGAACCTCATCTTGTATCTGTCGGACAGTACTGATGCTCGAGTGATCACCCATTGGTGGATCACATCTGTTTACTTTATCTGTTGCGCATACAGAGAGATGCCCTGTCAGCAAGTCGTCATGCCGTTGCAGTCGGCTCTCGACGCATCTCAGTCGCTGTTCCAGGTCTGCGACATATTCTTTGCGGACCAAAACATTTGTTGAGCAGTCAGACGGCTCATACACACACTCAACGGTCAGTGATAAGCATGTTGAGCACGACGGCCGCTGTCCATCGCATCTGCGCAGTTTTCTCTTCAGCACAATATCCAGCCTGCCGAGAACAATTCATATCACGGACTTGCTCACCTGGACTTCCGCGCTCGGCATGCACTGCACGCCAAAGCGATGCGTCGCCGTTTTGCCAGTGGCTCTCCTTCTCTATGCGTCTGATTCATATCGTCAGGTTGCGCAGATGTGGTTGCGCAGATGTGGTTGGTGCCATTAGGTAGTGTAAGAACCAAATGGCGCGTTGCGCGGATCACTTCACATCAGGAGAAGGGCTGCATGTGGTGGACGCTGGATATATGAGAATGCTTGCTATCTACCGTCGCTGACTACCCCGCTGCGGCACAGCGGGGAGCAGAGTAACCTGATAAGCCAACTGTCTTGGGATCTTGTTGATGTCCCCACACGTTTTTGTTGATAGGGACCGAGGGTTCAGTTGTTTGCACCACGGGACGTCAATCCCTTCTTGCTGATAGGCTGATCTCCCGATATGGTACTAGCGCGCCGCTGACAAAGCGGAAAGTTCATTCCATGAGAATGGATGTGGGGGAGATATCATTCGAATATGACCCAGGAGGACGAAAGCATTGAAGTCTCATATATACTGAGTACTATATATAATCCGGCCTATAGCCTCCTGGTTTCGTCCCAGAGAAAACAGTTCGATGACGGCATCATATCGATTTCAGCCTTTCAATCCAAAACGAAACCTTGGAATTGAATACAGCATCAATGTGAGCCTGTCACCGAGTGTTGAGAGGCTATAGCCATTGCCTTCATTATGATACTCAATGGTTTGAGCTCCCCTCGCTCCTGGGCCGCCGTCTCGACGAATTGGTTAAACCAAGACACTAGACCGAGATCGGCTTCGGCATTTCCACACTCCGGAGATCCGATCATATTCATGGAGACAATAAATAATGGAACAAACTGATGGAGAAGGATGAGACTGTAAATAGAAGAATGCAACAATCAGCATCATGATGTGGAGAATCTCGCGTTGCAACATACCTGATACCCCAATATGGGTGTGTAGAGGACGACATGAGGGACCGGGACATATGAAGGCTCTTCCGTGCAATGTCGACCGTGTGATATGGTAGGAATTGGCTATCTTGGTTACATTTCTTCGCTTGGTAGAAAACGATGAGCATTTTGTAGCTGCTGAATAGGATGTCCACGCAAAACCAGGTATCCATGCGGTTCGTAGTCGTAGTCAGGAGTTCCTCCTTGGTTCTGTTAGCTTCCGGGTGAGTAAAGATGAACCTTAAAGATTAACGTACCGGCGACCAGTCGGACATGATGGTTTGGACCTCGGCAATGAGACCATCTATTGTCCTATCGTACTCGGGTGTGTCCACGTCGGGTTCCGCATCGACCATGTCCAAATATTTTATCAGAACCAACGTGAGACGCATGGAAGCAAAGAAATGGATTTGTATGAACCGGGTGGATGCGTGATCAACTCCAGTGATACTCGGATCCGGAAAATTTACCGTCCAAGACCCGTCGGCAATGAGCGCTGGTTTACCAAAGGACAAGCGGAATACGCAGTCCGTTCGTAGTAAGTGCCAAAATTCAAAGCGCATCCTGTTCTTCTCAATCTGACTTTCAGGATCAGGGGGACCGCCTGGCCGCAAAATCTGCTGACTGGGTGTTGGTTGGTCGGCATCAACAGAGAAATATCCAAGAGCCCGAGCAATAGTACAAGCATGGGCCACAATCCTCCAGGACAGTTCACTGTTGCAAGCTTCAAGAGACATGGACATCTAAGCGTCACTTTAGTTTCTATTGCATTTGCTGGGCGTCGAAGCCAGAACGTACCATAAAGAAGGCAGCGAACAAGTCAGCCGGGGTATTCTTAATCTGGGCTAGCCAGCTTTCCGTTAGCTCCATACAGGAGTGGCAAAGGAATTCCACGATGGCGCCTCTGTTAGGATAGGGGTCCGGGTCCACCAAAAACCCTTGAAAGAGGACGTTGTAATACACAATTCGTATTGTTGGGTCGAGTTGAACATGTGGGTTGTGAAGGAGATCTGGGAGGGAGAGGATGAAATTTCTTTCAAAAGGAATTCGGAAACCCTCGAATTGGTACGCCTCATAATATACTTGGGTCCAGATTAGCTTAATGTTGAATATCCACGTATTGTGGACGGACTGTACATTCTATCCATTTGTGTGCTGTTTCTTTTGTGATGACAGGGGAAGCCTTAGGCTTTGGGGTTTCTACGTTCTCCAACTGCGAGATCTCTCGCATGGCAACCTCTATGGCCTGGATGCACTTCTCGTTCCCCCAGAAGCGAGACTCCACGGTCTTGAGGTGACAAAACACATTGGAACTGAGAAGAGACCTAGTATTTTCGTCCTTTAGCCCTCTCAAAATAGTCTGAGCTACGCCCTGTGCTGCTGGCAGAGGAGACTCGATGCCGCGGGGTAGAACGCTTGGGGATGTGTCATCTTCCGAGCCGATGGACATTGAACGAGATGCATCTGCTGGCTGATCTAGGTCTGAGTCGATCATACAGTGATCTTCTAGACGCTCGAGTCGCCTAAGGATTTCGGAGAGGACATTTTTATCGTCTAGCGGCCTACAATGTCCATGACCCCGTTAGTAGCTTTCGCCCTGCTTGTCGCAAAGAACAGGAATGCGAGGACAGGGGGGAGGGAGGACCTTCGCTTGGTGGACCGTTGTTTTCGCGGCAGATAAGTACATACTGCCCCGACAGCATCGCATTTGTCGCATCTGGGGTCAAGCCTATTGCAACGGATCTAATGTTCCGTCAGATGGTGCATGGCTAGAACGCGCGGCTGAGGCCGATACCTTTTTTTGCTGACAGCGGCGACACTAGACCATAGTCAGTTCTAATAATCATCTCAGACTGGCTGCAGGGATGACTGGGTTCAGCCTACCGAAATAGGCCTGCGGGAGCTCATCCTCCAAGCAGTGGATCTGCGATCGGGGTTGAGTGACGAAGTTGCAAAGGGAGGAAGGGTGGCAGCGGGAAAGTCATGAGTCCGAAAGTCCCGGCCAGCAATTTGGCAGCCTGCTTTGACCGCCCGGGATTTCGAAATTCCCGAATGTCCGCCACGTCGATCGGCTCCACTTTCCCAAGGAGTCATCCACAATCATCGAGTCATCGCGCTGCGCTCCAGATCCTCCTCGTAAAAGCCGATGCCACTTAGGCCTTTTAGGCAGGCTAAGACCTTTCATGCATACGTCTTCACTGAGACAGGGCCAGCCCACTGTGGCCTGGACCCGCTTCTGGTTGCAGACTGAACATCTGGCTTTCAAGGGTCTCTCCCCTATAAATCCAACTCTCCCCCATGCGGTACCATGCTTCGTCTAGTCGACATGCTCTGGCCTGCACTCACACAAGATTATCACAATGGGCCACTCTCCAGAAAGTCCGACCGGGCAAAGCCCGCCAGAGAAGCCTCGCGAAGACACCATCATTATCGGAGACCAAGAAAAACAAAGCACAATCGATGAAAAGACCACGGAGGAGCAGAAGAAGAATGATGAATCTGCATCGCTGGGTAATTACATTGTATGGTTTTACTTGCTCCCACAGTGTTCCGTCGCTTACTGTCTGCAGCGGCTGCTTTCCTACACCAACCGTACTGATCGCGTGATCCTTGTAATCGCCATGCTATGCGCCATCGGATCTGGAGTGGTAGGTGGATATCGTCTGCATCGGAGATGTTGGGTCTAACTTTCGTCTGATAGCCGCTTCCCCTGATGAATATCGTATTCGGCAGCCTTGTCGGACAATTTAATGGATACTTTTCGGCGGGAACCTCTGTGACGGAGGCGGAATTCAAAGCCTCTGTCAGCAGACTGAGGTAAGGAAGCTTTATGGATGAAGCAATGGTCTTTGCCAATCATCACGAACTAACTTGATGATAGCTTATACATCGTCTACCTTTTCGTTGGAAAATTTGTTTTGACATATTTCTCCATGGTAAGCCGATGTGTGCCACAAAGCGGAATTAATGATTGCTGACGTTGCTAGTACTGTTTCCGCGTGATTGGTCTTCGTGTTTCAGCCACTTTGCGACACGATTACATGCGGACGCTCTTCGCCCAGCCGATCAGCAAGCTCGATCAGGTATCAGTGGGTGCCGTCACCAACACGATCACCACCCTGTCCAATTCTATCCAACAGAGCATTTCGGATAAACTAGCCATCCTTTTCCAATCTGTCGCCCTTCTCGTGGCTGCCTACATCATCGCTTTCAAATACTCATGGGCCTTGACTCTGGTCACCAGCTCGGCGCTTCTATTTATCCTGATCGCCGTCAGCATAACACTGCCCCGTTTAACGAAAGCCCAGCAAAGTGTCGACAAGGCAGATGAGAAGCAGTCATCCATCGCAGCGGAGGTGTTTAGCTTAGTTCGCACAGTGGTATCACTGGGAGCAGAAGGGAACCTCGCCACCAAATATGCGCTTTGGGTCGAAGAAGCGCGTAAACGAGGGCGAAAGATGTCCGTGTTCCTCGGACTTCAATTCGCCCTAATTTTCTTCGCCATGTACTCCAGTTATTCCTTGGCATTTTGGTTTGGACTGAAGTTGTTTCGCGACGGTCACATTGGGAGCATTAACACAGTCATCACGTGAGTATATCCGCCAACATTTGGTCCCTATGCTAATCGGGGAAAGCGTATTCTTCTCGGTAATGGTGGCAGTGAGTGTCATGGGAAACATCGCTTCGCCGTTGATTATAATATCCAAGGCAGCTAGTGCGGCGGGTGCATTCTTTGAGATGCTGGACTCGGAAAAGATAGACGTCAGCGGTCTTGGCGACTCCGATGCCTCTGCAGAGGTGGATATTGTGCTTGAGAATGTTCATTTCGCCTACCCTGCACGACCGGACACAAAGGCACTTAACGGGCTCAATGCTCGGTTTCAGCGGGGAAAGACTACAGCGTTGGTGGGCCCCTCGGGGTCGGGGAAAAGTACGATCGTGGCTCTGCTAGAGCGATGGTATCAACTGAGTGGAACCAGCGATAAAGACCAAGGGGCAATCTATGTTGGAGATCATAATGTCAATAACTTGGATCTGAAGTGGTGGAGGTCCCAGGTGGGGCTAGTACAACAAGAGCCCGTTCTTTTCAACGATACTATCTTCAACAATATCTCCCTGGGACTAATCGGAACGAAGTGGGAGCATGAGCCCGATGACAAAAAGAAAGTACTAATTGAGAATGCGTGCCGAGAGGCTTTTGCAGATGAATTTATCCAACGTCTGCCCAAGGTATGATTATGACAATCTTCCTCGTACCAAATCTGACATTTGCAGGGCTATGGCACCCCAGTGGGAGAGAATGGCACCAAGTTAAGTGGTGGACAGAGGCAACGACTGGCAATAGCCCGGAGTATCGTGCGTCAGCCCTCTATCTTGATCTTGGACGAAGCAACGAGTGCGATCGATGTGCGTAGTGAGAAGATCGTCCAAGCAGCTCTTGATCGGCTGTCTCGCAACCGGACTACAATCGTCATCGCTCACAGGCTGTCTACCATTCGACAAGCCGACCATATCATTGTCATGAAGGGTGGCGTGGACATCGAACAAGGTACTCACGAGGAACTTCTCAACATCGAGGGTGGGGTCTACAGCGGCCTTGTCAATGCTCAGAAAGTGGAGCTACTGGATGATGATGACGAGCACACTAGCGACATAACCGAAGAATTAAAGGAAGAATTCAAACCTGCAGACGAACTTGTTCGACAGTCTACGAACCAGGATGGAAAGGAATCAGCGAAGAACAAGGGCTTCTTCGGCAGCATCGGGTTATTTTTATATGAACAGAGAGCGCTATGGAGGTTCTATATTCCAGTTGTGGCCAGTGCCGCTGGAGCTGGAGGTAAGCGCCCTCGAACTTGCGGTGCCAATACAGACTAACGAAGTTATGCCTGTAGCTGCGTTCCCACTCCAAAGTTGGCTTTTTGCGAAGCTTATCGGGGTGTTTCAATTGACTGGCCAAAGACTAGCACATGCAGCCAACTTCTGGGCATTGATGTTCTTTATTCTGGCTCTCGGGACGGCATCATCTTACGGACTTATGGGATATTCTTCGAATAGGTTCTCTGTGGTAAGATGCCATACAAACACTACATCTTACGAAGCTAATTCTTTCGCAGGAAGTATCCTCCTTCTATCGAAAACAGTACTTTGACAACGTACTCAACAAGCCTATTCCATTCCACGATCAGATTGAAAACGCTTCTGGCTCCCTTGTCTCCCGGTTAGCAACAGATCCGAAGCAAGTGCAAGAGATTGTCGGAGTGAACGGTGCATTCCCACTCTCTTCTATATTCAGCATCCTGGGGTGCATTATAATCGCATTCACATTCGGGTGGAAGCTCAGCCTTGTTGCTGTTTTCGCAGCCCTGCCATGCACATTTCTTGCAGCGTTCATGCGCATCCGATACGAAATTCAATTCGAAGCAATGAACGCCAAGGTCTATTCTGGAAGTTCGCAGTTTGCAGCGGAAGCCATAGACGCGTTTCGTACCGTCTCAGCCTTGACCATGGAAGATGTCATTCTGGATCGTTATTCCAAACTCTTACGGGACCAGCAAACAAAGGCTTTCCGAAAAGCCTGGTACGCTACCCTCATCTTCGCCTTCTCTGACAGTGTCGAGTTGTGCGCTATGGCGCTTACGTTCTGGTAAGTTCTAATCAACCAATGCCTCGTCGCTGCATCTAACAATATCGACAGGTATGGCGGCCAACTTCTCGCGTCCCGAGAATACCAGCCGACCGACTTCTTCGTCATCTACATTGCGATCATTCAAGGCGGACAATCTGCCGGTCAATTTTTCAGTTTCGGATCCAACGTCGCCCAAGCTATAGCATCCGCAAACCGTATGCTAAATCTGCGACCGAGCAAAGCCGAACGCGAAGAAGCCCACAACATCAAGGCTCAGCCAGAGTCCCTGCGAACCCGCTCCGGAGCCAACATCGAGTTCAACAACGTCGCATTCCGCTACGCCTCCCAAGATACGCCTCTGTTCACAAATCTCAACGTCAAAATCGAGAGTGGCCAATTCGTCGCCTTCGTCGGACCATCTGGCTGCGGGAAAACGACCGTGATATCTCTCCTCGAGAGATTCTACCACCCCTACCAAGGAACAGTCCTCATCAACGGCAACGACATCCACTCGATCGACCCCTCATACTACCGTCGCTCAATATCCCTCGTAGCACAAGAGCCACGACTCTTCGAAGGCACCATTCGCGATAACATCACCCTTGGACTCGACGAGTCCGAGTTCACGGAAGACGATCTGATCCAAGCGTGCAAGGACGCAGAGATCCACGATTTCATCACCTCCCTCCCGGAAGGGTACTCCACTGATCTTGGAATCAAGGCCCAGACCTCCATGAGTGGAGGACAACGACAACGCATGTGCATTGCAAGAGCGTTACTACGAAAGCCATCCCTTCTTCTGCTTGATGAAGCGACATCGAGTCTTGACTCGCAGTCTGAGAAGGTCGTGCAGGCGGCAATGGAGCGCTTGGCTGCGAAAAGGTGTATGACGATTGTGGCGGTGGCGCATAGATTGGCTACTATTCAGAAAGCGGATACGATATTTGTCTTTGGTGAAAGTCGGACTGGGTATGGGTCTAGGGTCGTGGAGCAGGGGAGTCATCAGGAACTGTTGCGGAATAAGGGGACGTACTGGCAAATGGTAAGTATTGACTTCACTTACGATGTGATTTGTGTTTGCTAATGATTTGGCAGTGTCAGGAAAACGCGCTCGATCGATGATTACATTCGACATAGTCTTTATTTGAATAGATTTGTATATACCGGGATAATATGCTGATGCGGAGTTCTTTTATCATCCGGTTAGATGATGTCAGTAGATACTGGGTTGCTAATAGAACTAATATCCTTTTGCGCATAAACTCTCACTAGACACCAAACGAGTCTCACAAACATACATAACAATATCAAATAAATCTACGCGCTATCTACACACAACCAATCATTCTCCCTCTACCCCCCTACCCTCGTTATACACCCTCCAATCACGAGCCACAGTATCAGCCAATCCCTCTATAAGCGCCGTAAGTTTCCCTTCCCAATACACGCAACGTCCATCGTCTCGAAAGACAGGAACAGGAAGAACATTCGAATCAATTTATACAACAGCTTTGGGTAAATCATCGTATGAGCCATGAGAATAATACTTCGGCAATCAAAGTCCAGTCTTACAAATGCAACCTCACTTCCATCGTAGTGTCCAACCAGCTCTGCCAATGCTTCACTCTCTGTGAATATAAAGCTCATACCACTCTTAGGACGTAATGCCCATTTCAGCATACCAGATCAACGATTGCAATGAACTGCCATGCCATTTGAACTGCTAATCAAACCGGCGGAAAAATGGTGGATACCAAAGTTTAGCCGGGTGTGTATCCGTCGTGCGGGTCCGGTCTATTTGTGGAGCAAGCTAAGTAGTAGTGCCGAGGAACCAGCTGAGTTCCTGGACGGGGACTATTGCGACTGCTGGTTCTATTTTTGCTTTATGATTGCTGCGTGAGATGGCTTACTGCATTTCTACTTTCAGATCACTATTTCGTAACAAAGTAGAAATTTCATTCATTCTTCGTGACACAATTAATACATTTAAGACAAGATCGTTGATTGAGTTCGTTGAACGCTACCGTTCGTGATAGCTAAATGAACGAAATTGATTCTGGTGTCGTCTTCGGTTCCCACTTCTTAGGTGTACCATTAACTGGGTTCGATGGTGCATTCGGCTTTTTAGACAATGGTGTGTTCAAATTACCAGACGATGGTCCATTCGAGTTTCCATTCTTGTTCTTCCCTCCTCTCTTCTTTTTTGACTTCTTGCGGGGGCTGGAATTGTTATCGCCGGGAGCACTCTCTGGTGTCTGCGCTCCGCTTCGTGGGTTGAATTTGGGACTCGGCTCTGGCTTGTCGAATGGGACTTTCTCTGGCTGTCGCGCTTTCTCTGGCTGTGTCGCTTTCTCAGGCTGCGTCAGCTTCTCCGGATGGGCCGTTGTTTCCGGAACAGGCTTTGGAGATGTCGCAGGCTTTGAAGGCTCCTTTGGCTTGGGCTCCAGCTCTGACTTTAGCTGTGTCTTGGGTGAAGCTGGTTCCGGTGTAAAGCTTTGATGCCTCACTGGCTGCGGCGACCGGAAGGTGAATGGAAGAGGTAAAGCTGGAGCGGGAGATGGAGACTTGGAATTATCATCCAGTTCTTCTGGCACAGTGTCGGCGGGTTTGGAATCCTTGACACTGTCATCCGAACCATTCAAGCTAGCTTCAGGATCGCTCTTGACCTCATTTTCTTCAGCCACGACAGTCGTTTGATCAGTAGAAGCATCCTCGTCGGACGCAGGGGTATCATGGCCGGATGCTGACCCGTTGGCAGCCGCCTTGGTCAAGTTGGCAATGCTCCCGGAGTAGATTTTCATGACGAGTTCCAAGATGAACTGATCAAACTTTGCATCGCTTCCCACGCCGTACTTCAATATATCATTTCTGAATTGTTCTTCACCAGCTTTGAATGCTGCAGCAAGTTGATCATGCACGAAATCCTCAAACCACTTTCTACCAGTGAACATAGTAGCATAAACCTCTCGGGCAATCTTGAGTAGTTCCAGTGTTGACAAAGAGTCAACAAAGGTATGCATATAGCGCTTTGCGTGGTCCAACAGGCCCTGGATCTGGTGTCGCTGAGCCATGTGGAAGGCGTACACGCTGCGTTTGAATTCCCAAGCTCGGGATTTGGAGGGAGGGACGCTGGGAGACGCGGCGAGAGTTTGATACTCGCCAGTGTAGAGATAGTGGATGAAGGTATGTCCAATGTCGGCGTACATTTCTTCGAGGGCGAATTCCTTCATGTAGGCGAACTTCAAGTTCGGGATTTTGAGGACGTAGTATTCGGGGACGGCGTAGGTGGTGCGGCCGATTGTGATGTGATTGACAGGGCTTGCGTAGGGACTATAGTGCTTTGGTCAGAGTTTGCTTGTATAAAAACATAGGCAAGTCTCTCAATGGCCTAGCTACCTGACACAGGGCTGGGGATAGTCCGTGGTCGTTTGGGGAGGCGATTCTGGCGATGCGAAGACATTTTGGGTCGGCTTCTTTGGCGCAGTGCTAAAGAGATTGCACAACGGACTGTCTGCTGGGAATATCTTCGCCATTGTGTATGCCACCAGTTGTGAGAGACGTGGAAGGACTGTTGTGAGAGATGGTGATTAAAAACAGACAGACGAGCTCCTTGTTAGCCAGGCAATACAGGCCCACCGCCCGGCTTAGCCGAAGTTCACGATCTCGCCGCCTACCGCGATAGGGAAGGTCTGTGTTTACTACCCGCAGAATGTTCTTATCTCGTGAATCCCGTGGTTGGGGCTGTGCCTGAAACTTAAAAGTTGAGATAATGACATTTTAATTTTCTGCTGTTGGCTGACGCTGTGATGTGGGTTGCAATGCTCTAAGCTTTTGGCAGAGTCTTACTTAGAACTCTCAGACTTCCGTTCATGGGTCTTTCCGAGACATCGGAATGGTTTTTCGAGATGTCTCGGAAAACTCGCGACGCGTTGTTTAGGAGCTGCCCCAGGCACGCTTCTCCACATTCTCCCACAGATACGATACGATATTCTACTTGCCCATTTCGGAAAGGAACCATAGTGGTATGACCACATGTAAAAGTAAGGATTTCAAACCAGTACAGTAATTGAATGTATTGCTTGAAAGTAGCTGGATTCAAGCAACTCGAAATGCTCTTTGGTTCATCCCTCTCTGTGCGAGACGGCCTCTATTAGCCCCCTGGCGAGAATCGCTCTTGGTAGGTAGAAAGCTAAAACACCAGTTTATTAACACCCACTATCGCTACCATCAAGCAAGCTATCACCTCACTGCCTAATCTTACACACGAACTCCTCGACTCCCCTCCCAACAATACCCTCCCTAACCAACTGTCCCATTGACTCCACAATCCAAGTCTGACAGTCCCTCTGCACCACCTTCCTCCCAACCCTAGCCCCTACCAACTCCCCATCCGAATTAACACTATTCAACGACTTCCCTGGCACCTTTACCTTAGACAACACTTCCTCAAACGCACACACCGGCAGATTCTCGATCTTCTCCAACCCACCATTGAACATCTTCCCCTGATCAAGATACCTCCCATCAACCCACTGCAACGGTATCCGCTTAATCGGAATATCCGGACTGGTACGGAGATCATGGCTGCGCTTGATCTCGAAGACGAAGCCGTTGCGCACGTCCCCGGTCGCGTGGATCTTTACTCCGACCCGGGGATCATCTGGAGACGAAATCCAGTACGCCCAGTGATCTTTGAAGGGGTGGCCGTTGAAAATGTGGAGTTCGAGGAGGTGAGAGCCTTTGGGGCCGGTGGTGGGGACAGTGGGTGGTTGTGGTTCTGGTGGGGTGTGTGCCTGAACTGGCGGTGGACCGGGTGCGGGTGGTGGGGTGGGAGGTGGGATGGAGGACATAGTAGATGTTTCTGACTGACAAGTATGAGCTGGGAAATGTAGCTATCGGGGAGTAGGTAGGTATCTGAGAAGTATATTTGCTTGTCTCAAGAGTAATAAAGAGTAGCAGAATGTGGACTAGATAGTGGTCTCTGTGGCTGGCGCAGTTAAGCGCTGCTGCCTGGGCCCTTTGACCGGCTGAGGGTTATCCTCCCCCGTAGAGTTCCACTTTTGCATGGTAGTACCTGGAATGCTGGAAATACCGGCCTTGAAATCCTGCACCATGAGGTCGGCTTCCTGTTAGGGCGAAGATGCTTTAGCGAAGATGTTGGCTATGATATATTTTACAACAGGAGAGGTCCATGTTTGGCTGAGGGAGTCGCTTCAATGTGCTTCTGACTTCATTAGCCTGGTACATGTCCTCATCTACTCGGTCAACAAAGCCCAGACCGGCCATAGCAAGCAGTGTGTCCTCTGCATAAAGTATCGTGATCAGCTATCGCAAGGTAACTGGACGTAGTGCAGTGTGTATACTGACGGATGAGAATCAGGGCTATCCGAAGGCTCAATATGCGCGCATCACATCATCGTTATAACAGCGAAGATCACTTAGATGTCTCAGGGTCACCCGGCTTCATCTCCTTGCGGTACGCAGCCAGAATTGCTATCGAAGAGAGTGGTCCACCACGAGACGCCTTTGCCAGTATGTCGAAGAGGCGGGCACGAAGCCTAGCGAACATGCCTGTCGGGGCGTATATTAGCCAAGTAACTAAATACCGAGGAAAAATTAAATTTATTAAATAAATTGTTCTCTCGAGCAATGCGCCTGCAGAAACTGAAGCCACAATATTATAGCAGTTTCTTAGTTATCTAAGCTGAAAGCTCAGCCCTAGGCGCGGAATCATAATAGTTTTAAATACACTCCATGCTTGTATTTCAAGGCACTTTTACTCCCGGCTTGCTTCACACACTGACCAATCAATCAATACTCTATACTCAATCAGGTAATAGCTAGATTTATCACTGCTATTATGAGTGCGATGTGCACATCATAGATTAATGCAGCTGTCGGAAAGAGTTGTGCACGTGTTGCACTAACGACGATCTTCGTAGGATTACGATGTGGTAGGCGATAAGGTGTAATACCATTTTAATCGAGCAACCACGACTTTGAGAGGACTTGAGTAGGGTCCCATGTTTAGATAAAGCCTCTGCCACAAGCAATTATGGCTAGTAAGCAGCAAGGGATGTGCTGACATGAAGGGTACACTCCTCACGGTCGGCCATCGGGCCATTTATTATTAGGGAGCCCGAACTAAGCCTGAATCCGTTAGCTTCTCATCCTTCGGGATAGAATCTCACCATCGCGGAGACATTCCGGAACTATGATTTGCCCGCACTTTATCATTCTTAAGTGGATCGGACACATTACCCGCCAATGCCCTAAGCAAGATGACCAAGAATATGCCCGAGCAGGGATAGTCAGTCCAAATACATACGAACCAGATGTATATAAAGAGAACATAGACACCAGCAGATATATCACTCAACATCAACATAATAGTATCATCTCAACCCAAATATCTTCATCATCCACATCTTCACCACTTCTAAATTACAACCACCAACATGTCTTCAGTCACCCGCCCACCCCTCCACCCCACCCTCTCCGCCGTCCACCAAACCATTCCAACCATGGACATCAGCACCCCCGAAAAACGCCGCGTCTATCGGGACTACCTGACCACGAACTTCACACTCGAAAACACCCTCAAAGGCCACGAATCCACAATCGCCTACCAAGAAGTCGACATCCCGGGTCCCGCCGGCCCTCTGCGCGCCACCATCTTCCGCCCAAAGCACACTATCCTGGATGTCTCCTCCACCCCGGGAATTCTCCACCTGCATGGCGGCGGCCATTCCACCGGCAACCGCTTCATGGGCTTCACCGTGCTGGACTGGGTCGAGGCCCTCGGCGCAGTGATCATGACAGCCGAGTATCGTCTCGCACCGGAACATCCTCAGCCCGCACAGCTGGAGGACAGCTACGCGGCTTTGAAATGGATGAGTGAGCATGCAGACGGGCTAGGCTTCAATGCCTCCAAGTTAGTGGTGTGTGGTGGCTCGGCGGGTGGTAACCTCGCAGCTGGTTTAAGCCTGCTAGCAAGGGATCGGGCCGGGCCAGCGATCAAGGGCCAGGTACTGATGTACCCCTGGGTGGATGATAGCGTGGAGTGGAACTCGATGGAGCAGTTTGGGGATATTGCGCCGTTGACGAAGGCAGATGCGGCGCAGGCGAGTGATTTTGCCTTTGGGGTGAAGAGGGAGTTTGCCGATATGTATACGGTTCCGTTGAGGGCGGAGAGTTTTGTGGGCTTGCCGGAGACGTTTATTGATGTTGGGGAGGCGGATGTGTTTCGCGATCAGGATCTTGCGTATGCGACGAGGTTGTGGAGGGATGGGGTTGCTACGGAGTTGCATGTTTGGCCGGGGTGTTGGCATGGGTTTGATGCTTTTGTGCCAGAGGCGGAGGTTAGTAGGAGGGCGAGAGAGGCGAGGTTGGGCTGGTTGAAGAGGTTGCTTGCTTGATGTGTTAGAGGTTCTTTAGGGGTTATTATTGTTTGTGTTCTAGATTTGGTGTATATGTTTTTTGTTTTTGTAAGTTCTAAGAATTATAGGAGTCGTGATTTTTCTTCCGGGTTTTACTTTGTCCGAAGTTAGCATTAGACATCAGAGAAATGCAAATTTCGTGAATTGAGCAAGATCAACAGCTCTGATTTTAGCTCACGTGCTTTCAGCCTTCTTCTCGATCTCACTATCACCCTCCATCTTCGCAGAAGCACCCTGCTCACTGTCTTTCGCATCCTTCCGCTCAACATCAGGCTTGTTCTGCTTCACACTGCGCCATTCCATACCAAGTGCACCAATGATAGCAAGGCAAGCCATGATAAGTCCCACCTGAAAGCACACGCGCAGAGAATCATTATAAGCCCTCAATGCATCATCCCGATACGCCTCAGGAACAAGGCTTAACACCTCCGTCGCACCCGTACTCTGAATTACCCGCGGAGTAACATCCACACCCGGAATATGACCGAGTCGCTTAGCCAGCTGATTGGAAAGAACATTCGCACCCACAGACGTGAAAATAGCTCCGAAGAGCTGCTGACCGAAAAACATAAGCGACGCTCCGATAGCGACGTCCTTCCGGGACAACACAGTTTGCGCGGCCATATTGTTGATCTGGGTTGATGAGCCAAGGCCATAGCCGTAAAGGATTTGAAAACCGATCCATTTTGCTTCTGAGGTGTTGACATCCAAGGTGGTCAGCAGGCCAGCACCGATTGATGTAAGACAAACACCAAAGATTAAGAAAGGCGTGTAGTATCCGATGCGAGAAATGAGTTGTCCGGTCACAATCGATGCTATGACGAGGGGTATTATCGTTGGAAGGAGATGGATACCGCTACTGACTGCTGAGACGCCTTCAATAGCTTGGAGCCATATGGGGAAATAGTATACTAGTGTTCGTCATTGGTATGCGATTTCTGCATGTAAATGGTGTGATGGCTTACTGATGATCATCGTATGTGCGCCTTGGCAGCAGCTCACCCAGAAGCCACTTGCAATACTACGCTGGAAAAGTATTTTAGGTGGTAACGTGGCCTGCTCTGGCTTCCAGATTTGGATAACCACGAAGGCAATAAGAAGGATGAACGCGAGCACAAGCAGTGCGATGATTCTCCCATTGCTCCACTGAATAGTATTAACGTTGCTTATGGCTTGAAAGTGTGCCTTGACGAGGAATCGGTTAACTTACGTTATATGTGGTACCGGCCCACTGCAGGGCC